CAGGCAGCACAAGCAGCCACACAACCCAAAAGCTCACTTGTATGGCTGCTTGTGCTGCCTGCTTGGCAGCACAAGCAGCCACACAACATCCCGCTTCATCTCGCCTCCTAGTCTCGCCTCATCTCGCCTCATCTCGCCTCACCTCGCTTCATCTCGCCTCACCTCGCTTCACCTCGCCTCACACCTCGCCTCATCTCGCCTCACCTCGCCTCATCTCGCCTCATCTCGCCTCATCTCGCCTCATCTCGCCTCATCTCGCCTCATCTCACCTCATCTCGCCTCACACCTCGCCTCATCTCGCCTCATCTCGCCCCATTTTTTCTTTTCTAGACCACTCCGAGACCGAACCCCAAGACCGACCCGAGACCCGAGATCGACCCGAGATCGACCCGAGATCGACCCGAGATCGACCCGAGATCGACCCGAGATCGGCACGAGATCGATCCGAGATCGACCCGAGATCGACCCGAGATCGACACGAGCGATCAACCCAACAATGCCCCAAAGCCCCCTCTCTGGGGGACCCCCCCTCACCCCGAGTGTCCGTGTCCTTCGCGAGTCACCGATGGGGAGCGGGGGGGGGTGCGAGATGCACAGGGGAGGCTGGGGAGGGGGGGGTCCACTCTGAAGACTGCCGACCGCGGGGGGGTTTTGTCCCACAGGGTTTTACCCTCCGCGTGAGGATCGGCGCGGCGAGGGGGTAGGTTCGAATTCGCCGCGCAACATTTCACCCCCACAGGACCCCGCCCACCCCCCCTCATGGTCCCACCTAGTACCCCAATGAGCCTTCGCACCCCCTCCTTGCGCAGTGTCCCCCACTATGTGTCGCCGTTATCGGGGCACGCTATCCTGTGTAGTCAGGGCAAGTGGGGGCGGGGGGCAGTCCCTCTGGTCCGATACTGGTGTGGTTCTGTCTCTAGTCTCGGAGGGGGGCTTGAAGCTAAGAATATTTTATTTTTTTAAGCGGTCAAAGTGGAAGCCATGAATCTTCGACATGTATATCGGTGCAACGTAGAGTCTAGAGACATAGAGCGGGCGATCCCTTGGGCCAGGTACCAATTTTGTCGAATTTATTTCAAAATTTACAGGCGCGGAGCGCCTGCGAAAATTTTGAAGAAATTTGCAGTCGGGCCTGATTTTCATCAAGATCTTTCACATTTGCGGTGTGGAGTTGGGGGGTGGGTTAGGTTAGGGTTATTAGGGTTAGAGGGTTAGGGTTAGGGTTAGGGTTAGGGTTAGTTAGGGTTAGGGTTAGGGTTAGGGTTAGTCTTCTTGTGTTTGTATGCCAGCGTTGCAGAGTTCTGCGCTGGGATCTGGCCCCAGCGCGGACGAGTAAGACTCAGCACCGCACGCTGACCCCACCAAATGCCGCCTCAGGGCGCCAGGCCGCCAGCCACCTCATACACGCGGCCGGCGCCCTCTCGCGGCAAAAGGGTCGAGCGAGCGGGCAGAGACCAGAGTCGCGATGTCTGCGCACCCGCGTGCTGATGGGCGGCACACGCAGCGGAGAGAGGCCCTGTCGCGCCGCCAGTAGCGTTCCGCACTCCCCACGCCACCAATTGCCGCCTCAGGGCGCCAGCCACCTCTTACACGCGGCCGGCGCCCTCTCGCGGCAAAAGGGTCGAGCGAGCGGGCAGAGTCGCGATGTCTGCGCACCCGCGTGCTGATGGGCGGCACACGCAGCGGAGAGAGGCCCTGTCGCGCCGCCAGTAGCGTTCTCCGCAAAACTCCCCACGCCACCAATTGCCGCCTCAGGGCGCCAGCCACCTCTTACACGCGGCCGGCGCCCTCTCGCGGCAAAAGGGTCGAGCGAGCGGGCAGAGTCGCGATGTCCCTGCGCACCTGGGTGTTCGCCGCCTATATGCTCTATCCTGTGCCAAGACGGACACGTTTTGACAATCAAAATCTACCTCAAAATTTGCGGCCGCCCCTCGAAATTTGCTGATCAAAATTTGCGGTGGCCCGGATCGAAACCTCTGTACTTTGGCCGCAACACATGCGCAAACACACTCCTCGTCTATTAAACTATTAGGTCTTTGCGTATAAAGTGCAACCATAAATATTGATTTTCTGCGACCCCGCCGAGCTTGTGCGAGCTGCGAGCCCCGAGCCCGAGCGAGCGATGCTCGACGGTCGGGGCTCGACCCTCGAGCGTCGACTCTGTCGTGCTCGCTCGAGGCTACACAGCCTGCACACGCGCGAGCCTCTCCGCCGCTCTCGCGCGGGCAATCGGGCTGCGGCTGTGGGCTGGGTGTGAACTGCTGCGCGATCCCCCACGATCGCTCTCCCCCCCCCCCCCCCCACACACACTCATCGCAGCCGAGGACGGCGGCGGCGGCTCTGTAGCACCTCGGCCCAGCACCGCCGGCCCGCACGCTGCTCGCTGCACGAATGCGGCGCCAGGAAGCACACCCCATTAGTCACGAGAGTCACTGCTGCCTCATCTTGAGCACCTCCTGTTCTGGAGAGCGCAGCAGCCGAAAGCGGCGGAGCAATTCAGCGCGATCGGCGCAGACAGCCACCGGCTTCGCCCGACCACCTCGAAGCCTCCGTGCTTGGCCTTGTACTCCGAGCGGGCGCGCGCAAAGTGCGTCTGCGGCGGCAGCTTGGGCGCAAACTGGCCGCTCGGCGAGGCGGCCCAGCTCGAGTCGGCGCGCACTGACACGGCCAGCTGAGCGGAGCCGACGTGGGGAGGCGTGCGCGCGCAGCCGGCGATGGTCGGCGGCGAGAAAGGCGAGTGGCCGGTGGCCCAGACGCCGTCGCCGCCCAGCACGCGCCCGTCGGCAAGCGAGAAGTGAGAAGGACCGACGGCGCTCGCGAGCTTGCGGCGGCTGGGCGGCGCGGCCACGAAAGGCACCTCCTCCCACGCGCTTGTCGGCGTCGCGCGCCAGAGGGCGACTGTGTCGTCCACCTTGATGGCGCCCCAGACCTGCCACTCCAGGCGGAGGCAACCCTCGCCGGGCCGGGCAGGCAAAGACGGGGCCAGCTCGATGTGCGGCTGGAGCAGGTCGATCGAGGCGAGGGCGAGGCGCCTGCGAGGGACCAGTCCGGGGTCGGCGCCAGCTCAAGACCGGGGTGCGCCGCGCGTGGCGGCCGAGGGGCGCGCGGGAGTCGAGGCACATGTTGCGTGGGACGTGCCCATCGGCGGGGCCACCGGCGCCGTAGACGCCCTCCTCCCCCCCCAGCGTCGACGCCGGCGGCATCTTTTGGTCCGACGTCTCGACCAGGATGGTGACCTATACGGCCGAGGCGGGGTCGGTCCGGGCGAGCCTCTCGGACGGTGCGCGCGCGACCAGCGACGATCTCCACCGCGCGGATCGCGTCGCGGCCATAGTGCGTCTTTTCGGCGGCGTAGCCCCCGTTGGCTTTCGGCGCGCACGGCGTGACGTGCGACGTGTCCCACGACGCGGCGTACCCCCAGTCCTCCATCCCTCCGTGCACCGGGTACACAATCTCGTTCATCGTCGAGTAGCGGTACGGCGCGCGGTTGACGCGCCCCGAGCCGGCGTATCGAGACATGACCGCCGCCACGTCCCGCATCGCAGCGTCGTCGGGCGAGCGGCTCGGCACGCCCCGCCAGTACGGGTAGGCGCCCCAGTTGTACCCGATCGCCTGCGGAGCGGCGCGCGAGGGGTTTCTCCCGCAGGGCGCCGCGGCGAGGCCGGGTACCGTGTGCGGGGCGCCTGCATGCCGCCGTGGAAGGTGACGACGAGCTGCAGCAGGTGCGCGCGGTAGATCTCGTTGACGGTGCGCGCGGTGACGGTCTGCATGCACGAGCCCGCCGACTGGTCAAAGGGGAAATCGCGGTTCGGGTCGATGCCCAGCTCGTCCCGCCGCCGCGTCGCGGACCCGACTGCGTTTGTCATGGGAGAGATGAGGACCATGCGCGTGTCCACGAGCCGTCGCACCCAGTCGTCGGTGGCGTAGCGCGTGAGGAGCCACCGGCACAGCTCGAGCGCGGTGACGATACCGACCTGCTCGTCGCCGTGCAGTGCGCCTGAGATGTAGATTTGCGGCCGCGCGGAGAGCACCGCAGCGTTTGCGCTGCGGTTGCTGATCTGAATGATGTGGTTGAGGCAAGGGCCCTGGTGGCCGGCGCTGTCGGTGCATGTGCCTGCCGAGCGCAGACCATACGCCTCTTGCGCCGTCGTGAGAGACGCAAGCTGCGGGTAGTCGCGCGCGAGCGACTGGAGCAGCGACGAGGCGGCTCCATATGTGTAGTAGGCGAAGGCTCTCCCGTGCGACGGCGGGCCATCCATCGCTTGCCGGTGCGAATGGCGCCGCCGGGGCCACCAGCGTGTGATGTTTTCACGTGGCCTAGAGCGTCACGCTCGAGGCAGCGAGTGTATGCGCGGCGATGCAGAAGAAAAGTACTCCGGCGCAGAAAACCTAAGTCAATCGATTATACTGCGGTGGTGTGAGTGAATGCACCATGAGCAAAAACCTGACGAGGCCTGTGCGCTCTACGACGCTTGTCCCTCTCTCAGACAGACTGCCACCCTCTGCATGACTAGTAGATCAGAGGGTGGGGCGCGCTCGCGCATCAGCTTTCCCGGAGCAACAGTACTACGCTCTGCGAAAGCGTCGCGCTCATGCGGGCGGGGGTGGTGTGTAGGCGTCCTCCATGATGGCCACGTCGGCGCCCGAGATCGTGATGATCTCACCCTTGTTGCGCCCGCGCTTGGGGAAGGAGATAATGAACTTCCCGATGCAGGCCTTGCAGTTTCCGGGGTAAACCACCCGGTGCCCCTTGGAGTTCTTCTTGATCACGTTGGGGGCGCGGCGCACGGCGCACAGCTCAGCCGCCCCACCGCTCAGCAATCGGATGTTGACCCAGGCGAGTGGCGGATCCACGGCTGCAACAGGGAGGGAGGGGCCTTAGCCTATTCGGGCAGTCGGTGTGCGTGTGTGAGGGGGGAGGGGGGGGGGGGTGCCTGCGGCGTTCTCCCTCAGCTTCTTGGCCCCCTTCTTGCCGCTCGCCCGCTTGATCTCCTTGATCTCCTTGACCCGCTTTTTCGCCTTCTCGTCGCCCGCCTCCGCCGCCTCCACAAACTCCCTGCCGCCTTGCGAGCGCATGCTCATCTCGCCTGAGATTGCCTCCTTCCTCGCCTTCTTCTGCCCGGCGGTCAGCTGCTGGTCGAGCGGCGACGGGCCAGCGTAGCCGCCCTCCCGCGCCTAGAGCGGGCCGTGGGGGCGTGGACGTCTCTAGGTCGTGTCCAGGAAGTGTCCAGGAAGTGTCCACGAAGTGTCCAGGAAGTGTCTGCGGGGTGCGGGGATGGCGCGGGAAGTGTCTAGGAAGCGTCTAGGGCGTGTCCGGGAGACGATTCTCGGCCTTGGCGTCGTCGAGCAGCGCGCTCAGCTGCGCGTCGGTGATCTGCGCGAAAGTCGTGCCCAGGCGCTTCTCCACGGCCTCCTTGCCGCCGCAGAGGCGCGCGGTGCCGGCGCGCGCGATCGCCGCGATCCTCGACTTCTTCTGCCCGGCGGTCAGCTGCTGGTCGAGCGGCGACGGGCCAGCGTAGCCGCCCTCCCGCGCCTAGAGTGGTCCGTGGGGGCGTGGACGTCTCTAGGTCGTGTCCAGGAAGTGTCCAGGAAGTGTCCAGGAAGTGTCTGCGGGGTGCGGGGATGACGCGGGAAGTGTCTAGGAAGCGTCTAGGAAGTGTCCGGGAGACGATTCTCGACCTTGGCGTCGTCGTTGAGCTGCGTGAGCAGCGCGCTCAGCTCCGCGTCGGTGACCTGCGCGAAGGGCTTGTCCAGGCGCTTCTCCACGGCCTCCTTGCCGCCGCAGAGGCGCGCGGTGCCGGCGCGCACGATCGCCGCCTTCATCGCCTTCTCCTCCTCCTCGGTCGGCGGCCGGTCGAGCTCGTCGGGCAGCTGCCCCTCGAACCCGCCCTCGCGCGCCTGCGCCGAGGCGGCCAGGGGTAGACAAGGCGGTGGCGGGTCGAGGAAATGCCTGGAATCGCACCTTTGCGTCCGCCTGCGCCCGCCGGCGCTCCGCCTCGGAGTAGTCGCCGAACTTTGGCGTGAGTCTGCGGAAGTAGACGACGTGCGAGTCGCCGAGAATGTGCCGGTGAAGCCACTGCAGGCCGGCGTCGAGCCGCGCGCGCTGGTCGAGGCTCATGAAGGACAGGGCGCCGCACGGGTGCTGGATCTCGATGTCGCCGCAGGACGGCGCGCGGCCCGTCTCCTCGTCGGGAGTCAGCGGGGGAAGCTCCCCGCCGCTGGTGCTCGGGTACGCAATGTCGTACGGCGGCAGGTAAGTGACGCCGAGGATCTTGCGCGCCTGCGCGCGCGCGAGCGGCACCGCCGCAGCGAGCAGCTCCGGCCACCACTTGCGGGGCAGCACGCCCATGGCGAGCACGTCCGCGCCCTTGCGCCCGCGCTGGACGATCTCGTCCACGATGATGCCGACGAGGGTGCCGACCTTGGTCTCCCACCACGCCTGCTGCTCCTCGGGCGACAGCTTGTCGAAGAAGTGAGTCTCGAAGTTGAAGTCCCTCCCGTCGACCTTGAAGTCGTGCGGCCCGTCGTAGAGGTCGCCGATGACGTCGAACGTCTGGGCGAAACGGAGGTGGTGCTCCTGGAAGGCCTTGTTGACGGCACTCGCGAGCAGGCGGGTGGTCGCGTCCGTCGCGTCGCCCTTGGAGGTGAGGTAGCCGGGCGAGCGAGGAGGAGGGTAGTGGAGAGCCAGGACACGCGTGCGGTCGCCGCGGACGGCCGCGAGTTGGTGCGGGAGGGCCTTGGGGACCGGCAGCTGGTGCGCCTGATTGCCGCTGGAGAGCTGACAAAAGGTCTCCGCGTGCGCCTCCAGCAACGGCAGCGCGTTCTCCCAGTGGTGCTTCTCCACAAAAGACATGGGGAGAGGAGGAGCGGGAGGAGGCGCCCGATACTACTGCAGCGCAGCTCGTCCAAAGGAGCCTGCGGGAGCGGGAGCGGGCCGGCCGTGTGAGAGGAGGGATGCGAGGGGTGCTGGCGCCGTTGCCCTCACGTGTCTGCCACCCCTCCCAGCCCCACCATAGACACACACGCGCGGGCCGACAGCGGCCACACGCCAATTGCTCTGCAATCATGAATTGCGTGGCTCGTGGAGGTGGAAAACGAGCCGCAGTTGGATGTGCTGAAAGCGCGTCTCGAGGAGAAGAAGCGGGTGCGTGAGAGGGGCTGCGGCACCGAAACCATGGCCGCGCAGGCATGGCGGCGGGTTAGGCTATGAGGGTGTGCGGAAGTTGTGAATTTTGCACCTGGGCGGCCTTGGGTCGACCGCGCTGGACATAGAGCGCGCGTAAGCGTCCGGCTCGAGACCAATCCCGGTGTTTCTAAACACCACCCTTCTCTCTCTCGGTTTTGAGCTGGATAGTGTGCTGTTGTGTGCTGCCCCATTGCGTTCCTTTCCTATTTCCCCCCCATTGAAGCATGAAGGGATCGATGGGCTGAGCCGTTACTGTGTTCTGTGCAGCCATCTCCAGCAGTGAATGCGCGGTAGTGTAGTTGGCTCGAGAGCAAAGACTTGGAAAGGCGTCCAGCGTGCGACGGTTGTGTTCGCGTGTCCTAGCAGCGCCGCCCTGGCTCACAACGTGAGAAGAATTCTAAAAGCAGAAGAATTTTACAAAATAACTCCCTCGCACAACACTGGGCACGGGACTGGCGCGCACTGGCACTAAATACAAGCTGTCAGGAGTGTTGAAATTTCCACACGCCGTCGCCAACTGTCATGTCGGTCGCCGCAAAAGAAATCCGCGCGCGCGAAAACACGATCCGGAACCGTCAGACTATAGCGACTAGCATACCTCGTGTCCCCAGAAACCCCGAGGGGTCGCCCTATCGATGTGCTGGCTCCTTCACAGCCATCTTACCTAAGGATGGCTGAGCTAGCTGCAGTGCAGCCACATCCTCCAGCCCGATGGCTGCAACACACACACGGCAGCCAACATTAGTAGACATGGCTGGAGACGTACTACCGCAGCGATATCGCCGCGGTCCGCCTCGAGGACGAGGTGAGTGAGCCCTCTTGGCTGAGCTGGCTACATCGTAGCCATCTTGGGTAAAGATGGCTGGGGGACAGCCATTTCAGCCATCTACTATGGCTGGGGCACAGTCAGTGCAGCCATCCTCCGGAGCATGGCTGGTGATCATCAGACGACAGCCCATAAGCCTCCGTCGCCTGCTGTGCCTTTTGAGAGAGATAGATTTTTAGCAATACCAAACATTGTTGCCTTTTTGAGAGAGAGATTTTAGAAAACCAACAAGAAATCACGACTGTCACAGTGATTTGGGCTCGGCAGCTTGTCAGCCCTCAGCTGATGCTGGGGCCGGTCCCGTAGCCGAGAGAGCCCGCGCCGATGAGTTCGACGCGGTCGGGGGGGCCTGCGGAGAGGCCAGCGAGATGGCGATCGCTATACTTCATGGTGTCATCAAGTGACGGGCTGACAAGCCAGAGGTCGATACTCTTGGACGACCCATAGGATCCCCACGAATGCCTGAAGGAGAGGGAGGCGAGGCCAGAGGCAGGCTCAGCTGCTCTCGGGTGATCTCACTTTGGTGGCTGAAGGACCCGATGGTCCTGTCACATTCGCGCTCCGAGTCGTGGGGGTAGAAGAATTCGAGGTAGAATCGAGTCAGCACTTCCTTGTAGTACAGCGGACCGCCAGGCTCGCCGGCAGCATCCGCAGGGAGGCAGCATATGAGGCACCAGTCTTCTGAAGAGCTCAACAGCTGCGGCCGCGATGATAGAGTCGGCCGCGGTTCGAGCGAGCAGCTTTTGGCTGCGGGATCGAATCGCGGAAGGCTCATGCCCTCGCGGAGCGACGCGGGTCGCGCGGCGCGCGCGTGTGCGAAATGCGACAACAGACGACAGATGACAGACGCCTGAGCGCTGTACGACTGAACGACCGTCGCCGCAATCGCCACCGCCGCCATTTTGACGAGCAGCGCGAGCGCGCTCGTCGGCGGCCAGCCGTCGCGGGCCGGGCCGAGCCCGGCCTCGACCGGCCGCGCCGCCGCAGCAGGCCGGGAGGCCCGAATGGCGGCCGACCAGCTGATAAGATTTTCTCTCTTTTTGTACGGGTAGTGCCAGTCCGAAAAGAAAGAAAGAAAACGGTCAACGCAAGGGAGGGATGGGAGGACGGCACGCCGCCACCACACAGGCTGCGAGAGGTAGTGTTATCGGACACGGCTCCGGGCTCTGATACTGTGAGCCCCCCGGACCCTCCTTGCGAAGCACACTCGCCGGTGTGGAAGGGGGAAGTCCGGAATCGCCGAGAGCAGCGCGTGGGAACCTGGCCTCGCGCTGGGAAAACTCTTTGTCCGACTCACTCTTAGCCTTGAAGTACAACGACCTGGGTGTGAGCCAAGCCCGTGGCTAAGTCGAGTTGGGGCAGCGAGCGGCCTGTCAGGTCGACTCGCCCGTGGCCGTGCCCAGCCCGCTTGTGGCTGCCCCGACACATGGCCTCTGGTGGACCTTGCTGAGCAAGGTCCACTTCGGCTAAATTCACGCCCCAAACGCTACTATTTGCTCAGGCCAAGTCCAGGCACACTAGAGGACTGCCTGAGCTCACAGGGGCATGTACTACTTACTATATTCACACCTACTATGCTGTTTTCACACCGATCATAATACGCGATCGCGCAGACAGGCAGGGATTTTAAGGAGAGGAGTGTGGTCTGGTGCTAGCCGTCGCCCACCCTTGGGCGTCTGCCTCTCTCTTCCTATCTCCCTTCGCAGTCCCTCGCCGATTCTCGCTGCAACCTTCTCGTGCCACCTCGCGGTCTTCCCAACTCTCGTCGTTCTCTCCCCTGTCGCTTCTCTGCGTCGTTCTGCGACGACGACGCCGCCTGCCGATCCCTTGCTCTCGCTGCTTCTCTCGCCTCTCGGCGTGACTCCGCTCTCCTCGCGGCGTACTTTGGCTCCTCGAGTTTGTCGAAGCTCTCCTCGCCGCTCGCGCAAGAACGCCGCCAAGTCATGTCGTTACTCAGATCCACTCTCGTTTCGAACACTTGTACCTCCACGGATGATAAATAAATAAATAAATAGAGCAGTCATCTCCAGGGAGAGATGGGCGACGCACACGAACACAGAGGGACAGTGCGCACCCCGCCCCGCTCGCAGGGCGTGCATCACATGTTGGCGGCGCGCGGCTGCCGCGAATTCTTGTTCGGAGACAGCATGAGGCGCAGGGTGGTGGCGCTCTTGCTCGTGTTGCTTCCGCGTGCGGACAGCGCCGCGCTGCTGCGGCGCAGGCCGCGGCCGCTCGCGGCCCCTGCACTCCTGCTCCGGCTGCGAGGCGGGCAGGAGCCTGCGCCCGCCTCGCAAAAGCCGCCGGGCTCGCCGCCGACCACCACGGCGGACGTGCATGTGTCCGCCGACACACCGCCATCGCCGTCGCCCGGGCTGCTCGCGCGGCTGCTCAACTCGGCACCCGTCGCCCACTTTCGCTCGGCGCCGCCCATCACGCGATCGTGGGTGACGGTGTCGGTGCTGCTGACGGTCCTCGCCTCGCAGCGCCTGGTCGACCTGCGTTCCATCGCCTTTGCGGAGCGCGAGGTGGTGCGCCGCGGCGAGTGGTGGCGCACGCTGCTAAACTTCTTCTACATGGGCGAGCAGCCGCTCTCCGTCTTTTACTGGCTCCAGATCTACCACCTGTGGGAGTGCATGCGCATCTTGGAGCTAGTCAAGTGAGGCCGGTCCCCAGAGGGAGAGAGCTGAAGGAGACTGACAGACAGACCTCTAACGCGCCGCCCCGCCGTCGCTGCTCCCTCGGCTGCCTCGGCTCTCGGCTGCTCCCTCGACGGCCCGGCGCCCTCGGTGCAGGTACGCGTGGGAGCCAGGCCAGTTTGTGCGCATGATCGTGAGCAACATTGCATCGCTGCTGCTGCTAAAGCAGCTCTCGCCCTCGCTCATGTTCCTCGGCACGCCGCTCGTCATGGTCTTCATGTACGTGTACGCGCGCGAGTATGAGTCGTCAATCACAAACTTCCTCGGCTTCTTTCAAATCCGCACAGGCTGGCTGCCCTTCGCGCAGATGGTGCAGGCACGCAAGAATCGACCCCCGCCTCCCCTTGAGCGTTGCCGGCGTCCCGCTGCGAGTGCCCCCCCCGCCCCCCCCCCCCCCCCTCTCACAGGACGGCGTGCAGACCGGCGACATGATGCCAAACCTGCTCGGGCTGCTCGCCGGCCACTTTTACTTTTACACAAACGAGGTGGCGCCGCGCATGCTGCTGCCCAGCAGGCCGCCCACGTTGGCTCAGTTTGTCGCCGCGATGGACAAGGCCGCGCCGCCCGGCAGCACTCCGTCCGAGGGCGAGGAGGAGCTCGAGGCGGCGGCCGAGGGGGGCGAGGAGGAGGTCGAGGCGGCGGCTGAGGGGGGCGAGACGGATGCGGACGACGGGGATGACGATGAGGTGGAGGAGGACTGACTTGGAGAGTCGAAGAAAGCACACATTTGCTGCTTAGTAAGGTGGCCTCTCTCAAATCCTAAACCGATTCAGAATCAACGCACAGACATCGGAGCCGGTTGCGATTTTCGCGCGAGCGCTCCGGGAGCGCCGAGCGCGTGGGTCCCCGCGGGGGCCGGCGGGTCCGGGTGGCGGGTCGGTTCTCGTCTCTCGCGAGAGGTGGTTTGGCTCCGGCTCAGGTCGTGGGGCATAGCTCGGGTGTAAACGGGGTCTGGGGAGGAAGCCCCAGCGGCCCGCCGCAGGCGCCGCCGGAGGCTGGCCCGCCGCAGGCGCCGATTTTTTGGCGTTTTTTCTCAAAATTGAGGGATTTCTCATCTAAATTCTCATCCAAAATCGAGCTCGCTACGAGCTCTCTAACTGCACAGCATCTCCTCGTTGAGCCTAGCGGCGCCCGTATCGCCCACGCCCACATTCCTTTTTCTTGCCCTTGGCCCTTGCTGCACTCAGCCGCTCAACCTCCGCCAGTCTCTCCTTGCTCGTTGCTGGCGCTGCCGCCCCCAGTACTGCGATTGCAGCTCCTTGGCATGCCGCGCCGCCTCCATCTGCTGTGCTTCCCACGCTGCCGCTTCCTCTAAAGCAGCGCCGCCACTAAGCGGCGCAACCAAGTTCTCGCACTGTTTGCATGAGCATGTGTCCTGCTGGTGCGGCGCACAATCCGCGCGCGGCGAGTGAGAGTAGAAGACTGACAGCAGGAGCTGCAGGAGCTGCAGGAGCTGCGCAGATCGGATGGGTGGTGACGCCGTCGAGCGACGGCGCAAAGACCAATCACCACCGCTGAGAGCCGCGACACGAGGCTGCTGGCAGCTGCACCTGTGAGAGCCGCGACACGAGGCTGCTGGCAGCTGGCAGAGCGAATCGCGATTCCGGCGGCCGCCGTCAGCCCGCCGACACCGACGGCCTGTCTGAGGTCAAACTCCCACCGCACGTCGGACCAGTCGTGCGTCAGCCATGGCGACGAGACGTCTGTATGCAGACAGCCCGCCACCCGGGCGATAGAACATGCCAGCTGGGCTCTTCCAGGGCTCTCGTGGCCCGTGGCGCGTGCCCAGTGGAATAGGGCGGGCTGCGGCGGGCGCAATAACTATTCACAGCTAATGAAAACTATAAAAACTCGCGGCTTCATCAAAGTTTGAGGTGGCTTCGTCCTCAGCACCATCAAGACAGCTCTATTCACACCCTGTTTGGTTTGAAGCCACTCGGGGATGCCCGTTTACACCCAACCGACGAGTCGCTGGGCCCTCTGACCTGAGCCGGAGCCTTTTCGTCGCGGCATTCGGTTCGCGCGAGGGGGCACGCACTGAGCCACACGCGAGATCTCAGCTCTCACAACACGACGGACAATACATGAGTGACAACGCGCGGAAATCTCGGCCGATCCCCGCCGGAATCGGGCGAACCGCGCTCAAACGATGGAGAAGGCTGCGGCCGGCGGCACGGACGGCCCAGGGCATGTCACTGGCGTCGGCGCTTCTTTTATGATGGACGCCTCTGTCCAGCGCACCTGCGATTGCCTCGCCTCCTCCGCCCTCCGCACGCCCTCCACCGCCACGAGCGAGTTTCCAGCCACGCGGCTCACGGCGGAGAGGGCCTCGGCTGCCCGCTTCTCGTCCTCTGCCCTCAGCTGCGTCAAGGACGATGCCGCCTCGTGCTCGCTGACGGCCTCGACAGCGCGTAGCGCCTGGGTGGCGGCGCTGCGCACCGCCCGCGCCTGCTCACGCGTGCAGCCCCCCGCGCCAGCGACCCGCTCTCCCGTCAAGAGCTGCTCAACGACCGCCAACCGTTCCCACTGTGGCGCAAAGTCCCGCAGCGCCGCCTCGCGCCGCGGCTCTGGAGGCAGCGTCTGCGGCGGCTGCGGCGCGGTTGAGGTGAGGGCCGCCAAGGCACGAACGTCCGCACCGCGGCGCGCAAGGCCCACTGGCGCAGGAACTGTGCGAGGGGCGGCGGGCACCGGCACGGGAGGGTGCTGCTGCGAGGGTGCTGCTGCGGCCGCCGGCCAAGCCATTCGCGGCACCGTTCCCGGAGGCAGTCCGAGTGGGTGCTGGGGAGCGGCGCGCGGAGCCGCGGCGCCGCGCATCGCCATTTGCTGCGCCGCCGCCTGCTGCACCGACGCCTGCTGACGCTGCAGCTGCGCCAGCGTCGCTGGGCCGCCCGCCGAAGGCTGGCCCATAGGCCCCGAGACGCCCGGGAGGAAGAGCGGCGGGCCGCCCGCATACGCGCCGCTCGGCGCACTGGAGGTGCTCATGTAGGTGTTTGTGTTTGTGGTGGGCTCCATCGCAGCCTGCTTGCTGCCACACACTCACCGGGCCGGGGGGGGGGGCGCTGCTATCGACCCCGACCCCGCGGTGAACCTTCTTTTGTACGGGTAGACCGCGAGGATTGAGAGCAGCCTCGCTCTCAATCCTAGAAGTCGAAGGGTTGTGAGCAGCACTCCTCGCAATCGTAGCATCTCTGTACGATCTAGCACCCACGCTCGCAATCCTACTCGCTAGTACATACATCTTCTAGGACTAAGAGCAGCCAGCCAGCTCGCTCCCAAGGTCCTACTTTACCTACATCTTCTAGGACTAAGAGCAGCTCCGCTCCCAAGGTCCTACATCTTCTAGGACTAAGAGCAGCTCCGCTCCCAAGGTGACTGGTGACGCCTACGACTACTACCATCGCGCTCGCAATCCGAGCAAAGTCTAGGATTGCGAGCAGCACTGCTCACAATCCGAGCATCATGCCTCCGATTGCGAGCAGTAGCGCTCGCAATCCTACATCTAGTAGGACTATGAGCGGCGGCGCTCACAATCGTACCCAAGATCCAAGGAAGGACTGCTAGCAGCGCACAGAGGGCGCTCCCAATCGCTCCAGCCGCGAGCGCTTGTGAGTGAGCGCGCCGGGAGGGTCTCCTCACAATCCAAACAGTGATCGCACCGATTGTGAGGGGACCCGCTCGCAATCCTAGAAGTCGTAGGACTGTGGGCGGTGTCGCTCGCAATCGGCGAAAGTTCTAGGATTGCGAGCGCTACTGCTCGCAATCGGAGGCATGATGCTCGGATTGTGAGCAAAGCTGCTCGCAATCCTAGACTTTGCTCGGATTGCGAGCGCGATGGTAGTAGTCGTAGGCGTCACCAGTCACCTTGTGAGCGGAGCTGCTCTTAGTCCTAGATGCTAGAAGACGTAGGATTGCGAGCGTGGGTGCTCACAGTCGTACAGAGATGCTGCGATTGCGAGGAGTGCTGCTCACAATCCTTCGACTTCTAGGATTGAGAGCGAGGCTTCTCTCAATCCTAGCGGTCTACAAAAGAAGGTTCACCCTCACTGCGGTACCTCGAGGCGGTACCTTGTCTTGTTTAGGGGGTAGTGTGATGTCGGATGATCTGGTCGTCGTCCACGACGAGGAGGTCTCCCTCGCTCGCAGAGGGCCACCGCGCGCGCGATCGTCAGCCATCGCGCGTGCAGGCAATCAATGCAATCCGGATCGGCCAGCCAGAAGAGCACAGCAGCACGTGAGGCGCAATCCGGATTGGCCAGCGAGTAGGATCGATGACGCCCGATCAAGTTTCAGCGTTCAACCAACGAGCTATGTCCGCGCGTACGAGGGGGTAGGAACTGCAACCTCGGATTTGCAGAGTAATCTGCAAGGTGAATGTGTCTGAGGGAGGGTGTAGAGGATGTAGGGTGTAGAGCGCTGTAGAGCTGTAGGGATGTAGAGCTGTAGAGCGCTGTAGAGCTCTACATCCGGCGCGGGACGAAGCGGGTGCGTTGTAGAGCGATGTAGAGCGACTGTAGAGCGCGATTTACTTAGTGATTTCACTGTGAAATCGCGCTCTACAACGCTCTACAACGCATCCGCTTCGTCCCGCGCCGGATGTAGAGCTCTACAGCTCTACAGCGCTCCAGAGCGCTCTACATCTCTCTACAGCTCTACAGCGCTCTACACTCTCATCCTCTACACCCGCCCTCAGGAATGTGTTTTGTAATGTGTGTGGTGAGTAAGTAATCTGCAAGGTGGATTCTTTGTGTGGTGAGTAGTAATCTGCAAAGGTGGATTGTGTGATGAGTCTAGTAATCTGCCAGTGGATTGTGCGTGGTGAATAGTGATCTGCAGGAAATATGATGAGTAGTATGTAGTAATCTGCCAGTGGATTGTGTGTGGTGCGTAGTAAAGATCTTGCAAAAGAGAGAAAGACTCAAAACGGAGTAGTAAAGAGCTGTAATTTTTTCTCTGCTCGAGTGTAGTGATCGGTGCTCTGTGAGGGTCCGCCCGCAGGCGCATTTTGTATACCGCGAGGCTCGAGTACCTAAAGTTTTTTCTCTTATGAGAAAGCCGTGAAAGGTGGACTCCGTAGGGTGGGTTGGAGGGCTGCAACGGCGGCACGCCAGACACTGCAAAATGGTTTAACTTTAAGACGAACTAATACAAAAATGCGCCGGGGAAAAAATCCCAGAGTAAGCTGACTGGCTTGCTCAACCGATGGCGTCAGCTGACTGCCTCTGAACGCACCTCAACCTCTGGCCTGGTCCTCCTGGCGCTCAAGCGCTGGTCGACGTCATGACGATCACTCTCACACACGCAGCGTTTCGGGCGCGGGACCCTCGTCCGCCTCCAGCTCTAGGCTGCTACTGCGGTCCGGCTGCTCCGACGGGGTGCGAGTCGGACGCGGCGCGGTCTCCTCCACCTCTCCTGACGTGCTGCTGCCACGAGAATGACGACCCCACCACGACAAGGTTCGGCCACTCGACCTCCCGTCCTTCCGCTTGCGGCGGGTGGCACCGAGTGCCTTGGCTAAGAGCGCGAGCGACACCTACCACAACGCAGCTCGCATCACCTTAGAGCAGGGTCGGCGTGCAGCGGGAGTGGCGGCCGCGCGCCTTGCGATGCCGCCCTGAAAAGCAGGAGATGGCGAGATTGCGGTAGAGTCCGCCAGCGACGAGCTCTTGCGGGGTCGTTTCAAAGAATCTGGCGAAGGCGCAGCCTCCCAGGTCCGGATCTTTCTCGTGCGCCATCACGATAGGAAGCCCTGCGTCCCTCGCCGCTTTGACCTGCTCCTCCAGCCGCTCATCCAGCCAGGTCGCCTCGCACAGGTAGAGCAGCATGTGGGTCGCTTCCGGCGGACCGGCAGAAGGGCGGCCAAGCTGCCTGGCAGATGCTGCTCTGAGCGACGACATGCTTCTTAGGAGGGGCGGAGGCCCCTTTGGTGTCACTGCCGCACGAGAGACACGCAAGCCGGGAAATGTTGTGGCGAGCTCGTTGGCCAAGTCGCGTGCGCCTGGGTTTGCCGGCGAGGCCCACAGGATGACCGGCTTAACGAACCCAAATCGTTGGCGTTCCAGCTCGCCCGGCACCTTGAGCGGGAGCGTCTTCAAGGACGCGTAGGCGGGCGTTTGCAGCAGCAGGGCCTGAGTAGGAGTTGGCAAGTCAGCACAAGGGAGTGATGAGATGGCGTCGTGTCATTTGCAGATCACGCCTCGGAGATCATCTTGAGCGAGACTATTTGAAACTCCTCGATGCGCATCCAAACAATCTGTGGCCAGTTCGCGTCAAAGATGGCCGACTGTAGTCCCTCGGGGCACTCCTCCCGCAGCTCCTGCGAACAGGGTGGCGACGGGGAGACGGTCGAGCAGGGCTCGTTCGCTCAAAGGTGGGGGGGAGGCGCCTTGAGCGAGCCGCCACCCTTCTCCGGGTCCGCTTCTTGCACGAGAATGATCGGCTTCTTCAACTCGAGCGACGAGCGGATCTCACGCAGGCAATTCTGGGGGGTTGGGGGCGCGGTAGGGTGAGACTGAGAGCGTGGGTGGCGGAGGGGCAGGTGGCGGGCAGGGTGGGCTGTGGCGGGACCTTGCTCCGTAGGTAGCCCTTGGAGAGGAAGAAGAGGATCACTTGTGAGCGGGCGATGTAGCTCTCCAGCGCGCCGATGTCCTCAAGATCATCAACCTAAAGACCCACGGGGCGCATGGGAGCGAGGGACTAGGTAATCTGTCGGCCGCCAATAATGGGCGCACATCCAAAAACACTTGGATGCCGGGGAGCAGCAGCATGAGAACCTTCTTGATGACCGCGGCAGCGTCTTGGCCAGTACTCCATATGTGGCTGTTGAAGAGGTGCCACGTCAGGCCCTTCGCCAGGGTCAACTCGGGGGCCTGCTTGGTCTTCTTCAGCCGGATGGTCTTGATCTTGGCCACGCGTCGGGCCGCAAGGACGGCGCCGATGAGGAAAAGAGCGAGCGCGAACCCGACGAGGATCGACATGGAGATGACGATAACATCTGAGCTTCCCCAGCCGAGAATTGACTCCGCCTTGCCTTCGCAACTCTCCTCGATCGCGTCGAACAGGGTTGTCCAGCTTGCACCGAGAAACATGAGGAGCAGCACCAGGTTTATGGCCTGCGCAGGTGGGCCGGGTGGCTATGGGGCAGCGGCAGGTGATATGCGGGGGCCTTGTGAGCGCGCGCCACGGCAAGGACGTCGTCCTCTATCCGCTTGAAGGGCGTCGCGACGGCAAGCCCGACGGTGTAGCACGAGCAGATGAGCGTCGCCAGTACGAGACGCACAAAGGAGCGCTTCTCTGGGATAAGTACAACCACGCCGGTCAAGATGATCTTGCGCAGCAAGTCCAGCGCCTCCCACCAATACCAGCGAACTTCGTACTCGCGATGCAGGAAGCTTGCCGCCCGTGACAGGTCCGTCGGAGTGCTAGTGCTCAACGCCTTGTGGCACGGGATGAGTAGCAGCGTGAACAAGGCGAGGGAGCCAAACGGCCAGAGGAAGATGAGAAAGATGGCAATCGTCGTTATCGAGTCGTGCTCGGCCGTGTCACACTGGACACTCGCGTCCTGGCGCATGTAGCTGATCTGCTCGAAGCTCGCGTAAGGGGGAGACACGACGTAGGCCTGAATGGGGGGGGGGGGTGTAAGAATTGGCGATGGTAAAGGGGAGTCGCCGTCGGCGCTGCACCTTGCACGACCACGACCGAAAGATGCTAGCGCTGACCGACGGTACAAAGCAGAAGATGAGGATGAGGCCCGACGGCGTGAGGTCGAGGATCCCGCTCCGCACGGCTGCGCTGAAGCGTGGGCGCTCTGGTGCGGTCTGCCAGCGCCGTATGCGGACTAATACACCGATGAGCAGCAGCAGCGCAATGAGCCCGACGGGGGAGAGGGCTATCGTGAGAAGCCGGAGCGAGAAGTTCACGCATTGAGAGGGCAAGAGGATGCCCGACCAGTCGACTGATACTGCGCCGCTGAGTTTATCGGTCCAGCCAGTATACTTCTCTGGCAGGCGAGCGGAGTAGGTGGTCGAAAGGACAATCACAACCTGGTAAAAGCCCAGAAGGATCTTGGCCTTAGCCTGCAGCCCAATGGCCACGCACCAGGCGACAAACCGGTCGGTGAGGCGGAGGGCAGCACCGATGTAGCGCCGATGCCGCCAGCTCTGCATCGAATAAGCCCACGCAAGAAGGGCACACGCAGCGCACAGGCCGAGGGCGACGCCGGCGAGCCGACCCATCGCCAGTCCAACAGCGGCGCACTCGCGACAGGTGTCGCCATCGACGAGGTAGTGGTTTGATGCGTCACAGAGCTGGCACTCGGGGCCGGTGAAGCCGATTGCGCAATAGCCTGTCTCATTATAGTCAGCGCTCACCTCGTGCAGTGTCCGGCCGCTAGAATGATCTCCACCCACCGGGTCGCTGCCGGCGCACCGCCTCTCACCGGCATTGTTGTCGCCCCCGAAGGACCGGCACTCTGTCAGTACTGCGCTCGAGAGGCTGGCGCGCCAGTAGCCGCGAGGCACGCCCAAAGTCGCGAGGGTGGTGTTGAAGGCGGCACAGTTGGCGTTCGGTGGGCAGGGGTCGCATTGGGGAGGTCCAGAGGGAGGGTCAACGAGATAGAAGCCCCGAGCCTGGCTGGCGGCCGGCGGCGAGGGCGGCGACTGGTAGAACCAGCTTTCAAACTCGTTGCTGAAGCCGCACGCCCGGTACGAGTAGTGCAGGGTGACCCCCTCCACGTATGCGCTCGGGCTGTACTCGGTGTTGCACGTGGCATTGTCGACGTAGCACCACTCTTGCTCGCACCAGTCGGGGTAGCCGGTCGAGTTGCAGGACGGCTCGAGCCCGCTGTCGTGTCGGCCGCACGCGTGGAGGCCGTACGTGCCGTTGTACGCGAGGCTCACGCCGCCCACGACGACCTGAAGCTCGACGACCTGAAGCTCGTCGCTCACGAGGCTGACGCCGGCCGGGTAGGCAGTGAGGCACGGGCAGTCGAGCGGCTGCGAGGGCGGCGGCAGCGGCGGACTAGGCGGCGGAGGCATGCAGATGTCGCAGATGTCGCTACCGCGCCCGCTCCACATAGGATGACGGCATGGGACGCACTCACCATCGGGTCGTCGTGAGTATGTGCCCGCCTCGCACACAGAGCAGTTTGTCTGTCCAGGTTGGGGGCTCGTTGAACCGGAGGGGCACGGCATACACGCCTCCTCCGAAGAATTGCCGGGCAGAGGGTTGAAAGTCCCAGAAGGGCAGGGCGTGAATCCACCTCCGCAGGACGCAGTGCTTTCGGCTTCGCAGTACCCCCCCGCAGGGCAAATCTCACACGCCGTCCCGCCCGATGACCCGCTGAAGGTGCCCGCGCCGCAAATCGTGCAGTTGACACTTCCACTGCGCTCGCTTATCTCGCCCGGAGGACACAGTGAGCACTGCGCGCTGCCCACGGTTTCGGCGTAGGAGCCTGCAGGGCACTCGTAGCAGGACTCGTTGCCCCTGTTCGACGAGTATCCCGGAGGACAGAGAACGCAAGCTCCAGCTCCCTCCGAGGAGTTTGATCCGGGGGCGCATTCGGTGGCGTTGTCCGAGCCGGGCGGGCAGAAGGTGCCAGCAGGGCACATGATGCAGTCGTCTATGCTCATCATCACCGGGAGGGAGTGGTCGATGTGCTTTCCGGCGGGGCAGGGGAGCGACGCCGCCGCGCCGTGAGGGCAGTAGGAACCCTTTTGGCACTGCAAGCACGCCGTCTTGCCCTCCTCGTCCTGGTAGGTGCCGGCGGCGCAGGGCGTGCACTTGTCCTGCTTGGGCTCGTCCGTGTACGACCCCTTGGCGCACGGCGTCTGCTCGGTGGAGCCCGTGGTGGCAAAGTGGCCCGGCGAGGCGTCGACGCACTCTGAGGCGGCCGAGAGGTTTGTGGCGCTCGAGAACGTGCCCTTCTTGCACGGCAGCGGCGATGACGCGCCCTCGGCGCAATAGCTGCCCACCTCGCACGGTAGGCACGCCGTGGCGCTTCTGTTGTTCTGGTAGGTCCCGCCCTCGCATGGCGTGCACTCGGAGAGGCCACTCATGTTGGCGAAATCGCACGTTTCGATCCGCTGATGAAAGCAACTCCGAAAGCGCCACCGCCTCGCGCAGCAGCAGCAATGCCCGCCACCAGGTCTACAGTGCCCCCTGCCCCGTCCAACATGGCTACATCTACAGCCACGTCAACGCAAAAAGTGGCTTCGCGCCCACCCTCAGCCTCAATTCGCCACGATGGCAGCACCGCCCATCCACCCACCTCCCACAGCATCACGTCGGAACGGGGAGGGGCATTGCCACCCAGAGGAGCATCTGCCAACGCCGTCGGCTCTGAGACTCACGGACGGGGAGAGAGTGCTTGCGATCGCCTCTCGGACAGGCTGGCACGCTCTCTCTCTGAGATGGACAGGCAGCAGCCCTCCTCGGCACCGAGCCCCCCGGTAACATTCAAGAAGGGCCTTTTCCGCTCCGGTCCACGGCTGGCTCGCGAGCCCTAGCAGGAAGGTGGTGGCGAAAATTAATATGCTGACCGCAGTGTGGCGAGACTGTGCGCGCCACATGCGCACAACGAACCGCGGAGCCAAGGCCCGGCCCGGGGCCCCGAGCCCGGCCCGAGGTGAACCGCAACCGGCAACTCCGCGTTCCGCTTGTGGAGTATACTTCATGGTTACTTAAAGAGAACTGCTCTGGCTGCAGCTAAAATTTGTCGTTTAACACACATACGCAGTCACTCAGCTTTTCAGCGTCTCGACCGAAGAAGTCAGGCCAGGGTGCTTAAGCACCGCGTACAGCACATACCTATCCTGACTCCCCCGGTGGGAGACCATGTGCTCAAAGCTGTCGTCAAAGACGATGGCTTTGCCATCGCCGCCGTACCCGCGCGGCTCCCCCCCCACGGTGAACTCGACGCCCTCGGCGCCGCGCAACGCGAACTGCATTGTGAGTCTGCGGTTGGTTATGCCACAGTGAGGCAAGACGGCGGCGCCCGGCGCCAGCCGCAGCAGGGTCACGACGATATTCGTCCCGCAAAGGTTTGGCGACGCCGCGTCGACCGGCGCCGTGCATATGCACTCGTCGACGGGCTCGCTGCCTCGGCCTCGCAGCAGGCCGCGAAGCGTAGGCAGCGCCGCGCACGCCCCCTCGTCCCACACCCTGCCGTCAAAGAGGGGCAGCTCCGACCACGCGGGCGTGGTGCCGCCCGCTGCGCCGTCGGCCGCGCCGCATGTCCCTCCGCTCTCATTTCCCGCCGCCTCACCGCGCCCGGCGCCCGCCTCCCCGAGCGGAGCTGCGGGCGATAGTATGGGCGCGAGGCCACCGCGCGCGATGACTGCGTCGAGCTCAGCCAACAGGGCCGCGCGCGAACCCGGATCGGCGAACGCGGACTCGAGCTTCCGGACGAGCGAGAATGAGCGTGGCTCCCACCACGGCCGCGCTTCGAGGCCGGGGAAGAAGACGAGCGGGGTCTGGTCGAGCCGCTCGTAGTGGGTTGCGGCGTGAGGGTGCTTCCGAGCGAGCTCCAGCGTCGCCTGCGCGCGGTGCTGATCGCCCGCGCGCCGGTAAAAGCCGATGGCGGCGCTGACGCCCGCGTTCCAGAGCGACGTCTTGGAGGCCTCGTCCACGGCATAAGAGTTTGTGCCGAGCGGGTGCAGAGCGCGCTGCAGGCTCCACGAGGCTGCGTCGGCACAGTGCTCCAGCTCTCGCGCGAGCGGCACAAACACATCCTGCAGCCGGCCATAAAGGATGAACTCGCGCCGCTCGCCCAGCGTGAAGCCGGCGAGCTGCTCGAGGTGCGCAGCTGCCTCTTTGAGCGCGGCCCTAGCGCTCGGCGTGAGTGCCCCAGCGCCCGCGCTGTGGAATTCACGCTGGAAGCACGCGTAAGCGCCGGAGCCCGCGCGCCACAGTGCCAGAAGGTGCTCGGGCATCGGCGGCTGCACAGCCTCGAATTCCTGATCCTCGCGCCGCGCCGCTGCCTCCGCCTCGCTGCCCGCGCCGGGCGGCAGAGGCGGCGTGAGCGCGGAGGCGAGCAGGGCGAGCCGAATGAGCATCCCGCGCGGCCCTGGCAGGTACTCCCACGCCTCTACGGGGTCACCCTGCCCGGGGGGGCGAGGGAACCCGAGATGGGCGAGCCTTGGCGAGCAAGTACCTCGCAGACGCTCCGGGGTTCGGCTCCGAGCGCGGCCCCCCCCCCCCCCCCCCCCCCCCCCGGGCCTCTGGTATGCGGAACGCAAAACCTAAACAACAGAAACCGGCAAGGTGCCCGGGTATTTTCCAGGACCAGGTCTATGATTCCGTCCGGGGGTACCCGCAAAATCTCCGGGATTCTGAAGATTTTTAGCAATACCATAGAGAGGGCACAGGTAGGTGGGTTAAGAGTTGGCCTTTATACGCTTTTCTCGCCGAGTACTATCTATATTCTTTTTGCGTATTCTTTCCGTATTCTTGTCCAAAATAGGGTCTATGTTCTCGAATATGGCAAGAATATGGCTCCAAATAACTTGGAGCACTTGACGCAAGACTTGACGGTCTCAGGTCTCTCCATGATTAGATTGAGGCTGCCGATGCTGATGCTGCCGTGATGAATACCAAAGAAATTGATTGCCGATTTCGCCGCTGAATTTTTCTACCCGGATGCCGATTTTGGCCCAAACCAGCCTCAGATCGGCTCAGAGCCGACGGGATGGTGCTGACGGGAAAGTAACACAAGGAAAGGAACGAGACAGGAGGGTGCGCAACATCACACCATTTTTCTTTTGGGCCCGAGACACCTCATGAGATTCGGGGGGCGCAGGGGCGCAGAGCCTGAAAAATCGCCCGGGAAACTCGGGCCGCCGCAGTTTTCTTCGCTGGAAACGAGAGTTGTGCTGAAGGGCAACCCAAGGAAAGGAAACGAGACAGGGTGCGCGAGGAAACACGGAGATACAGAGGCCAAATTTTTGCTGATTTTGCTTTTGAAAAATCGCGGGTTCGACGTTTCCTTCCCTGCCGCCCTATAGCTGTATATACCTGGAAAATGCCCGGGTGTAAGGTTGGTCCGTACCGACTTCCCCGTTTTTTGTCAGAGTTTGCCTCAGATTTTGCCTCAGACAGCTCTCAGACTCCTGACACTCGAGTCAGAGTTTGCGCCAAGCGTCACGAGCCCGAGTCTCAGCGGTGATGGTGGCCTGATTGGTGACTGCCCCTTCCCTGCTGATATTTGGCGCAGATATGACTGGTTCTTCTCCTGCGGGCGGTTCAGGCTTCGTTTCGGAACCATCGGCGATAGTGTAGGCGTCGGTAGCCTTCCACGCGACGTACCCGGTAAAGAGCATATACCAACCAACGAAAGAGTCACGCTGGCCATCAAAGGCAGGGGTGGTCTCCTGCGGGTCGGCAGCAACTGCGATGCTATTGGTTAGCATGTACACGATTTGCCAAATGGTAGCAAAGCCAATAAAGTAGTATAGGGCCTTGCGTGTCATGATCAAACCAAAATTGCACACGTAAATGACGATGTATTCACCACTACGATACTGCAGGCAACGGAGAGTGGCCCAAACGTGAAGGTGGAGAAGCCGAGCATAAATGGCGGCAAGAGCATCGTCGTACAAAGAAAACGCCAAATGGAGGTTACGACACATCCAGAATTTCCACGGCATAGGCCTCTCGTTGGCATTGGGTCGAAGGGCGTTCCCGCACACCCATGGATTTTCTGCCATGCCATGGTAGGTGCAATGGAAGCACTCGACAAGTCCATGGAGGCATTGGGGGCAAAGCGAGGAGGGCAACGGCTTTCGGCGGCCAGTGTCGATCGGTTCGCAAACATCGGACAAAGGAGTTAGCTCGGCATAGTGCTCCCTCACGACTGGACTGACGAAGTTGAGAAACCTCCGAAGGAAGTCGCGATAGATGCTGACGCAAACCATTGCATACGGGCACCCAAAGGAGATGGTGGTGGTAATAGGTGTCCAAATGAAACAAACAGTTTTGACAGTAGTGCTGATGATGACCTCAAAGGCGACGAGGCATGCATACCTGGCGAAGTATAGGAGGGATCGCACGAAATCGTAGATTGCAAAGCCCCAAGCAACGAGCAGGATAATGCCACATATCGCAAGTGCAGCTGGCGCAAGGCAAAAATACCAGTCAAAGACCCACTTGATTTGAATACCCAGGTTGATAATCAGTAGCTTGGTATTTGCACCATAGTGTCGCAATCCGTACCACGCTTTGACAATCATAAGGCTGCTCATGGTCTGGTAAGCAAACAAATCGCCAATTGTCAGTGCACTTGTCAGCAGGGAGTACGCAAGGAAAAGGAACCCAACGAGAGCAAAGCAAAGAAAAAATGGCCAGATCATTCCCATCCATGTGGACTGTACCCGAGCGCAATTCTTGTTTGAGAAAGCATAGTTCCAATGGAGCTCGTATTTGACCCAATCGCGCTTGCCGCGTCGCCGAAAGTGATCAAGGCAAAGTGCTTTCGCAGCATCGGTGGTTCCATGGAGTGGCCAGATGATACCACATGTCCCATTGTTGAAGGGCACTACCTCTGTTCCACTGCTCAAGGTCTCAAGGACTTGGTAGGTGGCAAGCTCCTTTCCAGAAGAACATGTCCCATGGTGCAATGCCTCTCCTGCACTCGACGTGTCCGAGTGGTCCCGGGGAAGGACTTTCTGCCAAGGTGTAGGGTCAAATGTAGCGTTCCACGGTGAAACATTTTGGAGGCAAAGGAAGCCGTTCCCGTCGCACTGACCCAGAAGAATGGGCAGCATTGGGTGACCCAGCAAAGGTGGCGGCGGCATGTATGTCGCAGGCTTCCTATGGGGCTGGGTTGTCGCAGCAAGAGTCCCGTGCCTCATGAGTTGTAGCGCCATCGTATTGGGCCATGAGTGCACCTGTATCGCGGGGCTGCGGAGGGCCGAAAATTCAGATTGGCCGCAGTGGGTGGATGAGGCCTCAGGAGCCGACTGTAGCGCGTGCTCCATCGCCTGAGAGGTAGTGTGAGTGGAGGCACACATGTCCTCAAGATGTTCTGACCCAAGTTGCCAATGCTTTGAGCAGTGCAGCGCCTCAACAAAAAGTTTCGAAAATGAATTGTCGATGCAAATGGCGGGCTCGAACGTGCTCGACGAGACCGACTGGACCCATTGTTCAGATCCTTCGGCTCGATTGGGGTTGTGCTCGCACACGCCAGGCGCCCAGGTGGTGGCTGACATGTATGGTGCAAGGCTTGTCCATGGTGGAGGTGCCATGGTGGTCGACGCTGTCATGTCGCTGGTGGTGTCGGCCTCGGCAATGCAGTAGTCGAGGCCGTTCTTCCCGGTAGAGAAGTCATACTCGATAGCGGTCCCGCCATAGCTGCTGCATAGGAGCAGGAGGCTAGACAGGGGCCGCATCGCGCTGAAGTGAGCTGTAACAAGTTTGATCCAAAACAAGAACACAAGTTTGACTCTACTAATATAGCGCGCGGATAAAGCGCGCGCGCCGCGGTGGCGGCGAAATATAATATTATCTCAGAGGAATATAGTGTGAATGCCCGGGAACAGGAAGTGAGTGCCTCCGGCCGCCGAAAGAGTAAAGACATGTACAAGCTCACTTCTCCATCGCCAGCCCGACGCGCTCATACAGGTTGACCCAAAATAATCTCTCCTCTACATGTAGTACCGCTGTCACTCTGTCTCAAGTCCTTAGTGCGCGTAGTGGGTGGGCCGCCGGCGAGCGGGCTAGTGGGTGAGTGCCTCCCGCCACCCCCCGCGCACTAAGCCTTTAGTGCGCGGAGTGGGTGGGCCGCCTTCTACGTTCTAGTGCGGTCGGCGAGGGCGCGAGGCTGCAGTGACGAGTGACCGGCGACTGTGCCCCTACCCCGGCCCTGCGGCGCCGCCCTAGTGAGTGAGTGCTCGCCGACCCTCCCCACACTAAGTCGGCATCGCTGTTGTGTCCAAGACCTAGTGACGCCTCCTGCCACTGCGAGGGCCTTTTGTGCAAAAACAAAGAGCGGAAATCACACTAGCGCAGTACTCGAGTAACGTCTCTGTGGGAAATACGCAGAATTGGCATGTCCAGTCACGCTGCACAGTCACGCGCGGCAGAAGCGGCGTTCCACGAGGCCGCCGCCGCCTCGGGCCGCCGTCGCCAAGTCCGGTGCCCGCGTGCTCACTGGACTGTGAATCAACCGCCCGGGGACTTGCGCTTCCGGTCAGCCGTCAGCGCAGCGGCGATGGTGCGCTGCAGCTCGATGTGGCGAGCAACCGCCGAGGCCTCAGCAGCTGCATCTTCCGAGTCGCCAAATCGGAAGCAGCTCAGGAACGCCTGGCGCACAGCCAGGTCTCTGGGAAGCGGGGGTGGGCCTCCTCTCGTGCCGGCCACGGGGAACAGTCTGGATCTCCACGCAACGTCCGCCTCAGCCTGTCGGACGCCGACGTGGCCCACGAGCAGCGCGGGGTCGGAACGGAGGAAGCCCGCACAGCAGTCGAAGCAGTAGTAGAGCGGCGCCGACGACGATGGCTTGCACCGTGCATCTTTGTGTCCGAACCGAGACAGCACGCGTTCACGCGGCTTCACGTCCTGACCGCAGCCAACGCACTTCGCGTCCTTGCCCTTGCTGTTGTCGTCAAATTGAAAAGTGCACTGTGGGTGCATGAAGTGCTCCTGCCACCCGCCTGGGTTCTCGCCAGTCGAAGCGCCGTTGTTGCGCGAGTAAGAGCCAGGCGCGTGAAAGAATAGGCGAACCACGCGTGGCGAATCCTTTTCGATGGCGGTGTCGCACCAAGCGCAGTGTGCCTTGCCGCTCGGGTCGAGCTCAACGCGAGTGAGCGTCGGCTTTAGCGGTGGCGTAGCGGCGGCCATCCGAGCGAAAGCCCCGGCGTTGCTCGTACTCGCGCTGAATTCTTTTTTTGTTTTGGCCGCGGTATTGGAAGGGTTTGTCTGGGCCCTCGCGTCGGGGTTTCCGCTCTCTTCACGGGAAATTCACAGCAGAAAAAGAATTTCTGGTGAATCACGATGTGGGTGATTCTTGGCCTGTCCAAGGGTTTCCGGCAACCCAGAGGGAAACCAGAGGGTTCCCAGCACTTTGCGTTTCCAGAAGCTTCCAGGGAAACCAGAGGGTGTTTGGAGCTCCATTCTGTTTCTCTCGAGTTTCCCTCGGGAAACTCGCGAGTTTCCCTGACTGAGTCTGAGAGCTGGTCTGGGGCAAAATCTGGGGCAAAATTTATTTAGGAAATCGGCAAACTACAAAAAACAAAAGGTGCATCGCGGTTTCTACCACGACGCGATCTTTGTCAAGCGCAACAACTTCAACCTGCTGCTCCACGAGACGTTCGGCGGCGGCTTCTCGCCCACCGCCGTTCTCAAGCTGCGCCGCCTCGCGCGCAAAGTCGCGCGCGGCAGCGTTGACCGGACGGCCTACTCGCCCAAGTACTCGCTCTCTTTTATGTCCCACCATGCAGAGCGCATCTCTCTCTCTGTTGTGCGAGGCGTGAACCGCGCCATTCGCTCTCACCTGGCAACCCTGTCTGCACGTCTCGCGCGCGCGTGAACAGGGCTCCAGGCCCCAAATTACGTGTGAGTGTTAGAGTTGTTTGGTATTGCTAAAAATCTCTCTCAAACTACCCGGGTATTTTCCAGGTATACCCGGGGGTTTTCCAGGTATACCCAAAATACCCCGGTATTTTGCCGATTTGGCTGATTTGGGGCCCAAACCAGCCTCAGACTCGGCTCAGAGCCCGGGAAATTGATGATTTCCACGGAGTTTCCCCAGGAAACTAGAGGGTGCTCTAGGGAAACTAGCAGGAAACACGGAAAGGAAACCAGGTAGGGTGCGAGAGCACTTGGAGCACTTGGAGCACTTTGGAGCACTTGGAGAGGAAACCCTTGGACAGGCCAAGTGATTCTGATTGATGCTTGTCGGGCTTGAGAGTGGCCTGTCATAGGAAGGACTGTGGTTGCAGGAGAGTACCACCAACCATCACTTTAGTTGGTCTAGTACCCCACCTTCGCCCATCCTGATTTCTTTTTTATTTCCCATAAGTGGGTAGGCAGGTAGGTAGGTAGGTAGGGGCAGGGCAGGGGCCGGCCAGGTTTCTTAGTGCAGATTTTCATCATGAGGTGCGCCCAAGAGCAAAAAAACGCCACTGCGTGAACTCTCGAAATGACGTGTACGAAAAGGTCGTACGTACTTACTGGGTCTGAGAAAAGGGAGAGGGCACTTGGAGGGAGGCGCGCTTTCTAGGCCCTTGGGGGCCCTACCACTCAGCGCACTCGGAGAAGAGCCGGTGAACGATTCTTCGGAGGATGGAGCAGTCATCACTGCCGCGCTCACTGGGTTTGAGAGATTGTGCAAGAGATTGTGGGTTGAGAGAGCTTGCGTCGGACACCGAGCAGCGAGGCTGCGGCAATAGCAGCCGGCGAAGCGAACGGGTCAGGAATAAAGATTTTTTGGCACCTCTCGCGACGCAAACACGATGGCTGCGCCGCCGGGAGGTGCGGACGCGGTTGCCGCCACGCCGCCGCCGGACGATGGTGGTCTCACTCATGATTGGAGCACCCTGTCGGGCGATGTCCTTTGTGCATGTTTCCTGCGCACCCTGTCTCGTTTGCCTCTCTAGTTTCCGGAAACTCTGAGTGTGAGGCTGATTTGGGGCAAAAATCAGCCAAATCGGCAAACTCTTACTGAGGTAAAATTGAGGAAACCGGGTATTTTGCGGGTACCTGAAAACCTTCGGGTATACCCGCAAAATATACCTGGCCTGAAAAATACCCAGATAGATATTTTGCCGGTTTAAATACCCCAGTATTCTGCCGGTTTCCTCAATTTTACCTCAGATTTTGCCCCTAGCCCAGCTCTCAGACTCAGGGAAACTCGAGAGAGTTGCCAGAATAACACACTCTGATTGCCCTCCGAAATTTCCGGAAACGCAAAGTGCTGGACCCTTTCCCTAGGTTGCCTTCTAAGAAAGACGTACAAGCTACAACACGCACAAATGCTAGAAATCTCATGAAGGAGAGCGTGCGATGGCGCGGGGGCCGCCGCGTGTCTGAGGCAAAACCTGAAGCAACACAACACAACAGAAATCGGCAAAGTGCCCGGGTTTCCAGGACCAGGTCTAGGTAGGATTCCGTCCATGTATTTTGAGAGAGATTTTTAGCAATAGCATAAAGAGAGGGTGGGTTAAGATCCGTTAGCGGGAGGGCCGGAGCTGCGAACGTCGACGTCGACGAGCTTCGCACGGTTTCAGGTCTCTCCATATGAACGAGGCTGCCGATGCTACCAAAGAAATTAATTGCCGATTTCGGGTAATTAACGATGATTTTTTCTACCCGGGTACGTTTTGCCGATCTGCTCAGAGCCGGGATGGTGCTGACGGGAAAGTAACACAAGGAAGGAACGATTCTTTTGGGCCCGAAACCACCTTGTGTCGAGATTCGGGGGGCGCAGGGGCGCAGAGCCTGAATTGCCCGCTTAGGGGACCCCTAGGCTTAAAAGGGTGGGCCCCGGGGCGCCTGCGGCTTAAACGGCTTAAAACTTGCCCGGGCAAGTTTTAAGAGCTGCTGGGCCGCCAATTCCTTAAACGGTCTTAAACGCTTAAACGGTGCGGGAGAGCTCCTGAGGTCGATGGTCCGGGAGGCTCCTGGTAGACGCCGGAGGGAGGCCGGGAAGCGGGCTACAGTCAGCTGCACGCACACATCCCCTATTATGCAAGTATGGCTCCTGCCAGTGCACCAGACTTACAGATGTGTCTTCAGAGGCGGGTTTGTGGAATTCGGTTTGTGCCTAATAACGGCAGTATTGGAGAAAACGGCGCGGAACCCAGCGACGCATGCCGGCGAGGCCGATTTTCTTAAACGGTCTTAAAAGAGGGACCCCCCGTGCCTGCAATCTCTTAAATGGCAAGTTAAGCCCCCAAACCTCCTCGTTTCTTAAAAGGTCTTTAAGAAATCCGGCCCTCAGAACCCTAGGGGTCCCCTAAGCACACAAGCCGCAGCACAAGTGTGAAGTGACTGAAGCGTGAAGGGAGCGATTCTAAGATCAGGTCTCGGACTTTGGTGAAATCGGCCGTCCCTCAGTGCTTCCAGCTGCCCGCTTGAGTTTCCTCAAGCAGCTCGAATTTTGCTAGCAGAAAAAGAATAAAACCGACGCAGGGACCGCGCGAGCGGGCATTTATTTCGAAGTGGTAGATACGAAAGTGGTGCGGCGGCAGGCTGCCACCGCTACCCGGGCGCGCCGAGCGGCGGCGGAGGGCCGCCCAGGCCACCACCAGTGCCCCTCCCACCGGCGGCGCGGCGGCAGCGGCGCAAACCGCCCTCGAACCATCGATACCGCAAGAAAGAAACACACGGCCGTGGAACGTGTGGCCTCAGTCAGCGTAGCAGTGCGCAACACTCTGGCCCACCATGGCATCGATGGAGGCGCGCCGCCGCCCAGAAGTGGACCCGCGCCTTTTCCCGGGGGCGGGCACGACTCGGCTCCGTCGCCCTCGCTCTCAACGCCGCGCCCCTCTGGGGCAGGTTCGCCTTTTGCGCCGCCGCCGCCATCACTCAACGCCGCGTCCTCCTCCCGCAGGACGCAGCCGCCATGAAGGCGAAGCAGTTCGAGGACGACGCAGCTGTCAAGGTCCACCGCATCCGGATCACCCTGACCAGCCGCAACGTCAAGAACCTCGAGAAGGGCGCGCAGCCCGCTCCCGCCTCTCTCGCGCGCAAATGTGGGTCGCCCCCTCGCATATCGTGGCGTGCTCACCCCCCCCCCCCCCCCCCCGGGGTCCATAGTCTGCGCTGACCTCATCAAGGGTGCCAAGGACAAGCGGCTCAAGGTCAAGGGCCCGGTCCGGCTGCCGACCAAGACGCTCCGCATCACCACCCGCAAGTCGCCTTGCGGTGAGGGTACCAACACCTGGGACCGGTTCGAGATGCGCATCCACAAGCGCCTCATCGACCTGCACTCGCCGTCGGAGATCGTCAAGCAGATCACCTCCATCTCGATCGAGCCGGGGGTCGAGGTCGAGGTGACCATCGCGGACATCGATTGAGCAGCGCGGCCCGCGCAAAGCACCCCCCGGGTCCGCCCTCCGCTGGCCCATGGTGTGCGCGTACGTAGCGTCGGTCTCTGCATGTAACATGAACAGGCAAGAAAATAGACCCGCCACTTTTTGTTCGAATTCAGAACAGAGCCTTTTCCGGCACCAACTTCGAACTTGAATCTTGATTCCCCCCGGATGGGGATGCGCGTCTCACGGAAACTCACGGCGCGCGGGTCTGCGCGGGTCACGGGACGGGGGGGGAGGGAGGGGGGGGGATCCGTAAATCCGTAAATCCGTGAATTTGTAACCAAAGCCACCAGAGCCTCCCCCCATCACCATCCCATCACACCCAGCTACCCAGGCAGACAGAGATCCAGCTCTCGCGACACCGGCTGTGCGGCTGAGAAGCCGGAGGCTGGCCTCTCCAATGCTCGCGCAACGCTGTCTGCACGCGCTGCAGCTCTCCGGGGTCCGGGCGGCCCACACCGGTGGGGAGGGTCGACGACCGTACGTGTACGGTACGACTGTAACGCTACGTATATCTCTTAACAATCACATAATATTCATTCGCGCTTGCGCTGCGCCTCTGCGAGTGCGATTATCAACCCCTCACGCGTGTGCATAATCCCCTCCTTTTTTTGTGCAGCGCCTTGACCTCTCCGCCTCGCTGAGGGCGAGGCAGGGGCGGCGGCGGATAGTCAGGCGGGCTCGGAGATATGTCCCTTTGAATCCCACGTCCGTCGTCTCAGAGTACAGACTGACCTACAGAGAGTAGCACTCAGAGTTTGGCCGTTTTATTTTATTTGTTTATTCTTTCTCCCACGCACGTGCCCACACACTCACACAGGCAGCAGTCACAAGCGCTACTTCCTACACGGGGCGTCGTCAGCGGCGGGCCCTGGCAGAGTATGAACAGAAACATCATCCGTGCCGTTTCGCGTTTCGCTTGTTGCTCTGTGCCCGGCGCTCTCGCCTCTCGATTCTGCGCTCTTCAGACTCGAGCATGGCTGCAGCCAAGGTGGAGGGGGGCACGTACATTCTCGAGGAGGTGACGCTCGAGGAGGAGGACGACGACGACTACGAGTACAAGGAGGTTGAGGTGGAGGAGGAGATTGAGGACGAGGAGGCCGACGAGGCCCTTGAGCAAGTGCTCGCCACCGTTCGGACGAAGAAGCTGGAGGGCACGGCCTTTGGTCAGCCCCAGCCACCACGACCGGCCGTGACGCAGAGGCCGGAGGTGCTGGATGACTTCATCCGTAACGCTCTCCTCAAGCTCGGAATGGTGCGCACATGCCGCCCCCCCACTCCCTGGCCCCTCCCTGTCGTCAGAAGCTGACGGCATTCGATGCCCTACCCGCAGCAAGAGACGCTGGACGCGTTTCAGCGCGAGTGGTACCGGCTGAGCGGCGAAGGGAAGCTCTCAGCGCTCGATGTCGACCCGGTGCCTGATATCTACGTGCGCAACCAGCAGCTGAGGAACCAGCTCCAGGCACTGCAGGCCGAGGCGGAGCAGATGCAGGATGTGTCGACGGCCGCCAAGTCGACGTGGGACAGGTACCGGAAGGAGCGTGACTTCCATCGGATGCACCACAAGCGGGTGGTGCAGGAGAAGAAGCGGCTTGTCGCCGACCTGCGGCGTCTCAAGAGCCATTGTGACAGCTATGAGCCGATGCTGAACATGATGCGCACCAAGTATGAGACGGCGATGAAGGAGAAGATGATGCTACGGCTGGAGCGCGATCGGCTCGCAGCAAAGGTGGCGGCGTTCGAGGAACAGATGAAGCAGCTGGAGGCTGCTCGGGCCTCGGACACGGCGTCGCCACCAGCGGCTGCGACAAAGCGCGGAGCGAGGAGCTCCTCACGGCTCCCTGATTCGTGTATCAACCCGTATCACTCCCGGCCGGCGACTGAGGCGCCCATGGAACGCTGGGGCCTGTCCAAGACATTCCAGGCGCATAATGCCGCCATCAGTGCGATCGCCGTGCATCCGTCCCGGCCGGTTGTGGCGACCGCTTCGGATGATTGCTCGTGGAAGATGTGGGGCCTGCCAGGCGGCGAGCTCCTCATGTCTGCGGAGGGCCACGCGGACTGGCTCTCCAGCATTGCCTTTGCGCCCTCGGGCGCACAGCTTGCGACTGGCTCGGCCGATTGCTCGGTCAAGATCTGGGACTTTGCCACCAGCCGCTGCATGGCGTCGCTGAGCGAGCACTCGCAGGCAGTGTGGGGTGTGGCCTACCATGACGTGACCGACAACTTCGCCGTCAGTTGTTCGATGGACCACACCGCCAAGGTGTGGGACCTCCTGGCGGCCAAATGCAAGCACACCCTGCGCGGACACGTGGACTCGGTCAACTCGGTGTGCTTTCAGCCCTACTCGAACAACGTGTGCACCGGGTCCGGCGACAAGACCGTCTCGCTCTGGGACTGTCGCTCGGGGCTCTGCATCCAGACCTTCTACGGGCACAAGAACTCAATCAATTCGGTGAGCTTTCGGGTGACGGGCGACACCATTGCGTCCGGCGATGCGGACGGTGTCGTCCGGCTGTGGGACGTCCGCATGGTAGCGGAAAAGGCCGCCTTCACGGTGGGCCAGTATCCGTGCAATGCGACCGCTTTTGACCCGAGCGGCAAGTGGCTCGCCGCTGGCTGCGACGACGGTCAGGTGCGTGTCTTTGATACCGAGCTGGGAGAGCTACGGACCACGATGACGGGCCACAGTGACGCGGTCCAATGCTGCACCTTCGATAGGAAGGGCCAGTGGATGGTCACAGGCGGCAGCGATGCCACATTGCGCTTGTGGTGTTGAAGCATTGCCATTTTTGGTGGCCGGAAGCAGAGCGGCTGATGGCGCGCATCGAGGACGAGATATGTCTACAGATCTAAATGCTTTTTCAAAGCAGGAATGAGGAAACACACTCAGTGTCTGAACTCCGCGCGGCGCGCGCGCCGGGGGCATTGACCAAAATGAAAAATAAAAAAAGGACACCTCGACTGTGAGATAGGTAAAAACGAAAGGAACAGGTCCCCGCCCTGTGTCGCGTCACAATTTTACTTATTTGGCGGACACACGGCGCTCTCCATTGCGTCGGCGTAGTGCCGCTTGGCCCGTCCCCACCACTCGACCACGCGCGCTTGGAGCGCGTCGAGCGCGTCGTGCGACGCGAGCAGCGGCGCCAGCGCTGTCGGCAGATCGCTCACACGGGGAACGGTAATGAAAGGTGGCGGCGTGCCGGTCACCAGAGTGAGCGGCGCAAAAGCAGCGCGGACGTCGGCGGTGGCGGCGGCGCCATAGGTCGGGGTGGTGCCGACCGCCGCCTCGCCGGGGCCCCACTCTTCGACGATGGTGGGGACGCAGCCGCCCTCGAGCTGCTCGTACAGCCGATTCGATTCGACACTCGAGCCGGGCAGCTGGAGGCAGAGCCGCGACTCGAGCGTCTCGTTGACGTACCGCTCATCTGCGCAACCCTCGCCATAGCACGCCACGCTGCCGCGCCGGTGGAATACTCGGAGGGGCTCAGGAAGTATCGCGTCGAGCGTTGCGAGCACCGCGTTCACCTCGCCAATGCGCTGCAGCCGATCCGACTTGTCGGTGGACCCCAAAAAGGTGAGCGGGAGGCGGCGTGCGGACGCGGGCAGCAGCGGGATGGCGCGCGAGGCGAGCGAGGGGGAGAGGCGCACCCACTGCGGGTTCATTCCAATCGGGATCCACGAGACATGCCCGCCATCCGCGGCGTCCTGCAGCGTTGGTGCGAAATCGCGCCCTGGGTGGTCGCCCGGGGCGGCGGCGCTCGCGGGCAGCTCTGCCAAGGGCGCGTCCGCGACCCAATACTGCCGGAAGGCGGCGCGCCATCGCGGGTAGTGCGCGGTCGACGAGGCCATGGCAGCCCGGTAGATGTTGCCGTCCGAGATGTGCACGAGTATGAGCGCCGAGGTGGGCACGCCCGCGGCGGCGGCTACCCGGTAGGCAAATGAGAACTGGCCGCGCTGCAGGACAAACACGGCGCCAGGCACCACCACCGCCTTGATGAGGGCGAGGTCGCCAGCGGCGAGCGCCTAGGAGCCGCGGGAGGAAAGGGGAGGCGGCTGACGTGAGAGGCCTCGCGAAATGCTCGCGTCGCCATGGGTCCGGCGGGCGGGTGCTTCACGAGGAGACTGGCGGGGTGAGCGCGTCGAGTGTTCTGCAACGGTCTAGCAGCCGCCTGTACGAGCGGGAAGAGGCAGTGCCGGGTCGGCGAGCAAGCGCCGAGAAGCGTCTGCAGGATGAAGTGCTCTTCAGCGCCTGCGTGCCCGCACGGGTAGATGACTTGCACGCCGGCGCCGCCCTCGTGCGGCTGCAGCGGCGCCGGCGAGCGACGACCGCCTTTGCCATCCTCCGAGACATCCTCCGAAAGTTCCTCCGAGAGAGGGAGCGCCACGTAGCCAGGTGGCTGCTGTGTGCGGTCGAGCAACACGGCAACGTGCGGCGGCGGCGGGCGGAGGGAGAGGTAGCGATTCGCCCAGACGAGCACGCTCGGCTCCAGCGTAAGCTTACGGAGGGTGGCGCGCAGCTTTGAGCCAAACCCTGTGGCTGCGGCCGCATCCGCGCCCGGGGGCAGCAGCAGGCGCAGCCGCTGCGAGCAAGCGCAGCGGCGGCCGGCATAGTCCGCCTCGTGCGCTGCCTTGGCGTGCCACGCAAAGGCGACGTGCTCAATCTCGTGGTTGCATGGGGCGTAAGCAGCGAGCCCCTCTCTCAAGAGGGAGACCTGCCAATCACGGGCGCGCGTGCGTGTGAGGAGGGGCGCTGCTCACAGGGCGGGGCAGGCCTCGGTGGATGCAGGGGCGCCGCAATCCGCTCTCCGTGCGCCCCCGGCTGGAAGGCAAAGGAGCAGTCGAGCTCGAGCAGAGCGCTGCGAGGAAGCGCCTCGGTGGCCAAGGCTCGCGGGCAGCGGGTGCTTGCCCCGGAGTGCGGCATCGCGAGGGCGCGGCGCAGTGAGGCCTCGAGCTGTGCCGCGTAGCCGAGGCGCCTTACCAGGGTCGCGGCGTGTGGTTGCCGACGACGGCCCCCAGGGGCGCCGGGGGAGGAGAGAGGGAGAGGGAGAGGGAGAGGGAGAGGGAGAGAGAGAGAAAGAGAGGGAGAGAGGGAGAGAGGGAGAGGAGGAGAGAGAGTGAGAGAGAGAGAGAGAGAGTGAGAGAGAGAGAGAGAGAGAGTGAGAGAGAGAGAGAGTGAGTGAGTGTGTGTGTGTGTGTGTGTGTGTGTGTGTGTGTGTGTGTGTGTGAGGCGCAGGGCGGCCGGCGGCGAGGGAGGGGGCGCGACGGGCAAGCGAGGGAGAGACGGTGCCTTAGCCGGGCGGGCCGGAGCAGCTGGAGCGATGGCTCGGCGGTGAAGGCCTCGCCGCCGTGGGGTGGCGGGAAGGCGGAGTAGTCGGCCGCTGCCGCTAGCGCGATCGGGCGGGGCAGTGCGCGCAGCGTGCGCCAGAGCTCTGCGGCACCAGAGAGGAGCAACGCCATCGGGTCGACGAGGATGACATCCGTCTGCGTCTCGGCGCCGGAGAGGAGCGACGGAGCCAGAAGCGCGAGGAGATCGGCGGCGGGGCGTGCGCAGCCGGGGAACGCACGCCTCAGGGCTGATTCGAGCCCGGGGCGGGGAGCGATCGCACTCGCCGCCCAGAAGTGGCGTCGCAGCGATCGAACCCAGACCGCCGAACCCCTCATCGCACCGCTGGCGGTCTTCAGAAGTTGAGCGACTGCGGCGGCGCGGCCGAAAACGTGGAGATTGAGAGAGATGCCGCCAGTTATGCCCAAGAGCAGCCGCATGCTGAGCTCCATGTCGTTCTCCGCATTTACGGCGTCAACAGGAAGCATCAGCTCAGGCCCGTTGCGGCGCTGGACGAGGTCGGGGCGCTGGCTCGGCACCAGGCGGAAGTGGCCAATCGCTGCCGGAAGGAGTGCGTTCGTGCCGAGCAGCAGGCTGTTGTTTAGTGGCTGATGGCTGATCGTGACGATCATCGTGCCAGCACGACGTCCATTTTTTTGACTGGGTCAAACGCTGTTCCCAGCCTTGTTCACACAAAAACACAACTCCGGACCCAAGACGCACAAGCAAGCACAGACAGTCGAGAAGGGAGAGACAGCTGCCTTGTTCCCCGGTAGTTTTAGAAGAAAATGTGATGCCACGGGTGGCACGTTTCAAGAGAGATTTCTTGTTGGTTAATAAAAATCTCTCGTTTCAAAACCTAACAACAAATTACGTGTGAGTGTTAGAGTTGTTTGGTATTGCTAAAAATCTCTCTCTCAAAACCTCGAGAACCTTCATGTTCACAGATAGGTTGATAAGAAACAAGAGAAAAATAATGACATATTCGACACCCTCGACGACCATCTCGGCTACGGTTCCGACTCCGGCTCCGGCTGGTAGTCGACAAGCTGCCGAGCCCAAATCACTGTGTGTGCCACATTTCTTGTTGGCTTCTAAAAATCTCTCTCTCTCTCTCTAAGAAACAAGAAGCTCACCTAGCGTGTGAACTGACTGACTGCGCCCGGCTCGCGGCTGGTCAAGCAGTGCGCGGTCCCCTCCCCAAATTCTTCTTCAGTGCCGTAACTCCTGCTCGAGGCGCGAGTTGTTTGTTATCTGAGTGGTGAGAGAGAGAGATTTTTGAAATCTTCTTGAGTGGGGTGGATGGAGGAGCGTGAAGGCGTTGAGGGCCATGAGATCTGAAGCTCACCCATTGAGGAAGTGAGGAACTGCTCGACCCACCCGGATCGTGCTGAACATGAAGCTCCTGAGCTCCTCTTGTAGCTCGATCGGTCACACCGCCATCACCGCCGACGTCTCCCAGTGAGACGATGGAGAGGGGGGACGACTCACACTGCTTCAGCAGCGTGCACCTCGATCCTGTACCGTGTTTGTTATGACCCCCCCCAATGAACACACGCCAGCGAGGGAGGGCGAGACGATCGAGGGGTCCCGTACCATGCGGAATCGACCCTATCCAGCGTGCTCAAGTGCTGAAGTGGATGGAGGTGATGTATGTGCCTTCCTGTCATTCCTGGGGGGGAGGGGTTCATTCCTGGGGGGGGGGGGATTTTTGGAAATTCATTCCTCCTTAAACCCTAGATCACCGGCTGACCTGGGGTGCCGGCCGGAGCTATAAGAAACCATGGCGCACAGCGTCGTCGAAGAGAAAGAAGAGGGGTTGTATGTTTTCTCTCTCTTTGAATTTCGCGCACTGGCACTAACCATACTTACGGCCTTTTCCCCAAACCCCTACCTTACACCCTACTGGGTAAGGGGGAGCACTGGGGATAGGTTTGCGTTCTCTCTCACACAACCCCCTCTCTCTTTTCTCCCAGTAAGCTAAAAGTACGTACGTGCAACAACCCGTAAGAGGTAGTCCGTGTACACCCCGCACGGAAAACAAGTGGTTTGTCCACGCGATCGATCCGTGGCGCTTAGTGTCCCTGCAGCATCCGAAGCGATCAGGTGTGGACAGCGGCTCAGTGGACTAACATGTTGTGATGCTGAGTAGCTTGTACCGTGCAGCTTCCCTCTTCCCTCCGACCATCTGACAGAACAGCTTGGAACTGCAGTCTCTGACCTGTCCTCGTCGCCATTGTGAAGGTAGTAGCTCAATGTGCAAGTAATGCTCGCCAACAGTATTTCTGGGCAGCTGGTGGGTGTCATAGTCTGGGATGGATAAGGGTTCTTGCCAATGGCTGCCCACTGTCCAGCTGTCCACCGGCTTGGGTTCTCCTTTGCACGGATCAACTGCACCCCCTGTCATTGTGCCATGCTTGCTTTTGCTGCAGTTCGCGTATCTCAACATTGTCCTCTGGATCTCGCCATCACGAATGCTACTGCGTGGCCAAAGCGTAAGCCGTGCTGTTGCCATCTCAGGTGAATAACTACTCAGCCTTGACACGACCACCGACCCGCGAGGTCCGATCGTGACAGCAAATGTCACCGTTGCGCCAGTCTGGTTACTGTTCCATCCAGGTTTGCCATTGCCTTCGACATCCTCGCCAAACCACCAGCTTCCCACAGTAGCGACGGCTGCGAAGGTTCCGCCTGGTGGCTGGAGTTTTGTGACGGCTGGGTGACACCCCCAATGCAGTGCCTTTTCGTCAGACGGATGCAGATTGGTTGGCGGCTCTTCGGTGGCGGGCACGTTTTCATGTGCTGCTTCTGCAGCTCGTAGAAGATCAGAGGATTTGGACAGTGTAGCTGCAAGCAAGCAGGCCACCCGCTGATGCGCTCCCAGCCCAAGGTGAACAGGGCGGTGCATAGCTTCTTCCCTCGAGATTTTTGATCTGTTATACTCCTCCTTCGGCCTAAACCCGAAGAGAACCATTTCGTCCTCGGGTTGTGTCAGATTCGGCCAAAAGGCATTGCGATAGCTTACTGTCGGCACACCAAAGGGCTCTAAGACCTTTGCGCGCCAGCTTGGAACCTGCCACCAGTCCTGGCAATAAAATAGCTTTGACACCGTCAGCTTCACCTCCTTGTTTGATTGACAACCGTACATCCACCGTGAAGTACCAGACCCGGATAGGCCTGCAGCTCGCTGCACTTCAAGCGCTAGTACGGCGGGCTTCCCGGGCAGGTCCAGCAGCGTCGAAAATAGCACAGTGCTGGCCTCCGAAACCTGCTTTTCATCAGGATGATCAGAGGCGCCTTCATAGATGAGCATGTCCGCACTTTGAAAGGCATGGTTGTCCTCGACGTTCTCCCGCGCCCAGGCTGCGGTGTTATAACCTCCCTGACGGCGCTGCACCACTCCCACCGCAGCTTCTCGTTCAGATTCACCTGCAGCATTGATAGCGGTGCAGTCATGCCGCTGAGATTTACGTCGATGTGCTCCTAGGCAGCGGCGCCCCGTGCGCCACGACGCGCTCCATGCAAACAGCAGATGTCCACCACAGGCGTCCCAAGCCCGCTTGCGAAATAAAGGCTCCGCATGGGTACAAAGGAGATATTTTTAAGGGGACACAGACATATCTGCTGGCGCACTCTCCTCATCCGTCTCGCTGTCCAATTCGCTGCCACTACCGGTACAATCGCGGCATCCGGTCCTACACTCCCAGTGTGAGTACTGCTCGCGCGCGCACTTGCACATGTAATCATGATCTATTGGACAGTGAGAGCGGCACGGGTTTTGCATGTCCTCGCTGTCAAGGGGCGCAAAGTCCGTGTCGTAGGCAAGCAAGAATGTGGACTCGAGCACCAAGCAGTCACTGCATGTTTCACATCGGTGTAGCACCACGTGCACGTCGGGCAACGGCAAGTATACCTCCTCAGCTCCTGTCACGGGCACGATCTCCAGAAGCTTGTGTGTGTCGGCCGTTGTGAGAGGCTCTTGCAGGTGGAGGCGCTCAAGCATGCGCCGTGCAATCGTCTCCGATAGCTCAAACCTGCGCCGCGTTACCTGCCCGTATGCGTTGGGGGCGATTGCCTCCCGGCCGAGCTCGTAACGCGCATCCGGGTGCGGAGGCAGCAGCCGCACCCACGAGCCCACGCGCACGTCGCCTCCCGCCATCGCCTCGACATGCTCCGGCAGCGCATATGTCTGCCGCTTGACGAGGTAAAAGCTCTCGCCCTCGAGTCCCCAATGCTGCCATGGATGAAAGGCGACGACAGTGCCTAAGTGGTTCATGGCTCGATCAGGCTCGTCCTCCAAGTTGCTGCCGTGGTGCATGTCCACGAGCTGCCCGACGCTCGGCCACGGCTCCACCGCGTACGGCGAGAGCAGCACCGGCTTCTCATCCTCGCTCCCGTCGAGCAGCACTTGGTGGTGGTGCTTTGGCTCCGTGATTGCCACGCGGCCCGAGGCGTCAAGCTCCAGGCTCATGATGTGCCGCGGGTCGTTTGGCACCGGGTCGGGGAAGCACAGCTGGCCGCGCTCCAGCATGGTGCCGCACTGCCCAGCAAGTTCTCCCTCAGATACACGCACGCGCTGGGGCACGAACAGGAAGCGCTCGCCGAGCAGCCGCTGCTCCTCGCGCTGGCGGATGGAGGCAAAGCTCTCGCCAAGTGGCGGGCGCGCCTTCTCCCTGGCTTGGCGGCGGTGCTGACTGACGACTTGGCGGCGGCGGTTGGCATCAGCCTTCTTGGCCTCAGTGCCCGCCTTCTTGCGCTTGGCCGCCCCGCTCTCATACTGCCGCTCGCTGCGCTCCCTCGGCTGCCTGTTCTTCTCGTGCTGTTGCCGCTGCCTCTTCGCCCGCTCCTTCATGATCGCAGCACGTGCGGTCCTCTCCTCCTCGCTCGCATCTGCCGACAGCTTGGGCGGCGGCGGCTGGTCGGGGTCGGCGTGGTCGATCGAGCCACTGACGCTCGAGTCAGCCATCCAGCCAATGGATCGCGAGCACCACTTTTTTCGGGGTGGCCCTGGCACTCGTGTCGGCTGTATGTGTCTATGTACGTGCGAAGAATTAATGTAGGGGGTGGGTACCATACGAAGTAAACTTCTCCTTTGTACGATAAAATAAGTTTTAACAATTTTGCTTCATAAGGGTCTTGGAGACCCAATCTCGATATATCTCCAGTCGTAGCGGTGGAACTTTTTTTTGGCTCGGTCAATTATTTAGCCATATATGAGAGGATCACGGCACAGTGTCGTTTGAGTCGACAGTAAATCTCCCACAGCCCACGTAAATCCGTCTTTTCAGGCACCCGGAGCCCGCCGCGGCCGCTTCTACGCCGGCGAATCACCATCAAGCTGCTATACGGCCCCGGCATCGCCTCCCCGGGCTTAGCTCTCAGTCAAGATATTGTGCACATGAGTGGCCTCTACAATATACTCACTGACACTGAACCTCCCAGAGCTCGTCCCGGTCCGTCACGGCCATCCTCGTCCTCCGGCGGGCCCCCGGCCGCGGCGCGGTGCGGCGGCGTCACAAATCCGACCACAGAGCACCGGGACGCGGTCGGGCGATCTGAGGCCCAAGTAGGCGAATGCATTGCCCATCCAGGGCTATCACCTGGACCTATCAACAGGCGCCTGCGGCGCCGTGCTCGGGAGTTGGTTTTCACTCGCTCGAAATGTGTGCCTGAAAGGGTTAAATCCCGGGATACTACCATGGTAACTCGTACCAGCTATCCGGCGAAGACGCGCCTTGGTCCGTTCGCGTAGGACGGGACAAGGATTGATTCACAAAGGAAAAATCATCGAAGCGGAGTCTTTTTCTTTCTAACGAGGAAAGAAAACCAGTAGGGGACCCTGTCCTTCTCCCACCCTTTGAGCTTTGTTTGGTGTGTGCGTTTTATTTATTTATTTCCACCCCGCCCCGCCGTCTCTGGAGGCGGGCACAGCATCGCTCTCACTGCCGACGGCGCTAGGCGGCGGCGGAGGCGGAGGCGGAGGCGGAGGCGGAGAAGGCTGTCGCGGCGAACACCACAAAAGCTCTCTCTCTCCTGTCCTCACTCAGGGGGGTCACAACTACCGAGTCCCTCGACTAGCTGCCACGTTGCCGACCGAGAGCGGATCTCCTCCTGCTCCGCAAGGAGGGTGGCCAAGGCTAAAGTCTTGCCGGAGCCGCCGGGCGCGTTGACGACTTGGAGAAGGTCGCCCTTGCACTTGTACTTGTAGAGATGCTCGAGGGGGTGCTTTGTGGGGCGGTGCGCAGCCAGGCCAGCAGTGAGGGGAGGCGCACCCTCACTCTCCTCGGTTGCAGAGCTCGTCGGAGGCTGCGGCACGACGGGAGGGTCGCGACAGCAGTCCTCGGGCGAGCCGACGCGCATGTCCAACCAGCGCTGGGACTCGTTGTGACGGCAGACGCCGGCTGCAGCTTCTCCAACCGCTTCTGCAGTGTCCTTCTTTGCCCGGTGCATGGGCTCGATCCGATTCCGCAGCGTGTCGTCCCCAGCGGCGGTGCTGAGGCGGCCGCGGGCACGTCAGCGGCTAAACCCGGCTTCCCCTCAAGTTGCGCCGAAAGCAACCGAACGCGGACGTGCTGGTTTCATCTTTCCCGTAAAACTCGATCTCGTGTACGTGTTGCTGTTGGAGTGCAATAAATAAATAGACACACGCCTCTACTAGGAGATGGGTGTTTTTACCCATCTCACAGTAGAGAGGTGTCCGTTTTTATTTATTCTCTGCTGGTGCTTCTCGCTCGTGCGTCCTTGGGAAGTTTGCTCACTTCCTTTCGCCTCCTGCTCTCCTATGCCACGTGGCTGTGTGTGTTTGGGTTTCTATGTTTGCGATTTGGATTTTGGATTTTCTACGACTCTTTGTTTATTTATTTATTTAGGAGATGGGTGTAAAGTGTCGGGGGGTGCAATCACCAATCCAGTCCTGACAGTCGGTGCAAGGTGATACGGAATATACTATTTCCCTAGATGCACCCCTAGGCACACTTTTGACTCGGGTGCGTGGCCACTCCGCGCGACATCCGACATGGGGAGGGCTGTCTGGGAGGGTGATTAACGAGAGGAAAACCACCGTGCACCGATGCCTGCGAAACGATCTCTCGGTCCCTCGGAGACGACCGCGACGCGTATCCGCCTCACCCTTGCGCTGCGGCGACGGCGGGAGCCTCCTCGAGCCCCAGCGCGAGCTGCAGCGTCGTCCATGTGTGCTCGGCGTCCTCGAGCACCTTGACCTCCACCAAGCCCGACCCGCGCGAGCGCAGCCTTTGCAGCAGCGGCTCCGCAGCAGACCGCCACGCGGCGCAGCGCGCCTCGACGGCGGGCGCGTCGGTGTCGAGGGGCGAGGGCGGCAGCGGCTCCGCGACGCCGTCGTCGCAGCCGCACTTGACACACTGCCCGCCTCCCTCTTCGGGCGGATAGAGCGGGAAGCCGCATCCCGCGCAGACGCGCCGCTTGCCGCGGCGGTGTGTCGCGCGCGCCTCGGGGAGCGCGAGGTGGACGACTTCGGCGGCGACGCCGGCGTTTCGCCTGGAGAAAAGCGAGGCGGACGGGTGGCGGGAGGGAGAAGGCCAGCGCGAGTGCGTGCAAGGCGGTGGGGCAGCGCACAGCATGTCCAACTGCTCGACGCTTCTGGGCGCGCCGACGAGGATCGCGGTGTCGTAGCCGCTCTGTCGCGCCCCCTGCACCGCCTGCATCACCACGGGGAGCACGACCTTTGACGGCAGAAGCGATCCTGCGGCCGAACCTCTGCGGGCCTCTTCGATCTGCCTGCCAGCGTGCGTCCTGTGCGCCACCTCGGTGTCGAGGAGACTGCCCGTGGCGAGCACGGGCACGCGCAACCGCGCGCCGAGCAGCTTGGCGAAGAAGTGCTTCTCCGCCGACGGCGCGCCGAGAAGCGACAGGACACGCATAAACGCTTGCCGCGGCGGTGTGTCGCGCGAGCGGTGGGATGGACGACTTGCCCGGCAGAAAAAAGAAAAAGAAATCCCGCGCCATAACATTCGGCTCCCGGCCTGCTGCGGCGGCGCGGCCGGTTGAGGCCGGGCTCGGCCCGGCCCGCAACGGCTGGCCGCCGACGAGCCCGCTTGCGCTGCTCGTCAAAATGGCGGCGGTGGCGATTGCGGCGACAAAAGTTCAGTCGCGCGTCTGTCGTCTGTCGTGTCTGTCGTATGTTGTCGCATTTCGCACACGCGCGCGCCGCGCGACCCGCGTCGCTCCGCGAGGGCATGAGCCTTCCGCGATTCGATCCCGCAGCCAAAAGCTGCTCGCTCGAACCGCGGCCGACTCCGCCATCGCGGCCGCAGCTGTTGAGCTCTCCAGAAGACTGGTGCCTGATATGGCATATGCTGCCTCCCTGCGGATGCTGCCGGCGAGCCTGGCGGTCCGCTGTACTACAAGGATGTGCTGACTCGATCCTACCCCGAATTCTTCTACCCCCACGACTCGGAACGCGAATGTGACAGGACCATCGGGTCCTTCGGCCACCAAAGCGAGATCACCCGAGAGCAGCTGAGCCTGCCTCTGGCCTCGCCTCCCTCTCCCTCAACCCAATATGAATAACTAAATCGAGCCGCGCAGTCGCGCCGCCACCTCGCGCCGTCCGCGCCTTTCGCTGCTCCTGTAATACGCGCCGCCGCGCCGCGCCGCCGCCTCGCGCCGCCCGTCGCCGCGCCGCGCCGCCCCAGTCCTCTTAGTCCATCATGAAATAAACTCAAAGTCCACCACAGCCACCAGCCTCCACCTCCACCTTCGAGCCGCGATCCCTGCCGCCCGCGACGCCGCCCGCCCTATCCAGTGCTCAAGTGCTCAAGGAGCTGCTGTTCACACCTGCACTGTCAGCCGGTCTCGCCCGAGTCTCCACCGAGTCTATCCAACAGGCCGACGCAACAAATGGCCGACAACAAGCGCGCGAGAGAGCGGACGAGCGGCGAGGAGGAGGAGCCGGCGTCGGCGGCGGTGGGAGCTCGGACGAGCGGCGAGGATCAGGCGGAGGCGCCCGCTGCATCGGCGGCGGCGGTGGCGGCTGAAGACGACGAGGGGCCGCTCTGCCGGTACTGCTTTGAGGGCGAATCGGAGGGCGAGCTGCTGTCGCCGTGCGACTGCAAGGGTGGGCAGAAGTGGGTGCACCTGCACTGCCTTCGGCGCTGGCAACGGATGGTCCTAGTGTCACAGCCGACGCACCCGGCTTTCTACACCAGCGACGCGCGACACCACACCTGCGGCGTGTGCGCCGCTCCGTTCACGTGTGCGCCGCCCACTCGCCACGAGCTCATGTCCTCCTTCACCGGCCCAGAGCTCGGTGCCTTGGTCGACGCCGGCTGCATGATTGGCGCGCACGCCGGCTTCTCAGCGGAGCTATCGCGCAGCCTCGGCAGCATGTCCGAGTACGTGGCGGAGGAGTCGTCTTACCGGCACTGGATCGGCGGCGCGTACCTCATCACGGAGACCGCCGCCGCGACGCCCGATCTGACCTTTTCGCTGCAGTCGCGCGAGGACATCGCGCTCCTCTGCTCCAACCTCGGCGAGGGCGACGCCTTTCAGGGGCCGCGCGGTGCGCTGTTGTCTGGCCTCGCCGGGGGGCCTCCAGCCCGCTGTTTGTCGTCATTCCCTCGCACGTTGATAGGCGTCACCCTTCGCCTCGCCGCGCGGGGCGCGCTCTCTCCGCCGCCAGAGGGCGAGGAGGCGGCCGGCGAGACGGTGCGAGGGCGGCTGGCTCGGCTGGAGCAGCGCGCGCTCGTCGAGCCGGGCGCGGTGCTGCCTCTCGACGTGACGCTGCTCAAGGAGCCGGCGCCCGACTGCGGCGAGGACCACATCACCGCCGTCAACCTCACCCGGATCGTGCCGCAGCCCTCGCTGCGGATGGCGAGACCGGTCGAGGCGGCGAAGGAGGCCCTTGCCCAGCGCTTCCCACAGGTCGGTCCGTCCCCTACCCCACGGTACCCGAACCCACCCTCCCCATACCCCACGGTACCCGAACCCATCGATCCCGCAGGTCGATCCGTCGCGCGTGCGCGTGCAGCACTACCGCGGCGGCCCGTGCGGCTCCGGCGAGGTTGCCTGCTGCATCGTGACGGGCGGTGGCTCCGCTGGCTCGAGCGGCTGGAGCGTGGCCGAGGGAATCGTCGCCGCGTTGGAGCTCGCATTCAGCCGCGCCACGCCACGATCCACCGAGCAGGGCGAGTTCGTGTGCGGACAGCCCGTCCGGCTCGCCGGGCTCGTCGCGCGCCCCGACCTGAACGACGCGCTGGGCATCGCCCTCCGCTTCGACGAGAGCAGCCGCCGCTGGCTGGTCCGGCTCGCCGACGGCGATGGCAAGGCGCTCAAGCCGGCGAATCTGCGGCCGCTGAGTGAGGCGCAGCGCGGGCCCGACGTGCTCATCTTTTGGGGCGACGCGCAGTGGAGCGCCGCGCTCACTCACGCAGCGCGAAGTGCGTGGCGGTCCCCGTGACGCGCCTTTGTTTCTCGAGTAGGAGCCGCACTCAGCTCCTCGGTGAGCTCGCCCGCGGCCACTGGGGCTTGTGCCGCGCGTCCGCCGCCGATCTGGTCGCCGAGCCAGCGACGCGGAGGGACGGCCTAGAGGGACGGCTCGTGTACGCCCCAAAGACGGAGATGAGCGAGGCGTTCCTGACGGCGGCGGCCGCGCAGATGCAAGCAGAGCGGGAACGGCGTGCGAGGGAGGAGGCGGAGGTGGACGCGGACGCGGACGCGGACGCGGACGCGGACGCGGACGTGGACGCGGAGGCATCGGTGCAAGAGGCGGCCGAGGCGGCCGAGCAGGGAGGGGGCAGCGCGAACGCCTTGCCGATGGAGGGCGCGTAAAATGGTGCCCCGCTCTCCCCACAAGAATCCAGTCGGCGCGCTAGTTCGACGCTAGTTGGGGGCTGTTATGTCGCCCAAGCAGATGTGGCTCTTGCCGCGACATGCATGTGTGTATGTGTGCGATGTGTGTGGCGCCTTGCCTAGCTTGTGAATACACAACATGCGACGGAATGGGCGCGACACTTGCGTACGTGGCTGGGTTCACAGCGATTGTAGGTAAAATGAGGGACCAAATGACGGTCGTGGCCTTCCGACTCGCGCCTCCGCCTCACTGGCACTATTGTAGCCCTGGCCGGTGCGCGTGCGGAGTTGAAGTTCCGGAGTGAAAATTCAAACGCGTTCTCTCACGGTGACCAAAAAATGTCCACCTCAGAGGCACCTCCGGAGGCAGGCCGCCGCACGCCGGCGACACAGCTCCAGCTGTCGAACTGACCCGCAGCTCCTCTCAGAGCGGGAACTGTGACGAAAGTTGACTGAGGCGGTTGTCAGGAATCATCATACGGATCACATGGTGGCTCTCTCATGACAGGAGACCGCCCGACCACTCCTGGGTGGCACTGCCACCGGTGTCGCTCGACGTCCTGTCGACAGCGTGCCGACAGCGACACAGACCATGTGGGACGCGCCGAGTATCGACCTCTACTGCTTACCCAGCCTTCGAGTGTATCCTGGCTGTGGTCCCATACCCACTGGTGTCCATCTCAGAGACCGCAGGAGGTCATGAGGGTCGATGGGAGAGCCAACCCCACAATGCCTAAAAACCCAGCCCAGTCAGTTTTGTTTTTCATTTACATTTTCTCGCGCGGAAAATCTCGCGCGGTTCGCACACCACACCACACCACACCACTAGCTCCGAGTAGAGGGGGACGGTGCGGTCTGCTGCTAGGGGGGCCCAAGGAAGCGCGAGGGGGAAATTCCGCCGCTGAGGGAAACCCGGAGCGCTGCCGTACGCCCTCGGACACACACACACACACACACACACACACACACACACACACACACACACACACACACACACACACACACACACACACACACACACACACACACACACACACACACACACACACACACCGCTCACCCACGCGCACCGGGCCTTGCACTTTGAATGCCGTGGGGCTCCTGTCGTTAGACGTGGAGACGCGAGGGTTGCCCCCCCTTGCCCCACCACCTCGTGTGTGTGGAGAAGTTTACCTTACCTTACCTTACCTTACGCCCTCGGAGACCCGTGTTATGGCCCTGCGACCGCGCACCCCCCCACGGTCGAGGAAGAGGGTGCGTTCTGCAGTTAAGGGGTAACCCGGTACACGGAACTATCCCTCGGAGACGTGTTATGGCCCTGCGACCGCGCACCCCCTGCGATCGCGCACCCCCCCTAGCTAGGGGTCAGGGCTCTCTAGCCCGCCCGTAGCCCGATCCCGATCATCCGGCTCGCTGGGTGCGCTTCTTAGCTCCCCGGCCCTGGATGTGAGGTTAATGACTGCACTCCAAGTGCTCCAAGTTCTTTACCGCCGTATGTACATTCCGTACTGCCTCGGTTTTTTGTTGTCGTACTTTGGCGTACACGGGTCACGGGTCGATTCAGAGTTGCGCGGAAAAACTCAGCTGACGTAAAAAGACACCGGTGTGCGGTGACACGGAGAGAGAGGAGCAGAGACGCCCGCGCGGGGCGGTAATTTACTTGGTAATTTACGTATCCCCGCGCGCCGCGGGCCGCGCGCCACCGCCGCAGCAGGTGTGAGGTGACTTGCTTTTCGGAAGCTGCGATGGTCACACCCCACGCACTCAAGTTCAAACAAGAACAGTCGGAGGAATGGGAGTGGATTCCTCGTCACGACGCGACACTCAAAAAGAGTAATGCGGGTCCGGGTCTCCAGGTAGGAGCTCCGGAGCAGCAAAAACAAGAGGCTTACAGCTCGGCAAAGAAGGCTGCCAGGGCGGATTGCAGCTCGCGATCTCGCAACAATGCCATCGGTATCTCGTGCCCGTGCGCATGCGTGTACGTGCGCGCCGTGGCCGGCTCGAAGGCGCTGACCAGCTGCTGCGACGAGCTGCGGTGCCAGTCTCGCTTGCCAATGAGGTGCAGGCTTGGCACGCCAGCCGGCAGCTGGGGCTTGCAGAGTGGGGTGGCGTCTTCCCCTTTGCCACGGCCGCACTGCGCAATGGAGATCCGGTTGACGACCGACGTCCCGCCCGCATTCGCGAGGATCGCGAAGCGAAAGGGGCACGCGGTGAGCCCGCCGATGCCCCGCCACACTGTCTCGCTGCAGAGGAGAGTCGCCATCACTGCGCCCTACGAGGCGGAATAGTGGAGAGGCGGTGGAGAGGCGCGGGTTGGCGTTAGGAGGCGGTGTAGGCTATCTATTCGCGCTTCTCGGAGCCCGTCACGGCTAGCACGATCGACCTGCGAGAAGCCGTAGACCCCATCATACGGCCCGTGAGTCTGCAGGTGCTCGATGATCCGGCAGAGCGAGTCGTGCAGTGACCCTCCCGCCACGCCTGGGCCTTGGCCGACCAGCGTGCCGACCAGGCCAGAGAGGTGAAACCACGTGTGGAAGGGACCCGGCGACAGCTGTGCAATGGTCCCGTCGCGTGCGGTCGTCTCGATCTGGGCGGAGAGGAAGTCGCACTGCACGCCGTGCTTTTTGGCCAGCTGCAGGTTGAGCACCTGCAGCTCGCTGATGTCGTTATTGGAGCCGTGGCCGTGAAGGACGAGCAGCCGATGCTTCAGTGCCCCTGCGGGCGGCTTGGAGCGCTTGAAGCGATTGGCGGCCTGCTCGTCGCTTTCCACGCCGTACCCGTTGTCCTCGACGGTGGGTACGCTCGAGTCGGCTCCCATTCGCACAGCAGCCAGCTGGGCGGATTTGGCGGCGCGGAAGTCGCTCTTCGGCCGCGCTCTCGTCGCACAGCTCTGGGAGCCAGCTGGGAGCGAGGGAGCGAGGAGCGAGCCGACTGGATCGAATCTGAACCAGGTTCGCTGTGAAGAGCTGGAGCCGCCACCCAAGAGCCTAGGTAGGTGCGGATCGGCAAGAGCGCAATCGATCTTTTTGCCCTCTATCACCTTGGGTTGTAAGAACTTGAAACACACCACGCAGGGGCACAGCAAGCACGGATAGCCGTTGAGGAGAAAGGGTAAGGTGTATGCGCACGCAGCCACGGCCGTGCCGCGGTGGGCGCGCCACCTCCCGCGAGCGCGGCGGGATCGGAATTGCGGCCGGAGGGAAGGGCGAGCCGCCGCCGCCGCCGCCATATACCATCAGCGACGACGACCGCGGCTCGCCCCAAACGCCAGGCGCTGGATCGGCAGTAGGGCTTGGGCGGCGCAGCGTAGGCCTCGAGCCACACGAGTCGCCGACAACCCCCCCTCATCGACGTGATGGCCGCTCTCACTGCCGGCCGATGCAAGCTGCCGCCTCCACCGCACCAGCGATACTGGCCGCGGCTCGCCGCCACGCGCCGGCTCGGAAGAGGGGCTGTCGGCAGCGCAGCAGAGCGGCATGCGTCGTCATTCGAGCAGCACCAGGTCCCCTCTTCGACGTGACGGCCGCTCCCGGAGCCGGCCGGTGCGCGCCCGACCCACGCCCCCTCTCGCACCCCCCCGATCCCCCTGCGCGGCGCCCCCTCCACTGCGCGCCGGCTCGAGCGCCTATTGCCAAATCGCGACTTTCGAGCGCAGTGCGTGCGCCCCACACGTCACGCAAGCGCAGGAGAGTTTGCGGCAGAGCAGTACCGTGTACTAGCCGGAGGCATCGCGCCGAAAACCCCGCGCATTCCGCCCCAACAGAGGCTGCAGGAGGCAGATGGCCAATAGCGACGATCGCGAAATGTTGCGGGAGCGGGAGCTCTCTAAGCTGTCTTGGGTGGTTATGTGTCTTGCTTTTCATGTGCTTATCACAGTAGCCCCGGGACGGGGGGGGGGGCGGGCCTCACCCGGGACTCACCCCGAGACCTCACCCCGGGACGTCGCCGGCTGCGGTGAGGCCCCACCCCCGGGGCAGTGAGGGCGCACGCACGCACCCGGGGACGAGCTACCCCTCCGCCCTCCGGTGCGAATCAAGCCGTGAAATGCGTTCCCTACAGCAACCCACTGCTTCAGGCAGGTGCATTGGTGCTGGCAGTCAGCCAGGGGCCGGGGTGGAGCCCTTGGAGGTCCCTGACAGCGATGTTCAAACCGGCTGGCCAGGTCGGGCAGCCCGGGGCTAGCACCGGGGTGGGGTGAGGGCGTGAGGCCCCGGGGTGGGGCAGGTGAGGGAGGGGGCGGGGACGGCCGGGCCCCGGTGAGCCCCGGGTGAGGCCCGCCCCCCCCCCGTCCCGGGGCTACTGTGATAGTCACATCATAGCCTGAAGGTGCTTTTAGTATGTTCTGACTGTGCTCGGCGTTTTAAATTAAAGGCATTATGTGTTTAAAAATTCAATGTGGTCCGCCGAAATTCAATCAATGTCTCTTGTGTTTTGTTCTCTTGTAGTGGTAGGTTCTCTTGTAGGGGGGTTGTGTTTTTGTTTTGTATCCGCTTTCTCTCAGTTTGTTCTTTCTCTCTTGTGAAGTCGTGATTTCTTGTTGGTTTTCAAAAATCTCTCTCAACGTCATCCCACATCCGCCGACGTCTTTGTTTTTGGCCGCGGCGTTTCGAGAGAAAAACAAAGCTTTGCTACATCATACCTTTTGCCTTCTCTCTGGCGCTCCCGCTCCTGGTCGGTGCGTTCACACCGACATGGAGCCTCCTGTCGGGACCGTCCAACGACCTCATTCGCTCTCACTCACCTGGTAACGCCCTGTCTCTGTCTGCCTCTGTAATTGCTCCCGCTAGGTAGCGGATCTTAACGCCACCTGTAACCTCTCCTTAAAAGGTATGAAGAGGGCCGGCCGGGTGGCCGATCTGATAGAAGGATTTTTCACAGAAGATAAAAATCTCTGCTCCAGCAGATAGATAAGAAAGCAGTCCACCTTCGTGTGTGTCGTCTCCCCCCTAAACCGCAACCCAGGCCCGCAAGCATCACCATCAGCCGAGCCCGCCGCCGTTTGTATGTAAGAGCCACACATACATACACTACGCCATCTCCGTCGCTTCGGTGAAGGAGGTGAACCACCGCGCCATTCTCGATCGCCGTGCGAGGCTCGCTTCCGAGCTTTCACGCCGCGCGTAGGGCCTTTCTTTGGGGCCTAGATAGAGAACACACACCACACAAAAAACACACCCCCTGCCCCTCCCGTCTCCCCTTCCTTCGGCCGCGCTCTCGTCGCACAGCTCTGGAGATTTTGCTATTTGTTCGTGTGGGGGTATAGCAGATTTGTCAATGGTACCGCGTCTGCGACGCGGGCGCCTTGCGGGCAGAGCCTTAGCCACCCTTTATATCTTGCGCGGTCAAAACGTGCGGTGAAGAGTTACCGGTGTCCAACCACCTCCCCAGAAATCCCGAGGAGCCGAGAGATTTTTAGGTTTAGGAGCCGTGCAGTGCCTAGATAAGTCTGTGTGCTGTGTGGTGCACGCCCTCCGAGCGGGGCGGGGTCTGCCCGTCGGGTTGCTGCCCTAATCCCACCAGGGATTGTCTGCTCTATTTATTTATTCCTCGAGTCGAGCTGGCAGCCACCAGACCAGCGAATGCGCCGTGCCGTTGCCAAACGCAGATTTGTTTTTTTCAGCGACGCTGGCCACTGGCTTCGATCGTGTGCGTCGTACGGTGGTCTCATGCCCAGACCCCAGTGAGGTAGTGCATCTGGCCACTCCTGATCCTGCTGAACAAGCTCCTCTTGTAGCTCGATCGGTCACACCGCCATCGCCGACGGGGAGAGGGGGGACGACACTGCTTCAGCAGCGTGCACCTCGATCCTGTACCGTGTTTGTTATGACCCCCCCCAATGAACACACCAGTGAGGGAGGGCGAGACGATCGAGGGGTCCCGTACCATGCGGAATCGACCCTATCCAGTGCTCAAGTGCTCAAGGTGCACGTGTCCCCTTAATTTCCTTTTCATTGTTGTAAAATCCTTTTCAATGGCTCTGCTGCTAGAGAGATTTCTTGTTGGCTTCTAAAAATCTCTCTCTGCTGCTATCCAAGTACACACAAAACAACTCTAACACTCACACGTCGTTTGCTCTCTCTCTCTCTCTCTCTCTCTCTCTCTCTCTCCAAGTTGCAAGTAGCACGCAGCCGGGTCCCGAAGTGTCCCATCCCAAATTCGGGCCGTCGACAGACTCGGACTGGAGCAGTGTACTGTTGACACGTGTGAATTCTGCCCTTCATTCTGGCTTGGAGAGCGAGCCGGGATCAACGATCGCCTCACTGCTGCTAATGCTCTCCTTTGCCGGTCAGCCGCCCCCATTACTCGCCCCCCCTCGTCCGCCGCATGACCCGCGTCTCCACTGCGCCGCAGTCCTTGGCGCCTCGACCGCCTTGCTGGCTGGGGCAAGCGCGCCCGCCGGAGGTACGCTAGCTGCCCCGCACCTGATCTGCACCACCTTGCCTCACGCTTGCGCTGCCCGGGTAGCGAACGGCGTGGTTCGTCCTCGTGCTGCGGTGCTACTCGCCGAGGCGGCAGCGACCACCGACGAGCAGAAGGCCTCCGGCATCAGCTGGGATTCGCACCAGTACGTCGACCAGGCGCCCGAGTCTCTCATCCGGGACGACGACCTGCAGGGCGCCAACCAGGACATGCGGCGCAGATTCGAGGAGAACTGCAGGAGGGCTCAGAACGCCATCTGCAAAGCTGTCTCCGAACTCGACGGGGCCGAGTTCCGCGAGGCGCGCACCGCATGCACACATATGTCAGCTCGCCAACCCGGCTCAGAGCCAACAGAATGCGCTGCGAGCTAGCCCTGCCAGCCGCGCCCTGACCTGGGATCCGGCCATCTGCATCACCGTGTCGCGCTCCGCATTGCCCTTCGCTCGCCGTAGATCGCCGCCACGCACCCCCAACCTCGCTCCCTTACCACCCGCCCTCGACCCGCCCTCGCGCGCCCGTGATCTAGGATGTGTGGACGCGGCCGGGTGGCGGCGGCGGCATCTCGCGCGTGCTCTGCAACGGCAACGTCTTCGAGAAGGCGGGCTGTTCCCTCTCCGTCGTGTACGGCTCGATGCCGCAAGACGCCCTGCAGTCGGCGACGTCGCGTGGCGCCGACCGCGCCAAGGGGTACGCGCCGGGCGAACGGGTGCCCTTCTTCGCGTGCGGCCTCTCGTCGGTGATGCACCCTCGCAACCCGATGGCGCCGACGATGCACTTCAACTACCGCTACTTCGAGACGGACGGCGGCGTGTGGTGGTTTGGCGGCGGCTCCGACATCACGCCGGCGTACCTCTTTGAGGAGGCGCGGCCGCGCGCACCGCGCGCACCTCTCGCCTCGCGCATTCCCCCCCCCCCCTTCCCCGGGGGAGGAGTGCGCCTCCTCAGCCGCGCGCTCGTGCTGCAGGACATCGCGCACTTCCACCAGACGTACAAGGACGTCTGCGACACGCACGACCCCGAGTACTATGCGCGCTTCAAGAAGTGGGCCGACGAGTACTTCACGATCAAGCACCGCGGCGAGACGCGCGGCCTCGGCGGCATCTTCTTCGACGACCAAAACGACCGCGACCCGGAGGCCATCTTTGCCTTCTCGAAGGAGTGCCTCGACTCTGTGGTGCCCGCCTACCTTCCGCTGGTGGCCAAGCACAAGGACGACTCCTTCACGCAGCAGCAGAAGGAGTGGCAGCTCATGCGGCGCGGCCGGTACGTCGAGTTCAACCTCGTCTACGATCGCGGTACGACGCCGCCCTTGCCCCGTGCCCCTCTGCTTCCCGACTCTGAGACGCAGGCGCACACCCCATGACTAGGCACCGTCTTTGGCCTCAAGACGGGCGGGCGCATCGAGTCGATCCTCATGTCGCTGCCGGAGACGGCGCGGTGGGAGTACTCGCATGAGCCCGCGGCAGGCTCGCCGGAGGCGGAGATTATGGACGCCTTCAAGACGCCGCGGGAGTGGGCAAAGTGAGAGCGGCGCTGGCACGGAAGGCGGTGTGTATCTACGCCGCCGCGTGCAGCGCGGCCAAGGCCAAAAGCCTGACGACATGTGCCGCCACAGCCCTCCGCCCCCCCCCCCCCCCCCTCCAGTGGAGAAGTGCGTAAACCGTGTTTGAAAAAAACATCGTACTTGAAAAAAAACAGCACACGCGGACGCGGAATGAGCGAACGCTCGTCACGCCGAACCTGGGGCTGGGCGAACTCATCGACCGCCGCCACAGGCACAGCTGGCCACGAGCACGCAGCGACAAAATGCTGACTGTACGGAAGTTGAGGCTGGTCGAGAAGAAGAGGCTGCCGTGCGAGCCGGCAGCTGCCCGTAACCCGATCCCTATCATCCGGCCCGCTGGGTGCGCTTCTTAGCTCCCCGGCCCTGGGTGTGAGGCTCTGATGACTGCACTCCAAGTGCTCTCCAAGTGCTCTTGAGCACTTGCTTGAGCACTGGATAGGGTCGATTCCGCATGGTACGGGACCCCTCGATCGTCTCGCCCTCCCTCGCTGGTGTGTTCATTAGGGGGGGTCATAACAAACACGGTACAGGATCGAGGTGCACGCTGCTGAATGAAGCAGTCAGTGTCGTCCCCCCTCTCCATCATCTCACTGGGCTCTACTTTATGGCCCCTTGCCTGCGAACGCGCACCCCCCAAGGGCTAGGGCTCTCTAGCCCGTAACCCGATCCCAATCATCTGGCCCGCTGGGTGCGCTTCTTTTAGCTCCCCGGCCCTGGATGTGCGGCTACTGACTCGGGTGACTGCACTCCAACCGCAAAAGTGCTCCACAAGTGCTCTAATACCTGGGACCCACTCTGTCCCCCCCGCCGCCGCGGCGCGGATCGCCTGGCGGACGGCCCGGTCGTGTGCTCTCTCTTGGAGAGAGAAGACGGCAGACTCCACACACACGACACACTCCAGACCGCAAAAACTCAGATCACAACTTGTCGTGTACACAACCAACACGTGAAACGCAAACCTCAAAGAAACGCGCTCCAACGGACAACGCGCCGCGCTCTCCCCCCCCCCCCCACCACACGCAGCACAACCCAGATCTTTTTTTATGGAAGGTAGATGATAGTATAGAAGTGTGCAGTGCGTGTCCCGAACGCGTGTTGGCCCCAGACAGCCACCAACAGCCAACACCTCTCTCGGCTACTCGGCAACCATCTGAAACGGGGTCTGGGCGAGTGTGTGGGCAGTGAAGGTTGGGCCAGACCTGAGCGGAGTGAGAGTGTGTGCGTGTGTGCGCGCGCGAGAGAAGAAGGGAGGGAGGTCGTTGAACCGATAGGGCACACTACGGCGAAGGTGCGTTCAGACCTCTTTTCTGCTGGCGGCGGCGGCGGCGCGTCGCTTCTGCCGCCAGATAAAGAGCAGAGGCACGCACTGGAGGACCGCCATGAGCGCTGCGAGCAGGAGAGCTCTTCGCCTGCAGGTGGAGTGGGGCGTCCGCATGGCGGTGTAGGGCCCGCGGAAAAACAGCTCGCCGCGCTCTTTTCTTTGGGCAAGTTGCAGTGGGACGCATCTCGGGTCGCGTCTCGCTCTATCCACACCGGAAGGAGCTGCCGAGCTCAAAGCGGCTCTCGCCGAGGTCACGCAGCGTCGCGCCCGTGAGAGTAAGGAAGAGAAGAGAGCCCTGGCGCCGGCGCCGGCGGGCGGGGAGAGGGTCACCGGGGGAAGGCCCTTAGGGCGAGGCGAGGGGAGAGGCGCGCGAGCCAGCCTGCGTGCCGAAGAGCGACGCGACGAAGAACGGTCGGAGGGGCACTCCGACAAGCGGGCACGCGAGGTTGCAGAACCAGTTCGGGAGGAAGGGCGTCATCCGCAGCCACACGTTGAAGATGAGCATGTGCTCCTGCTGGCGAGCAGACGCCGCGTGAGCAGTGAGCGGCGCCTCCTCTCACGGCACGCGGTGAGACGGAGCCGCTCCTTCTCCGCCTCAGCCCGCAGCCGCAGCGCCTCGAGCTTGGCCGGGAAGAGCCTGCCGACGACGGGGCGCGCAAGAGCGCCCGAGAGCAGGTAGCAGGCCGACGAGCCAAAAGCCTGCGGCGGGGCAGAGACCACGGGAGGGTGTGTGGGCCGTGTCACGACAAACCACCCGCCGAGCTCCCGCGCGCCTCGCCAACGCCGGTGAGAAACTGCGCGAGGGGCAACGGGTACAGGGCGCCCGCCAGGATGCAGAGGGTGAAGGCCGGTCCCGCTAACCCCTTCATGGCGACATAGACGGCCATAAAGGTGGCCGTCACGTGCCACCAGTTGGCCTCCTGCACCGCGCCGCGAGGGAGTCACGGCCGGTGAGTGTGATCGGCGGCGACGCGGGGCGGGGGGTGGCGGTGGTGGGGAGGGGGCTGCGTGCCTGGTAGGCGCTCGCACATGCCCAGAGGTCCTGGATGCGGTCCTTGTCGAGCAGCAGCGCCGGGGAGACCCCGTCGCACACATTTCCCTCAATGGTTGGGGCAGAGCAGAGCAGCCACGCCACAAGCGAGCCATGAGCCAGCAGCAAGCCCAGGGCGGATCGCTTGCGGATGTACATTGCCGTCCGCTGGCAAGCCGGCGCAAAGGCCTGGGCGGCGTCCGGCCAAAACAAAAAGAATTCTTCCACGAAGCCTCTAAACACGAGAGAACGACGCACCACGCACTCTGTGTTCGTGTGCGTCGCCCATCTCTCCCTGGAGATGATTGCTCTATTTATTTATTTACGACGCACCACCACACTCCTCTCCTTAAAATCCCTGCCTGTGTGGCGGCGTGCCGTCCTCCCATCCCTCCCTCTGGTCTGTTTTCTTTCTTTCTTTATATCGGCTGCACACTCGCATCTTTTCTTCTGGGCGGGGATCCCATCCATCCGTCCGGGCGTTTCAGGCTATCTCTCCGAACACGCGCGGCTACCTGGTCTGAGCGGCACTGAGGAGGGTGTAGAGGATGTAGAGTGTAGAGCGCTATGTAGAGCTGTAGAGTGTAGAGTGTAGAGCGCTCTGGAGCGCTGTAGAGCTGTAAGAGCTCTACTAACATCCCGGCGGCCGGGACGGACCGCCACCGATGTAGAGGGATGTAGAGCGATGTCGAGCGATGTAGAGCGATGTAGAGCGATGTAGAGCGCGATCACTTAGTCACTTAGTGATTTCACTGACACTGTGAAAGTGTGGGTACTACAGTTGTATATACCAACTAAAGTGAGATTTTCGGACTCGGGCCCGGTGCTTCGACGCAGCACAGTGTGGGTTCGTGGTAGCATGAACTCAGAACGGCCCCTCGAGAGCGCCTCTTCGACGCCCACGGGTCCCGGGGGGTCGGAGGGGTTGCGAGAGGGCCCCGGCTATTTTTGTTTGAATCCCGGAGGCCGTTCGAACATGAACTGACGTTCCACGTGCCCGTCCACAGCTACGGACAACATATGCTAGCCCAGCAGGCCGCTCCCACCGCCGCCCGCGGCGGACCGGAGGCAAGGCGGCAAAGGGTGGCAAGGGCGGCGGCAAGGGCGGTGGCAAGGGTGGTGGCCGTGGCGCACCAGACCCGCTTTGCGCCGCCGCCCTCAACGCCCGATACTCGATCAGAGCCGGCGGAGCGACGGCGGCGGAGACACGGAGATGGCGCACGATGCTTGTGCGGGCACTATGCCCATATGCCGTATCCGAGCCAACCACATAGCGGGGTCGTTCGTGTCGTCGCGTTTGTGTAGAGAGGAGTTGCGGCCGCCGGCGACCTCACACGGCGTCGAGCGCCGTATAGAGACGCCTCGAGAGCCGCCACCAGGTGTGCCACGACCGCGGCCGCGAGGCTCGTGGCGATGGATGCGCCAGACCCGCTTTGCGCCGCCGCCCTCAACGCCCGGTACTCGATCAGAGCCGGCGGAGCGACGGCGGCAGAGTTGCGGCCGCCGGCGACCTTCCCCTCGACCACGCCGCCGACCCGTCGACAAGCACGCGCGGACTGCCATCGAGAAGAAGGAGAAGGAGGGCGGCGCATCCGGAGCCCGCGGGCGCGGCGTGGGCGGGCGCGGGCGCGGGCGGACGCGCGGGAACCCCGCCAGAGGAGGCGGCAATGCCTCTGGCGGCTCTGCAGGCGGCGCGCGGCGCGCCCCTCGCCGCGGTCTCCCGCACGCTCCTGAGGGCCGAGAGGGCCGAGAGGCGGGGTCGGTGACCCGGGGGCATGGGCGGTGCGGCCCGCGCCGCGCGCGGGCGCGTGGCAGCCCGTGAGTGCCGAGATCGGGTCCGTTCTCCGTACTTCGACGTAGTATGGGGCCCCCGGGGGCCCTCTACAGCAGCGGCGAAGTGAGCGTGTTTGTGGTGTTGGTGTGACGTCTGAGCTTGGATCGGTGACTAAAGCCGCTTACCACTGATGGATCCCCACCCGAATAACACACAGTGAGCGCCCCAGCACTTCACTACGCCCTCCGCGCGAAATCGCTAGTGGTGCTTTGTTCTTGGAGCACTTGGAGTGCAGTCATCAGCCTCACATCCAGGGCCGGGGAGCTGAGGAGCGCACCCAGCGGGCCGGATGATCGGGATCGGGTTACGGGCTAGAGAGCCCTAGCCCCGGGGGTGCGCGTTCGCAGGGAAAGCGAAAGGGCCGTAAAGGGCAAAAAAAACGGCCTCGGGCACCGCACCCGTGCTGCCACAAAGCACAAAAGCACAATAAGGTGGAGCTCCGGGACCGAGGACTAAGCACGGAAGGTGGAGCTCCGGGACCGAGGACTAAGCAAGTGTGGAAATTTCCGGAAACAACAACACGAACGAAAAAGAAAAAAGCGAACAACCATCGAAGGTTGACGAGCCGAACTCGATGAGCTACGCTGAAATGAAGAGTGTGCTGGTTTTGGTGCTGATCCTCGTGAGTGTCGGGCTCTCGTCGGCCCTAGCGTTGCCCCTTGACTATCTGCAAAAGGCCCCGCCCTCGAAGCCAAGCTCAGCTCAGCTCGCCAAGCGGAGCGCTTTGCGTCGGTCAATCAAAAATCCGTCCACCAGATCGGCAAAAGCCACTCGTGCTGGGCACCCGTGATCGAGGCGCCGGCAACGCGGCCGCGCCTTCGACTCCGCAACGAGAACCCGACCGCCGTTCAGATTTCGCGAGCTGATCACCTGCATCTCTCAGGCTCGCGCTGCTCGCCTTCGGGCGCAGCCAACATGCTCATGTCATCCAAGGCCCGCCGACACGCCCCATACCATGCCAGCCGCCATGCTGAGCCTCCTCCGGCCGACTCTTACACACCTCCTTCTCTTTCTGTGTGCCACACGGACTACATCACTTGTCGGCGTGTGTGAGAGACTCTGCTCGACGTCAGGAGCGTGCTCTGTGGCACTCCTTTTGCATACTCGACATAAATACAGCCAACCATTTTCTACAGCTCCGGCCTATTTTACCTCGTTCTTCGCCGCTGCGTGACCACTCGTGGGGCGCTTGAGCCACTCCCGCCGCGGTTGGGCCCCCGGCGGCCGGCGGCACCGCGAGCGACTCGTTCGTCCACGCCCACACCTGCCACATGGCGCGGCCGAGGTCAGTGTAGGCCTCGCGGCCGTGCGCCGTCAGAAAGTTGTCCACCACCACACACTCGCCCTCCTCGAGCCGGAAGCGAGCCGCCTCGGCGGTCTCGGCGGCCACAGCGCGGAGAAAATGCATCACGGTCTGCATGTCGAAGTCCGGCCTCAGCGATGTCGGCAGCGGGCGCACGGGCGGCGCTTCCTCGGTCTCGAGAGCCGCCAGCAGGGCGTCGGCGTCGGAGAAGGAGGAGATTCGGATCGCCGGCCTTTGGCCGGCGATAGGATTTGGAACGACGAACCGCTCGACGCGATCGGTCGGTGCTGACGCCGCGTGTTCCGACTGCTGTGCCTGCGTGCGATCGGTGCTGTTGTCGCTGAGCCGGTCGTAGCCCGGCGGCAGTTGGATGCGTTGCACGATCGAGAGGCGATCGATGTGTGCTTCCGGTGCTCTGCAGGCATGCGGCGGACGGCGGCGCGCAGGCTCGTGAGGAATGACTCACCACCCGGGGAACGGCCTGCGCGCACAGAGCATGAAGAAGTCTGGCGCCTCGTACGGCTCAACGCGATACTGCACGATGGTGTCAACGTGCGCAGGCCGCGCCTCCAGATTGGTGATCGGTGTGCCTCCTTTGAACCCAAAGTTGTTGGTGCCAATGCACCGGAGTTCGTATATTTTCTTTTCAAAGGGGGCAAGTGCTATTCTAGTACAAAAAAATCTTCGAAAATTCACAAGCTCTCCAGCAGCCCTGAGGTGCCCTGAGCACACATGCGAGCGCCCATGGTCATATCTCGTCGTGCACTCGCCTGACAGTAGTTTGTTTGCGGAAGACCGCCGCCAGCATGTCGTCGCACCGGCGCTGCCGGTGGCCAAAGGCAGCCACCGTGGGTCCAGCAGCGCGAGCTGGTGTGAATCCGCGCTCCCAGAGCATGCCGGTGGATGGCCTTGACCAGGCTTGAGCAGCTCAGGAGTGGAGGCAGCCTCTGTCTGGACGAGCAGCGCTGATTCCAAACCAGCAGAACAGCACCGAGCGGCGGCGCCGACTTCGGCTAATCATGTGCATGTGCTCCTGACGCTTCAGGCCAGTACAACGGCCGGGCGTCTGAGATGAGGTCAGGGCCGCCCGACGAGCCGCCGCCGCAGGGTGCGGAGCCGATCGAGCCAGGTCTCTCGCGCGAACCCTCCAGCATGAGTTCCACGAGCATGAGCACGATCAATGGAATTTCGACGCTGACGGTTGCGGGCTCAAGCGAGCGTGGCGGCGACAACGAGGCGGACACCCTCAAGTCGATGTTGGCCCAGGAGCGCGAGCTCTTCCAAAAGCAAGTAGCGGCGCTCCGGAAGCAGCTTTCAGATGAGCACTCAGACAACGTCTCCATCAAGAAGGTGCTTCAGATGCAACAGATGCAGATGCAGATGTTGGCCAAGCAGAACGAGTCGATTCTCAACGACCTCAAGAACCTGCGAGACCACATGCCGGCCGACCAGTCGACGCCCTAATCAATGCGTAGGCATCGCCAACTCGTTTTAGCGCTGATTGTGAATCACTGCACTCGCGTTCCTCAAACTCTCTGCGCTTCCGCGGCAGGGCAACCAGCTGCGCAAATGCACGAGGTATTCCGGGCTCCTCTTGGAGCGTGAAGCTTGCTTGCGTTTAATGCGCGCTGTTTCTGTGTAGTACTGTATCACGCGGGCTGTTGGTCACGAGAGGGGGCGCGTCGGTGTAGATGTATGCATGATTCTTGGACGCTTTATTATATCACAGTTCACACCCGCGCACCCGCGCGCGCGCACACACACACACACGACGCTCCACACAACACAGCCAAGAAAAAAAGAGGCCGTTCGTGTTCCTTTTTACCCATCTCCTAGAGAGAGGTGTGGGTCCGGTTTTATTTAGCCAAGAAAGAGACGGCACACCACCCGGCCGAGCGGCCCAGCGCGCCCCCCCCTCGCGTGGCTCCCTCTCCCACCTCCCACAGTAGAAGACCGTAGCACAGGCTACGGCTTTAAAAAGTCTAATTTAAACGCTTTAAGAGGTCAAAAAGTCGCCAGAGCATCTCGCGTTACCGCAACTCGCTGAAGCCAAGAGTGCACAGTTCCGGCGGCCAGAGACCGACGCCAGACCGCTCCGAACGATAGCTGCCTCTGAGCAGTCAGGCGCCCCTCGCACGAAAATACTGGTACATGCCAAAACTTATCAGCGTGATCGAGTAGCCAAGGAGCTCTATCCGGCTCACCTCCTCGTTGAGGGCAGCGGCAGAGACGAGAACGAGCGACGCATTGCGCGCCGTCGAGAGCACCTTGAGCGTGACTGAGTTGGTCAGCTTGATGACCGCTGCAGCGCAGTAGTTTACTCCAGCACCAAGCGCCATTGAGAGTAGGAAAGGCCATGGGTTGGCGAGTGGCATCGCCAGTGCGTTGGTGGATAGTGCACGCGGGAGCTCGAAAACTGCGGCAGAGGCGAAGAGCCACACCCCACTGATGGGTGCCATGTAGTACTGACCCTCGACCACCCCAAAGCTGTGGTTCTGAAGGAGCTTCTGCGTCAGCACGAGGCGCAACGCCTCGGACGCCTCGGCGGAGAGCATGATGCAGAGCCCTGTCAAATCAAAGGCGGGCGCGCCATAGGAGGCCGCCGCGGTTCCCCCGCACATACCCAGCACCGTCATCGAGACGAGCGGGGACGGAAATTCGATGCGGAGTAAGCAGAGCATCGCCAGGGTGACGGTCGGCGTGAACGATTTGAGCATTTGGATGAAGCCCACCGGGAGGTACAAGTAGACCGCGTTCCCCGCCGCCAAGGTCGCCGCCATCGCAGCCCCGATTGGGAGTAGGTTGGTCGCGACGAAGCGGGGTGTGAGCATACTTCGGTGGGATGGCTCGACGACCCGGAGCACATTGACCAGGATCACGGCAGTGAGCGAGGCCCCCACCAGCCCGAGCCCGCTGAGCATCATCGGGAAATCGAAGCCGACGACTTTCAGCAGGTGGCGATTGACCAGAATGAGCGCCGGACCGACGGATAGATATACCGCAACAGATACGACAACTCTGGCCACGCCGAGCCACGAGAGGCCGTCTCTCTCAACAAAGCGTTCCCTGTCGTCCTCCCCGTCCCCTGGCGAGCACTCTGAGTCGAGGTCCTTGGCAGCCGCCAAGCTGTCGCCCGTCTCTTCGACCAGCCTGATCTCCTCGGAGCTTTTCCGCCGCTCGTCAAGCGCCATGGGGGGGGCGGGCGCGCGTGGCGGAGAACCCCAGACGCTGCCTGACGTGGAAGAGTTTCAGACGCCTGCTCGCCTGAGTGGCGCGATTTTTTTATTTTTTGAGTGCTCCAGAGTGTGTGTGACGCTGCTAGACCTAGAGATGCCTTTCGGGGCCCAGAGATAAAACTTCTGATGCCATGCATGACCTAGTAGTGTCCCCAGCTATGGGCGTGTCCACGTTGGAGCCAGGTGTGGTGTGGGCGCGAGAATAGCTCCGTCCGCCGTTCATGGAGGCAACCGATACGAGTCGACTGGTGTGTGTCGTCGTGGTTTCGTATCAAGAATACTCACACTCACAGTGCTCCAGTCTTGAGCACTTGAGCACTTGATAGGGTCGATTCCGCATGGTACGGGACCCCTCGATCGTCTCGCCCTCCCTCACTGGTGTGTTCATCGGGGGGGTCATAACAAACACGGTACAGGATCGAGGTGCACGCTGCTGAATGAATGAAGAGATCTCGCTCGAAGCAGTGAGTGCTCCTTCCTGTCTTGCTTGCGTCCACCCGTGGCGACTCGAACACACACCCACACCTCGCCGCAACTATCGCCGGCGCGCGACACGTTCCCGTCGGCTGGACTGTCCTCGTCGAGTGTGTGTCGCCAACCAAGGCGAGACGCACTCTCGTGGACAGTGCCGACGGGACGCGGCTCGAAGGGCGACTCCCGCGAAGGCACGGCTGGCACCCGTGGTGCGGGGCTCGTCTTCGGAAAGACCAGGATAGCTCTACTGGCAAACTTCTAGCTGACACGCGCGTCCCGTCGAGCTTACGGCGGGCGCGCTGCGGTCGCACGCCTCCCCAAGTCATATGCCGGACGGCGTGCGATCTAGATTCTGCACACGCGCTTCTGCTCGCAAACACTCATCCAATGAATTGTCGTCACCCATGAGTGTGAGTTAGGGCTAGCTGCTGGCGGCTAGCCTGTGAGGAGGGCGTCCATAGACACCTCACAAGACCCCACACACGGTCTCGTCCGTGCCTTGCAGCCGGCGGCGAGATTGCTAGAGGCGGAGCAAGCCTGCTCTAGTCTCACACGTTACTCCCTGTCGCCTGTCTGTGTTGTTTGTGCTGTTGTTTGTGTCCTTGGCACCTTGACGCTTGAGTGCTGGGGGGGGCGACAGGGGGGACGTGGCCCTGAGTGATGTGTACGCCAACTCAGGGTGCGTGTGGCAGACTAGCTGGCTGCGTGTCTTGTGAGCTTGTTTGTGTCTCTGTGAATCGCTCGAGTGTGTCGTCATCATCTATCCCGCGTCCACCCATACCGCGTTGGTGTCCAGTCCGAGCCTGACTGTTCTTCACCTTCGTCCTTCCTACATACATACCCGTTACCGCGGTTTTGTTTTTTATTTAGGTATGTTGTTGGCAAATCAGTCAGTACCGCGCTGGTGTCCAGTCCGGCCGGGGCTGCTGTTCTTCACCTTCGATACACACATAGATTAGCGTAATGGGGGAGAGGGGTGAGAGAGAGAGAGACTTCTTCTTGGGGGGGGTGTTTCTCTGGGCCCCCAAAGGCCCTACGCGCGGCCGACTCGAGTAAAGAAAGAAAGAAAACAAAACGAAGGGAAGGGAGAACGGATTAGGCTGTATCCATGTTTCCTCGCGCACCCCGTCTCGTTTCCTTTCCGTGTTTCTCCACAGCACCCTCTCGTTTCCTCTCTAGTTTCCCGAGGAAACTCCGTGGAAATCAGCTGGTTTGGGCCCAAAATCAGCCAAAGCGGCAAAATACCGGGGTATACCTGGAAATTACCCTGCGACCGGCTGGGTATTTTGCATGGTAGTTTGCCGAGTTCCTCGGTTTCGCCTCAGATTTTGCCCCAGACCAGCTCTCAGACTCAGGGAAACTCGAGAGTTGCCAGAATGGAGCACCAAACACCCTCTAGTTTCCCTGGAAATTTCCGGAAACGCAAAGTGCTGGGGACCCTCTCGTTTCCTTTTTGGTTTCCGGAAACATGGATACAGGCCAAAGAACGGAACGCCGCCACCACACAGGGATTTTAAGGAGAGGGGTGTCTTCTCTCGAGGTTCTCGACATCGACGAGACGGTTTTCTTTACCTGTGTTAGTGCCGCACCTGTGTTAGTGCTGGCTGGCCGGATTCCTCCTCCGTCCAAACAACTCAAGTTCGATCGGCCCCAGTCTCGAACTGGCGCCACTATCTCACCGGAGGTACCATGTCCGAAGAGGCCACCTGCACATTGGGTGTCAGAATTCTTTTTGATCTTTGACGAAGATCAGGCTCGCCCGTGAGGTCGCGCTTTTGGCCCTTTGGGTGGGCTCGCCCCACGCAGGCCGTGGGCTCGCCCCACTCATTGGCCGCGCTGATATTCGCCGCGCTGCTATGGGCAACGAGGTCTCATCCGCCGAAGATCCGCACGAGCCAGTGACGCGTGCAGGTGCGGCACAGTTGCCCATCTCACTCAACACGCGCTGCGGCCTCCAACTTCTCGTCTCGTAACACCCTGTCCCGCGCAGGCACCGTGCCAGTGGGTCTCCGATGGCCGCACGGGGGCAAGACAGCATATGTCTGCGGCTCGTTTACGCAGTGGCAGAAAGTGCCGATGCAGTGGCGACAGAGCAACTCGGGCGGTGAGTGGTTCAAGGTATCGAGCCCGCCCTCCGCCCCTGCGCAGCGCTCGGGCTCTGACGCCTGCACATCTCTGCCGCGCGGCTGCCGCAACAAGTCATAGTCTAAGCAGCTTCGTCCGTCCCATCCTCGACCCTGCACCTGCCTTGCGCAGGTGGTGGATCTGGCTCCCGGCAGCTACCAGTACAAGTTCATTGTCGACGGCCAGTGGCGCCACGATCACACCGCGCCTACGGCGCCACTCACGCCGCAGAGCCCCCCTCCATGTCTGCACTGCTGATCACCCGCGCGCGCCGCAGGTCCTCGACAACCTCGGAAACGTCAACAATTGCGTCACGATCCAGGCTTCCCCCGCGAGCGCATCCAGCCCTGCCGCCGCCGCCGCCGCCACATCGGCAGCCACCACCGCTGGCGGGAGTGGAGGCGCGGGCGGCGCTGGCGAGGCGCGTGGCTCTGTCTCCTGCCGTTCCTCCGACCCGTACAGCATGGGCGTTCGCAGCGGCGGAGGCGGTTCGTCCTCGTATGGCCAGGTTCGCAGCGCCCCCCACCCCCATCCCCACCCCCCACCCCCCACCCCCCCCACCCCCTCACCCCCTCGCCCGCGCCATGAGCGAGCCGTGGACCCTCATTGCCGTGGAGCAGATTGTGCCTGCGCGGGAGGAGCTCCTCGTTCACCACTCTGCCTCGCTGCTGCTGCCTCCCCAGCTGCGGCTGCTGCTGCCGGCGCACCACGGGGACCACACAACCATGCCGCTCTCGGTGCAGATGCACCACGTCTTCTGCGCCCAAGGGTGCCGCCCGCCACCGCTCCCCCGCGGCCAGGGCCCGCCCACATCTGGCTGCCGACCCATCCACCCACGCCGCCTCGTGTGCCGCGGCAGGCCCGAGGTAGCAGTCCTTTCGATGGCGCACCGCTACAAGGACCGCTCCATCACGCAGCTGCTCTACAAGCCCGTCCCGGGTGCCCTCCGCAACGGACGGCGTCCCACACACGTCCCTCACCTCGCCTCACAAGTCTCACCGTCGAAGCCGTGCCCTAGGCTCCGGCCACCGCCGCCCGGCACGCCGCCCAGCCGAAGCGTCCGAGCCGGCAGCCACAACGGCAGCCGTGGCGAGCCTGCCGGGCGGCACGGCGCAGCAGCGCAGGTCTGGCGGCTCTTCAGCGGCGCTGCTGAAGAGCGTGCGCCTTGCCGGCACGCAGCGACGGCGCCTGGCTGCGTTTCTTTCGCCGCCAGCCCGCACGGGGCGCCGTTTGAAGAGTCGTCCCGCCGCCCCCCCGCCAGGCACGATTCGACGGGAGAGTACGTGACGTACATAGTCGAGGCACGCTTGGCGCTGCGTGGCATGGAGACGACTCTGTGTGCCTCTCCGTGTTGGCGAGCCAGCGAAGCGGTACCACAACACTCATCTGGCGGTGTGTGACGGCGCAGGCGCTCCGAGCGACGCTACCGCCACTTCGACCTGCTGCACCAGCTCCTGCACCAGCAGTTCGGCGCGCTCGTGCCGCTGCCGCTTCCAGCAAAGCGAACGTTTGGCAACCTTCAGCCGGGTTTCGTCGAGGAGCGGCGCCTCGCTCTAGAGCGCTACCTGCAGCGGTGCCTCAGCGTCGCCGAGATCGGCTCGTGCGCCACGTTCTGTCACTTTGTGGAGTCGGACCTCGAAGCCGCCGACGCCGCGGGGGCCCTCGAGCCTTCCTCGTCCTCGTCGCGCCTCTTGGAGCGAGTGGCACTGATGCGTGGCAATCTCCTCAAGCGGTCCCAGTCCCAGCCAGTCTGGAGCCGCCGCTTCTTTGTGCTCTGCGAGGGGGCGCGTTCCGCATGCCGATTGGGAGTGGAGGCACTGATCCCGCCCCCTCTTCCTGACTCCTCTTTGGGAGTGCTGCGCTAGGCGCTTCACTACTACTACCGTGTCGAGCTGTCCAACCCGTTCCGCCCACTGGGCGTCATCCCCCTCTCAACCCAGGGGGGTGCCAGCTCGCCCCTTCTCACCCTCGTCCCTATCGTGCCCACCAACGGCGAGCCAGGGCTGGCCAGCCACTTTGAGCTCGCCTTGCACACGCCGGAGCGCGCGTGGCGGCTCGCGGCACCGTCTGCCGCCGAGCGCGCCGCATGGGTGCGTGCGCTTTGCCAGTGCGGCGCGCAGCTGTCGACGAGTGGTGCGGAGGTGCCTGAACCGTCCTTGTCGAGTGAGGCGGACGACGCGAGCGGGGCCGCAACCGCGAGCGATGGGCGAGCGGTGAGCGGCGCAGAGGAGCCCGGTGCGTACTCCGGCGAGCTCTACAAGGTGGCGTCCAGGGTGCACCTGGCTCAGCACGAGCCTCCCTCGCCCGATCTCGGCAGCGTGCGGCAGCGGCGCGACCAGTGGGTTCCCCGCCATTTTGTCTTGTCCCTCGCCGGGGGGGTGCTAGTCTACTGGCAGAGAGCGCGCGAGCCGCTCTCTGATGCGAGCGGGCTGCTCCCGCTCCATTGCTACGAGGGCGTCGCGGAGGCGCCCAGTCCGGCGGCGGGCCTACACGCGTTTGCGCTCACACACGCCTCGGGCGCCGCAAAGGCGTTTGTGCTCGCTGCCACAACCGCCGAGGCGAAGGCGGCGTGGATGGCGCGCCTCTCTGAGGCTGTGGCGGCTGCGCAGCAACGCCGTTCCGCCAGCGGCGATGACCCGGTGCACCCTGGCCCCCACCCGCTGCCACGCCCCCCTCTTGCGGTGGCCATCGCCCACGGCTCCCCGATACGTGCTGACGGGAAACAAACCACCCTTTGGCCTCAGGAGCAGCTCGTGGACGCCGTCGACGCCATGAACGTTTCCCCCCCCTGAGTCAGGGGGGCTGAGGGCGGCTGTGTGCTGGGTGGAGGAGAAGAGGGCGGAGAGGTTACCGCATGTCTCATGTGACACTCTCTGTGTCGTCGGATATGTGCATGTGTGTGCCATTTAGACGTGTCCCAGATCCCCAGTGAGTGCTAGTCCGAGGAGAGAAAAAAGGCATGCGTGATAGCAACACCGGATTTTATAACGGCGCCCCAGGAAAAGTTATATAAGAGTAATATAGAGGGCCTCGGTGCCAGGAGCGGCAGGCCCCAGGAAGTTAGAGGGCCTGTGCCAGGAGCGGGGCACAGATACGAGATACCTCGCTGCGCTTAGCCTTAGGTATCAGTTGAAGCGTGCTGCAAGCACGGGCATATGCTAGCAGGTATCCCGGCGTCCTCGCACTCTCTATCGCGCGGCAGCGGTTGCAATATGCTCTTGGCGCGGAGAGGAATGGCAGCGGTTGACCAATCGGGCAGCCGCGGCGGGTGGGGATAGGATAGCAGATGGAGGAGAGTTGCGTGGAGGTCGAACGGCGAGAAGAGCCTGCGTCTATTTGCGGAGAGCGCACCCTCGAGCTGCGGCCAAGCCGCGAGAGTGCGCCGCGGCAGCAGCGCGTAGAGGAGCGGCGTGGCGTGCTCGCGTGGCCCAGAGGGGGAGCCGTCGTAGAAGGTGCCGTAGTGGATGCCGTGGTCGGAGACCAAAAAGATGGCCGTGTCGTGGCCGTGTCGAGCTCGCAGCGCGAGGAGGTGCGCCGCGAGCGCCGCATCAAGCGAGCCCATCACGCGGAAGGAAGGCTCGTGTCCCTCGAGATAGACCGTCCACGAGAGGCGGCGCGCGCCCTCGTATGCGGCGAGGAACTGACTCTCGTATGTGAGCAGCGGCTCGTGTGCGGGCACTGGCCCAAAGCAGCGCGAGACCGGCCGAAAGTAGAGCTTATCAACGTCATAATCCACGTGGCACCAAGGCTGCATCAAGTGGTGGTCCGTTGGCGCTGCTGCTGTGTCAAAGGGGTACACTTCCTCCATCACGCCCCAATCGCACATGTTTGTTCCGAACATGGTTGTGTAGCCCGCCTCGCGGTATGAGTCAAACACCCAGCGGTGGCAAGAATGGTTGGTCGGAGCGCGGGTGTCGGGGAAGCCAGGAACGATGCAGTCGAGGGCGAGGCCGCCATGGTCGCGAGCATACTCCAGTGATCCATAGCCAGACAATAGTGGAAACTGATTGCGCGGAGAGTTCGAGCCCACCACCGCGAACCGCTCATACCGAAAAGCGCGCCAGCCATCGCTCTGAGTGGCCGCCTGCCCGGCCGCTGCCGCCGCTGAAGGCGTTGCCCAAGACTCGAGCAGCGCCCGCGTCAGCGGCATCCCACTTGCAAACCGCTCCGAAGAGACGGAATCGAGCATGAGGACGAGCACGTTGAGGCCGAGCCCGCCGGGGCCGCCGCCGCCGCCACCGACGTCGCCGCCGCCGCCTTTATCGACGCCTTTGCCGTCACCTCGCCCCGCAGAAGTGGCCAGAGCAGCAGGCCTGGCCAGAGCGACGCGTTTGGCGCGCTGGTACACGCCGGCGGAGGGCACAAATCGCACAAGCGGCTGAGTCACCCAACCATGCGAGAGGCGAGGGCAGGCCCGCCGCAAGACGGCCGCGTTGGAGGGCTTTCCCTCTCGGCCGACGCGATCGCAAGCGGGTGGCGACGCCTCGGGGTAGCGGCAGTAAGCGACGACGTACTCGACCTGGGGCGGCAGCAACACGGGCGAGCCCGTGTACGGGTGCAGTACAGGAGAGAGGTCAAGCGAGTAATAGGGCAATCGCCAAGCAGGGCAGTCGAGCTCAAGAGCCACGCCCTCATTGACAGCCGACGCCGTTGTGGATGCGTTGAGAGGCACCAACCGCGCGAATCGCACGCCGCCGCAACCAACCACGTCCGACTCAGCGGCTGTTCTCCGAAGCAACGCCTCGTCACTAGGCGCTCGGCCGAGCCGGCAACCCGCTCGCCCCTCGGCTTCGCGCAGCGCCCTCGCAGCCTCGATGACTGGCCTCCGCAGCCGCAGCCTGCTGCGACGAGAGCGGTCGAGACGCGCTTGTGCCGCATCCAACGCGCAGAAGAGGCGGCGGAGCGCCGCGCCGGACTCGGGCATGGACACGCCCTCCTGTGTGGCGGACGATGCGGCGGCGGCCGTGGCCGCTGCCGCAAAGGCGCCCATTGTCGCAGCCTCGGCGACCCCCGGGGCGGCGTACGTCTGCTCACTGGCGGGGCTAGTAGCGTAAGATTCGGGCGCCACGGGAGCCACATCTGCGCTGGCGTCCGCTGCCTCAGCCTCCCGCAAGAGATGCGGCGGGACGCACAGATGAGGGGGCACCAACGCATCAGAGCAGGAGCGGCCCGCCGGGAGCAGTTCGAGCAGAGAGCTGCCGCCGACGCCTGCCGATGCAGCGGTCCCCCGCGCAGCCGATGCGTCGGTGACCCGCAACCGTGGCAGCGAACGCAAAGTCGCATGCACATCGGCGGCACTCACAGGCACGCGCGACGCTGCATTTGCGCGGAGCGCCGCCACGGCGTGCGGAGGCGTCGTGGAGAGCGGGAGGGCGAGGTGCAGCAGCGGAAGCGGCAGCCGCAGCAACGCGGCTGGCGAAGCGCGCGAAGGCTCAGGGTCCGCTTTGGAGGCGACAGTGGCAGCGCGCGGCAAACCACCCCCCGCCCCTCCCTTGCCATGTGGCCGGGCAACAGACCGCCGGTATGGCGTGCTTCCGTCGGCGACGAGCAGCAGCGCGGTAGCGGGGCGCGCGGCGATCGCCGAACGCAAGAGGGAGCGGAGCAACGCGTCCGCCTGCCGCAGGGCGCGCCGTGGCATCGCTGGCAGCACCGCCACCGAGAGCTTTGGCAAGGCGCCGTAAAGGGGCCTCCGCCGGCTGCCTCTCATTAGCCCGCGGGTGTAGTTCAGCACGTGTGCATATGCCGGCGCCTGGCCGACGCACACGCCACCCCCGGGCAGAGCGCGCCGCCGGCTGCCGCCAGCTGCCACGCTGCTATTCGGGCTGAGTTCTCGGCCTCTGGGGCCGGCGTCAGCGAGGGTCGCACGTGCCCGAAGCTGCGTGTCGAGGCCGCAGAAAGGCTCGACCGCTCTGTGGTCGACGACGCCGATCTCGCCCGCGTGCGAGAGGGATTCCGGCGAGCCAAGGCCCGCCGCCACGTTCGCCACACCAGAGCATTCCGCCTCGGCAAACGCGGTCACGTACCCCCATGCGCGGTAGATGTCCCACAACCGCCCTCCGCCGCCGCCGCCGCCGCCCCGACCGCCGCCTCTGCTAGCACCACTGAAGAGGGCACGCAAAGCAGCCGCGCCGCCTCCGCTTAAGGAGCGTGCGCCGGGCAGCGGCGTCGACACGTGCGTGACGTTGTCGAGGCTCGCCAGTAGCGCGAGCGTGCGCGGTAGGCGCGAGGCAGCCGCGGCTTGCGAAACGCCTCGCAACACGACGACAAGGACCGAAGCGGCTGATGCGCCGGTGGCTCCGCCCGTGAGGTCGTCGCAGCGAGGGACGTCACACAACTCAAAGCGGACCTACCGACGAGGGCGGCAACGGTGGGGCCTTTCTAGCCGCGGGCCGGCCTCGTACGACTAGCGTGCGGCTACGCTACGGGTCGCGCACCGCCGGATCAGTGGTGTAGCACCAAGGCGCGGTGTCGGCGTCGGGGTTGCGGCAGTGGTTGGCAGGTAGATCCTGCCAGCGGTGCTGATGCGGCCAATCAGACGCCCACTGCTGGCACCTGCGACCAGTGCGCGTCGTGGCGACGGTGCCGGCATAGTCGGCGCCACTCCCGCGGTAGCACTCATCCGGCCCCGGCGGCGGTGGAGGCGGCGGCGGCGGCGGCGGCTCGAGCGCCGCGCGGAGGCGCAGAGCGCGCGCGCGCACCTATGGAGGGCATGCCTCGTCAGCAGAAGGCAGGCGGCGTGGTGTGCGGCGCTACGCTGTTGCGCCTCGTCCCGTTGGCTCGGCGCGAGGTGCACATTTTCGATCCGCCCCGAGCCCCACGCGTCACAGAACGCGTGAGCGTACTCCGCTCGATGAGGAAGCTGTCTCTCGCCGCGGAAGAGGGAGACCTCACGCGCCGCCGAACCCAGTGTGTAGCGCGGGTGGCACCGGCCGAGGGAGGAGGAGGCGCAGTCGGCGTCGGATCGCAAGTCCACTTCCCACGAGGCGCCGCACTCGAAGCGCAGCTCGCCGCGGGAGCTCTGAGTGAAGAAGACGCGGCCGCAGTGCATGTGTGTACAGTCCGCCGCAGAGTCCGGCAGCCTGCTGGCACGAGGGTCGAAGGCGGCGTCGGCAACCGCCGCGCTGGCTCTCTTGCCTCTCCAGCAGCTGCTTCGCCGCGCTTGTTGGTATCCACGTACGTGATCCGATCTGCGGCAGCAGCCTCTGAGGCGGAGGTGGGTGTGCGGCTTACTCGCGCCTACCACGCACGCACTGCTGTTGTCGGCCGAGAGCACTTCCGTTTTTTTTTGAGCTCGACTTCGAGAGAGTGACTTCGATGTTAATAGAAACAAGCGAAGGCACACACAACATGACGCCAAACACACGATTGCACGCACCGCACCGCACCCAGCACCCGCGCCCGCCGCCCCCCCGCCGCCCGCCCCGCCTAGGTGGGAAAGAGACGAGGAGATGGAACAGCCCGAGGAAAGGAGCGAACAAACACGTCTGGGAGGCTAAAGTTGATCAGTTGTGCACCACGCTGCCCGGCGTTTCTCACTTTCCGGGACAGCCCCGCCCTTGTGAGGCAGGAAAGTGGCGTACCATTTTTTAGGGGTGAGTCTGCGTACACACCAGCCCGACGCGCACTACAGTTAAGGTTGCTCCCGGCCCAGTGGGGATTTTGGCCTACTCAGTGACCGTCTAAGGGGCCCTAAATGGCCTGCAATGCCATATCTTTTGTGCCTAGCTTGTAGAGCACCTTAAAAAAGTACTATGTTTTGGAGTGAAAAGTTTTTCGATGAGGTGGGGGTCCGTGGTGAGCAGATTCCCAGATTCTCCAGATCCCCCCTCGAAAACCGCCCCTTTTAATTCACTGCGGCCGCGGCTTTGCTCGGATTACTTTTCACTCGAAGACATAGTAGTTTTTTGGCGTTCCGGTGCCTACAAAAAATATCCGAGATCGCATGGAGCTGATCACAGGGTTTACGGCGGTTATTGTCCTACCAGCGGGCACAGTGGGCCGCGGACACCCGTGAATGACCCGCAGCCTTGCTTGTTGCAGCGAGCGGTGGTACACGTACATGGTCGCCACGCTCACCACCGCCATGAGCCCCGCCAGTCTTCGCCGCAGCGGCCCGCTGCCGCGGCTGCCGCCTGTTTGCGCCCAAATGTCTGACAGCGCCGAGCTATCGTACCGCGAGCTGCAGCGCGCCTGCAAGGCCGCCGGCCTCCCCGCAGTCGGCAAGGCTGGGGAGCTGCGCGAGCGGCTGCTCGCAGGGGCGCCACCGCCGCCGTCACGTCCAGAGGTGCTCGAGGGAGCCCTGCTCGAGCGGTGCTTGGAAGAGGAAGCGGTGCAGCTGCTCGACGCGGCGGCGAAGGAGCGGGTCCTTGGCTACGTGCGTGCGCTCCTACGCTACAATGCGCGCACCAACGTCTACGCTCGGTCGAGCTACGACAAGCTCCCCTTCCACGTCGCCGACTCCGTCACGCTCGGCTTGATGATCTCCGAGGCGGCCACGCCGTCCTCGTCCGTGCTCGACCTGGGGTCGGGCTCGGGGCTGCCGTCGCTGCTGCTCGCTGCGGTCAACCCGCAGATGCATGTGTACGCCCTCGAGTCTAAATCGCGGAAGACGCGGTTCCTTGCCCAGGCTGGCGCCGAGCTGCGGTTGCCGCTCTACACCCCCATCACGGCGAACGTACACGAGTTTGCGCGCGTTTCCTTTGTCGACGCCGACTTTGTCACAGCCAAGGCGTTCAAGCCGCTTCCAGAAGTGGCGCCTATCGCCGCCGCGTGTGTCGGCCGCCGAGCGCTTCTGCACGTTCCCGTGAGCGAGGCACAGGTGCGCGACATCTCCCTCGCCGAGTCACAGCTACTCCGGCGTGGCCGCTTCGTGTACTACCGCGAGGCGGTCGTGCCCGCGCGCAGTTTGGTCAAGCGGAGAGACTTTCGTGGCGGAGGCGCGGGCGCCGCAGCAGTTGCGCATTGATTCCGCCGTATTTTCTTCCTTCCCGTTTTTTAATGATGTGTGCCAATTCGCGAGTGTGCGAGTGTGGGGCCCACGCGGAGCGATTCTAAGATCAGGTCTGCCACCTCCCCACTGAAAACGGACATCTAAGTTTCAAATCTCGAATAAATCTCGAAGCACACTTGAATGCTCCCTTGAATGCTCGCTTGGCAGGTAACATATGCGCCACGCGCCCCAACCGCTCCTCTGGTCGCCGCCGGCCTCCGCGGCGGCGGCGATGTCCCAGCGCCACCCATCGGCCAGCCCTCAGATCGATCGATCGGCGCTCAAAGTCGGCTTCAGATCCGAGAACGCTGCTGGCGCCGCCGCCGATCCCAGCGGCGACGCCAGCAGCTTCCTCTGCTCTCCAATGCGCCGAGAAGCGACGCGGGGGTGCTCGGCCCGCCGTGGACGACGAAGGCTCCGCCGGGCGCGCGTCGGCCGGTCCGGTGGCACCCTCTGCGCGCGGCACCTGCCGGCGCCCCGACGACAGCCGTCGCGCCGCCGCTGATGGAGGGGCGGTCGGCGCCGCTGCCGCCGTGCCGCCGGTGGGAGGGGCACTGGTGGTGGCCTGGGCGGCCCTCCGCCGCCGCTCGGGGCGCCCGGGCAGCGGTGGCAGCCTGCCGCCGCACCACTTCGAAATGCCCGCTGACCACTTCGAAATGCCCGCTCCGGCGGGCCGGTTCGGCGCTATTCTTTTTTCCTTGAAGCAAAATTCGAGCCAATTGAGGAAACTGAAGCGGGCAGGCTGGAAGCACTGAGGGACGGCCGATGTCCGCCCAGTGGCAGACCTGATTTTAGAATCGCTCCGCGTGCCCCCCCCCCCCCGCCCCCGGGGCCCCCCCGCGTTGCCCCCCGCCCCCCCGATGCCCCCCAGTGCCCGCCCCGTCCCCCCAAACGCGCGCGCTCTCGCTCCGGTGTTTTGGGCCGCTGCAACGCGCGCAACAATCAAGTACTCTCGTGGGACAACACCGAACTGGCCAGCGCAAAATACCAAGACAACGGAAGGAGCGGGACTCGCTGCGGAGCCGCCAGATATGGCCACACATGCACGTGACAACCCACAGAATCGGATGCGACTGAGAGGTCAAACCCGGACAACGTAAAGGGGGGCAGGCGAGGGGCAAGGCGGGGGGGGATGTGCGGGGGCTATTCAACAACTAGGGCAGGCAATGCCGGTCCCTTGTTCTCGCGGCTTCTTTCGCCTCTCGGCGCAACTCCGTCCTCCTTGCGGCGTATCCTGGCCCCTCGAGTCTATCGAGCTCCCCTCGCGCAAGGACCACATTTCTGACTCCCACTCCGATCATTTGCCAGGATTTTGGATATGTGGTCAGTCCTGCCGGGGAATTCTTCTTCCGCCCTCTTCCCTAGAGCTCTACACCCATGCTCTTCGTCGCAGCGCTCGCGTCACTGTGCCTGCACGCGCCCGTCGTCCAGCCCGCGCTTCCGCTCGCGGCCCGCCTACCCAGTCCCTTTTGCTGCGTGCCGTCCGAACCGGCTGCATCGCCATCTCCTCCATCGCCGCCTCCACTGCCGCCGTCGCTGCTGCCTGCCGCGCTGCGCCACCCGCTCGCGCAAATGGGCGTCTGTCTCGCCGGGTATGGCCTCCACGTGGCCGTTCTATCGCGTCGACATCTCGCCATCGGCTCGCTCCGCGTCGGCCTCGACACCCTGGCCGGCCTCGCGGTGCTTGGCGCAGCGGCGAGGCACCGCACCGCACGCGGTGCGGGTGCTGTGCCGGCTTGGCTTCTCGGCGAGGTTGATCCGACGGATGGTTCGGACGCTGGGCGGCACTGCCTCGACCTGCGCAGCGAGCCCAAGGCGGCGAAACTGCGAACCGCCGCCACCGCCGCTGTGACGCTGGTGGCGCCATTGCTCTTTGGCGCTGTCTCTTCATTCTTTGAGGCACTGCCCCACTGCCTAGGCCAACCGTCGCCGTCGCCACTAACGCCCACACGCCCCGGGCCTAGGCGCTGCTCTACGCGCTGGTGGCACTGGGTCTGCCTCTCACTCGTTCCTCAATGGTGGGTGCGCGCATGGTGCTCGAGCAAGGCGCACGCGCATACCATGCTTTCAGAGCATCGGGTCCAACCCCCTCACCTGCCCCAGCCCGCAAGCATAGGCGCCATCTACCTCCTCCTCGTCAAGCTCATGGCCGCGCGCCACAACCAGCCGGGCAGGCCTTTCTTCGGGGCTGGCGGCTGGGCGCCGATGGAGCGCGCGGTGTGCTCCCAAATATGAAAGGCCCCTCACCACCGCCTCGTCCGCTCGCAAGGTGCGGTGGAGGCTGGCGTCTCCTTGGCTGCTGCCGGTGCTCGGCGGCTACGTCGCGTCAGTCGGCATCTTCAACCTCGTGGAGCCGCTCAATCAGGTGGAGCGCAAACACCCGCCGTCCTTTGGCCCGCCTGGTTGCCTCCTCAGCCTCCTTGTTCGCCTGCCCTTGATTCCGCGCGCCCTCGTGCTCCGCCCATCCTGCTCTTGGCCGATGCACCAGGCGCTCCTGCCTCAGCTCGACTACGCCTCTGAGGGCTTGGTCGCGAAGCTCGCCAACCCGGGCGACGGCGCGGCCTTTTCGCTAGCGGCCCCCCCAAAACACCCCGCCACCCGCAGCATCCCCCCCCCCCCCCCCCGCCCACCCAATAACAGCCACCCACCCACCCGGCGGGTAGGCGCGATACGCTCGCTGCTCGTCAATGCGGCGACTCCGTGCATCGGCGCGCCGCTCTTCGAGGAGGTGCACTCGCGTGCCTTTGTGATGCAGGCGCTTACGAGCGCCATGCCACTCCGGCTGGCGCTACTCGCCAACGGGGCACTCTTCGGTGCGCAGCACCTGCAAGCCGGGCTCGTGCTGCCGCTTGCCGCGATGGGCTACTTCTGGGGCGTGCTCTACGCCCTCTCGGGCAACTTGCTCGTCCCTGTCGCCGTGCATGCGCTCTGGAACTCGCGCATTTTCCTCGGCTCGGCGCTAGCCCTTTGAGTTTGACACACGTCCCTTTGAAAGTTTAAGTATCTTTGAAGATAGCCAGAAGGCAGAAGCAGAACACCACCACACAATCCCGGCCAGACGTGTTCTCTGGGCTTCTCTGGCTAGAGCAAATCGTGTCGGGATTTTGTCTAATTGACGACTCTTCGCTCTTCCCCCGCCATGCTCCTTGTCCCCCTTGCTCGCTTCGGCCTTCGCCGTTCGCGCGCACAATCCACAATGTGCATGACACCTACTCTGGCAACTTTTCCTCAGCCGACCGCTGAGTTGCGTGGCGCGCAATCCCGAAAACACACGCGCACAGTGGCTGTGTTCTTTCTTGTTCAAGCCTCCGGGCGCTCCCACTGAGCCACATCCGACTCACGGTGGTAGTAGTAGTGCTCGCAGGGGGCCGACCGGGACAGTCGCACGGTCCACCCGTCCGGCAAAGTTTCGGCGAGCGCGGCAATGCGAGCCTCGCCTCTGTAGAGCGCCTGCTAAGAGACGCGTGTGTTAAGGGACTTGAGAACGGCGCGGGGATCCGCGGGCCAGGAGGCGAAAGAGGAGGGCGTAGCCACGCCTGACGTTGCTCTGCGAAAGCGTCGTCGGAGCACGTCCACTTCGGCCTCGAAAAGACGGCGCAACCGCTTGCATCCATCTCGATGGAACGGATGCGTTCGACCAACGAATCAAGGCCCAGCGCGTGCTGCAGCTCGTCCACCTCCATCTTGTGCGGCCTCAGCGCCTCCGTCTGCTTTGCCCCCGGCAGGTGCGACGGCAGGTACGCCGGATGGATTGCCACACACTCGCCGCCGCCGTCCTCGTCCAAATAGAGGAAGGGCGTGTCAAGCTGCTCAATCTTCATGGTGCCTGGCCGGGGGGTGGAGCTAAAGCGCAAGTCATGGGCGCGGCTTGGAGAGCAAGCAAGGTGGCGAGTGGCACGCTAGCACCGAACATGACGCCCCGCTGTGCATCGTGCGCTTGGATCCCTTGCTCGTCCCACTTGACCCTCCGCCCCTGCCCGTTCGTCACCACGGGTTTCGCCAGCGTGCCCACGCAGCACGCGAAGAGCATCTCCACGTTCACCCAAGCGTGGTGCTTTTGGAAGAGTGCCGTGGCGTCCAGCTGCGTCGAGAAGCGTGTCAGGACGTCCCGGGCGTGCGTGTGAGTGTGAGTGTGAGTGTGTGCGTGTGGTTGTCCATGCAGCGTACAAGCCACCTTCCCACGCACCGCCACCCACGAGTCCTCGGGCGAGTTGTGTGATGCCACGTCAGCGAGTGACCACGTCGGCCAAGCCTCCTCATCGTCCTCGTCGCACCGCCCGACTCCACCGGTGAGGTCACCCTTGCTCAGGCGCATCCATGCACTCAGGCTGCAGCCGGGAGCGAGCGCCACTCTGCCGCGCGCCATTTGCAGGCTGGAGCCATCCACTGGCCAGCAGTAATTGCAGTTTGCGTGCTGTGACGGTCTGCACGCGATACACACTCTGCACAGAGTAACACAGTGAGGGTGCGTTTGTAGCGACAGACCCCATATCACACGGCGGAAAGACACAAGCGGGCTCAAGGTCGACCCCACTGCGCGCGGCCGCTCTGAACGTGGCGATCCCCGCGAGCGCTGCTGTGCGCACCGTGGCTGTTGCCGCCCCTGTCTGCGCTGCCGCCGTTCATGGATCGCCGTCGCCGTCCGTTGTCTCGGGGCCAGAGCGCGCGTGGTGACGCCAGAGCGCGCCGCGGTGTAGCGCCAAACCTGTGATGTGCGTAAAAGAAAAGCTGCACCTTGGCATCCTTCTCTTTGCAGCCCAATTGCGCCTCTCCACCCTCTAGGGAGAGAGTGGCAGACTCCGAGCGGCACGGGCAAGCAAACGCACTCCTCTCTCTCCGTTTCAAGCACCGGTTTGAGTAGGGGCGCCGGCCGCCCCGCGGGTGCGAGCCCCGCTCACTCAGCACATCTCCTTTTGCCCCTTGAGGCCCAACACGCCCTCTCGTAGAGAGAAGTGTAGTTGAGGGAGAGCGAGCGAGCGAGAGGGGGGGGGACAGCCAGTGGGTTGTGGGCATTCAGATATAAGAAAGAAACCGCAAAACCAAGAAAAGTTAAGTAATATTATTAATTGATGCTTTTTGCACGGCTGAGCCCCCCCTCCCTCCCCCGCGCCCATTCCATGCTTGCCCTCCCCCGCCACGCGCCGTCCGAGCCCTCTCCGCTCTTGCAACGGAGGAAATTGGAATTAATCAGATGTAATACGTCTACGAGTTGCTATGTCTGCTGTCTTCGACTATCTGAGCCCCCCCGCCCCCCCCCCCCCTCCGCCTCAATCCCCCCCCCCCCCCTCTCCGCACTCCCCTTCCTCTTCTCCCTCTCCGTCCCAGCTCCACTCTTCCCTCTCAGTAATACTCTCAGTCGGGCACAGTCGGCCGTGCGAACACTCTCTTCGATGCCGAACGAAGGCACCTCTCAGGCCCAGTGAGGTAGTGCATCTGACTATCCCGGATCCTGCTGAACAAGCTCCTCTTGTAGCTCGATCGGTCACACCGCCATCGCCGTCGGGGGGAGGGGGGACGACACTGCTTCTGCAGCGTGCACCTCGATCCTGTACCGTGTTTGTTATGACCCCCCCCAATGAACACACCAGTGAGGGTGGGCGAGACGATCGAGGGGTCCCGTACCATGCGGAATCGACCCTATCAAGTGCTCATTCTTTTTATTTCTTTTACGCACATCTGATTAATTCCAATTTCCTCCGTTGCAAGAGCGGAGAGGGCTCGGACGGCGCGTGGCGGTGGAGGGCAAGCATGGAATGGGCGCGGGGGAGGGAGGGGGGGCTCAGCCGTGCAAAAAGCATCAATTAATAATATTACTTAACTTTTCTTGGTTTTGCGGTTTCTTTCTTATATCTGAATGCCCACAACCCACTGGCTGTCCCCCCCCCCCCCCTCTCGCTCGCTCGCTCTCCCTCAACTACACTTCTCTCTACGAGAGGGCGTGTTGGGCCTCAAGGGGCAAAAGGAGATGTGCTGAGTGAGCGGGGCTCGCACCCGCGGGGCGGCCGGCGCCCCTACTCAAACCGGTGCTTGAAACGGAGAGAGAGGAGTGCGTTTGCTTGCCCGTGCCGCTCGGAGTCTGCCACTCTCTCCCTAGAGGGTGGAGAGGCGCAATTGGGCTGCAAAGAGAAGGATGCCAACGTGCAGCTTTTCTTTTACGCACATCACAGGTTTGGCGCTACACCGCGGCGCGCTCTGGCGTCACCACGCGCGCTCTGGCCCCGAGACAACGGACGGCGACGGCGATCCATGAACGGCGGCAGCGCAGACAGGGGCGGCAACAGCCACGGTGCGCACAGCAGCAGCTCCGAGCGCACCAAGCTTCAGACGTCAGCATCGTCTGGGCTCAGGGCGCAAGCCGAGACGCTCAGAGAGCAGCTCAATGCGCTGGACACGAGACGAGAGCACCTCATCAAGCACAGACCGACGGTGCGCGCCTGCCCGGACCTGCTCGACTGCGCTCGCGCAGGCTGACAGAGGAGCAGGGCACGGCTGCGCTCGCGGGCAGCGCTCTGCGGCTGCTCCTCTGTCAGCCTGCGCGCATAGCACACCTGCGCGTGCGGCCGTCTATGGCCTACGCTCTCGCGCCGCGCGAGTCCGCGCCAGGATGCGCCGCGCCCGACCCAGACGTTCCCCTGCCTGTTCTGCGCGCAGGGCGCAAAGAGGCGGTCCATGCAAGAGGTGGAGGCTCTGATCCGCGCAAAGCAGGAGGAGATGGAGCGGTCGACGCTCACCATCAAGGAGGAGAAGCAGCGGCTGCTTGAGATGAAACGGATGAAGGACGACGCGCGCCAGGCGAGCGCCCTTGTGCTCAGCCGGGCTCCCTCCCAGTCCTTGTTTGCTGCCCGTGCTGCCCGCTCTGCAATGGGCTGCGCCGTGAACCCCTTCCCTGTCCGTCCCCCGCCCGCCGTAGGCTGCGGAGTGGGAGAGCGATTTTGAGGATGTGCGCAACAAGCGCTCCTCGGTGCGCTTGCCGCTCACCTGCCGCCCACCTACCGAGCGAGAGCACACCGACACACGCCCACCCCGCCGCGCCTTGCCCGCCCCGTGCCCGCCTGCTCTGGCTTGCGAAAAGCTCACGCGCCCCACCGTGCCGCCCCTCGCCCAGCTCACCGAGAGCTTGCGCGCCGTCTTCGCCGACTTGGATGCTGCACGCGATGCGTCCTCGCGCGCCGAGGCGGCCGTCGAGCTGGGCCTCTCGCCCGAGGCTGTGGTGGAGCGCAAGCTGTCACCGTCGGCAGAGCTGCGTGAGCTGCTCTCCTCCGCGTGGATGCGGAAGCGGCTGCGCGCCGAGTACGCCGTCGTCGTGCGGCCCGACCGCGCGGCCAAGGCGGTGCGCGTGTTCGGCGAGCCGGAGGGCGTGGAGGCGGCAGGGGCGTTTGTGGCCGGCATGGGCCCGGTCGGGGTTGCACGCATCAAGGTGGATGAGGAGAACCTCTCGCTCCTGATCGGTCGCAAGGGAGCGACCGTCGAGGCGCTGCAGGCGCCGACCCCCCCCCTCCCCACCCCACCCCCACCCCCACCACCGCACTCCGCGCAGTCAGCGCTCAGCGCCCAGCCCGTCCCCGCTGGTGCGCAGGAGGAGAGCGGCTGCTCGGTGGAGCTGCGGCGCAAGGAGCTCACCGTGGTGCTCGCGGGGCCCGCGGAGGCTGTGGTGGCGCTCGAGGCCCGCATTGAGCACCTCCTGCTCACGCAGCGGCGCGTCGAGGTCAAGCTAAGCTACGACCCCGAGCAAAAGGGCCGTCTGCTTGGCAAGGGGGGCGCGACCGTGCAGCGGATCCAGTCGCAGTCGGGTGGCGCCACGCTCGACATCGGCAAGGGCGACGACGCGACGGTCCGGGTGAGCGGGCCAGCGCACGCCGTCGAGACGGCCCGGGTGGCCATCTCGCGGCTGCTCAGCCTCGACGCCGAGAGCGTGCGCACCGTCGCGGTGCCGGAGGCGGTCGCGCTCGCTGTGCTCGGGCGCGGCACCGAGCGGCTTAAGCTGCCCGAGGGCGTCTGCGCCGACCGTGCGGGCGACGGCGCCGTCAAGGTGCGCGGCTCGCGGGCGGCGGTGGAGGAGGTTGTGCGTGAGATAGAGGCTGCGGTGGCGGCCAACGAGCGGGTCGAGGAGACGCTCGAGGTCGAGTCGCAGCACGTGAGCATGCTGCTCGGCAAGGGAGGGCAGGCGATGTTCGCGATGCAGAAGGAGACGGGCGCCAACATCGCCCTCTCCAAGCAGGCGGACGGCAAGGTCATGCAGACCGCAACCATCAAGGGCACGCGCCGCGCCGTCGGCAAGGCGCTCGCCGCGCTCGAGGCGGTGCTGCAGTACAACGCCGACTGCTCGGAGAAGATCGAGGTCAAGGTGGAGTTCATGCCCTTCGTGATTGGCAAGGGCGGCGAGGAGATCAACCGCATCCGCGCCGCCACGGGCGCCGCCATCGACGCCGCGCGCAACCAGCACGGCAACGAGATCTTCATCCGCGGCTCGGCTGAGGCGGTGGAGGCGGCCAAACGCGCTATCTCGGCGGTGGAGGACGCGAACCGGCGCGTGACCGAGTCGGTGCCGATGCCGTGGCACTGCATCGACCTGCTGCTCGGCCCGAACGCCGAGCGGCTGCGACAGCTCGAGGCGGAACACTCGGTTCAACTCGAGCTTCCCGGCGTGAGCCTAGCGTCGGACGTCCCAGTCAGGACCACCTTCCTCGGCATCAGCTCCTCGATGTCCATCCGCGGGCGGAGGAAGCACGTCGAGGCGGCGATGGCCGAGGTGACGGCGCTGAGTCGGAAGCACCAGCGCGAGGAGACGGTGCTGCTCGAGGAGGACGCCGAGCTCCTCTCGCGCGCGTGCCTGCAAGACGAGGGGCTGCTGCCGGGGCTCGAGGCGCGCTTCGGCGTCTCCATCCTCTTCGAACCGCTTTCGAACCGCATCGTTTTCCGCGGCGAGGGCTACCTCGCCGCGCAGATCGAGGTGCAGCACCTCCTCTCGCAGTGGCGCCCGTCCGAGGCGGCGCTCGACTGCCCGCCGTTCCAGATGGCGCTGCTGCACCGGCGCGAGGGCGGACTGCTGCTTCAGCTGCAGTGCCTCGTCGCGCCCGCCCTGCTCGCGCTGCAGGAGTGCCCGTCGATGGTCCTGCTTACCGCTGCGGCGCCGGTTCTGAGCGGCGCGCGCGCGAAAGCGGAGGCCTGGATCCAGGAGCACGCCGAGTGCAGCCGGGAGGTGCAGGTGCCTCCCGAGGTTGCCGCCATCCTCTCGCCCCGGCTTCGGATGCTTGCGGCGCAGCACCAAGTCGACCTCGAGATGCGCGGCAGCGCCGTCGCTGTCCACGGGCCGGAGGTGTGCGTGGCGGGCGTGCAGGCGGAGCTGAAGGAGCTCATCGAGCAGCACGCCATCACAGAGGCAAGGGCGGGGGCGCGGGGCGGCAGCCTCTGCAGACGCGGCCTCACGCGCCTCGCGACGGCGTCCGTAGGTGAGCGTGGCGCTCGTCGAGCCGGAGCTCTCGCTTGTCGAGCTGCACGCGCGCGCCATCCGTGCCTCCCACTTGGGCCCAAAGGGGGGCAGCCAGTCAAAGGGGGGGAGCCAGCCGGGCATCAGCATCGACGTGCGCCGCTCCGAGGGGCTCGTCGTGTTGCGCGGCACGCGGAAGCCGATCGCCGCCGCGCAGGGTGAGGTCGCGGCCCTCCTCGAGGAGGCACGCAGCTGCGCGCACCGCGAGGAGCTGAGCGTGGTGCAGATGGAGCGCTTGTTGCGGCCGGCGAGCCGCGCAGCTGGCGCGGAGCCGTTCTACCGCAAGCTGCAGGCGCGCGCGCGCGCGCGACAGCCTACCCCCCCCACCCCACCCCCCTGAGCGTCTGACTCGCCACTACTCTTCGGGCAGGAGTCGCACCACGCGGTGCTTCACCTCGACCGCGTCGGCAGGACGCTCACGCTCTTCGGTTTGCCCGCTGCCGTCCAGAGCGTGCAGCAGGCTCTTGCGTCGGCGCTCGACGTGTGTGAGGAGCGGCGCCAAGTCGCGCTCGCGACCATCCCCATCATCATTGGCCGCGCCGGCGCAAACATCAAGCGGCTGCAGCAGGCGAGCTCTGTCCCGCACCGCTGTCGCCAAAGCACGCTCCGACCGCACGGCCTGTCCCAAACTCGCAGGAGTCTGGCGCCAGCTTTGACATCGACAGGAACGCCGGGCACGTCCGCGTCTACGGAAGCAAGGCTGCCGTCGCAGCCGCGGTCGCCGCGCTGGACGCGCTGCTTGTCGAGCACGGCGGCTCGAGCGAGCTGCCCGTCAAGGCCAAGCAGGTGCCGCTCATCATTGGGCGAGGTGGTGCGACCATCCGCCAGCTCGAGTCCGACTCTGGCGCCACCATCACCGTCTCCAAGGACGACGGCGTCGTCCGTGTGCGAGGCTCCAAGCGGGCCGTCGACAAGGCGACCGAACTCCTGCAGCAGCTGCTCTCTGGTGGCGGCGCCAACGGCGCCAAGGGCGCCAACGGCACGAAAGACGCCCACGGTGCCAACGGCCAAAACGGCGCCAACGACAACGGCGCCGCGGTTCGCGGCGCGGAGCCGCCGCCTGGGCTCACGTCGGCCGCGCCGGCGCGGAGGGCTGTGGCCTAGCGCGCGTGGAGTGCGCCGGGCCACACGGCGGTGCATCCGCCTTTGTGGTCATCAGCAAGAGATCAAACTCCACTCAGCGAGATGATGCCCTGTGTTTTGCGACTTTTCCGTTTCGTCTATTTTGGCCGACAGTAGTATGACGGCCGATCTCTCTTAAACGGCCGACCGTCCTTGGTACTTGGATCCGATGGTTTCTAGAGCAGGCTCTAGATAAAGTTGCCTTGACCGCCGGAGGTGGTCCACGGCGATCAACGGGCTGGGCCTACGGCGGCTATCCTCAACGAGCACGAGGTGATCTTGCGATTGCCGCCGGGCGGGGTCTCCAAGTAAACTCCCGTAAGTTTCTACTAATGAGCGTTACTTGTTTGTGGTCCGCTCTACCGACCGCCACAAACGTTGGTGGACCGACTCGTTGTGCCCCTTCTACCATCGTGCTGAGCGGTCCCTCGCCAACGTGTGAGTGAATTTTGTGTGTGCGGGACTACACCACTCGGGCGAGGCACGATGAGCGACGGGGGGTCGCGTGGCTCAACGCAGTTGTCCATCAGTCTTGTCAGGCCGTGCCCCGACGGCTACACTGGCATTCGCAGGGCAGAGATCATGCTTAAGGTGGAGCCTGCCAACCACCCCTTTGTGGTGTGCATGCGTCACGTGATCCCTGGTGGAGACGACAGGAGCGACTCCAACGCTTACCTCGTTCCACTCTACGTTCTGGAGGGACTCTGCCTCCATTTGGCTGGTATCTCTGGCGCAGGCGAGCACATTCGTTCGTTTGATCTCTGGACGGAGGGATTCAACCCTGTGTGGATGGAGCAATTCTTCAATGAGATGGCCGATAGCGAGGCATTCTTCTGCAAGCCGTTCTCTCGCTGGCATGAGGCCTTGGCGCATCTCAAAGGCTATGCTCTGACATGCACTTTCCGGGACCTCAATGTGGATCACGCCTTTGTCCAGCTCGATCCCTTCCCTTCTTCTGCGGGCCTTAATGTGGCGGACGCCGGAGCGGCACAGCAAGGCCAGCGCCGCCGCTCCTCTTCGGCGCCAGCCGCTCGACCTTCTCGCACGCTGCGCTCTGCTTCTTCTGCACAGGCTGCTGGCCCTGGGCCTGACTCTGGTGCACCGGCGGCAGCCCCCTCTGCCCCCGCCTCGGCGCCCAGCGCCGCGCAGGGCGCATCTGCCCCCGGCGGCGCCGATCAGTTTCAAGAGAAGCTGGCTTTCTTCCGGCGCTGGCGGCGTCTCCACGCCCTCGATTTCGTTTCACATGGCCGTGGTGGGCGTCGACCGCGCCGTCCGCCTCTTGCGCGCCTGGCGCCGCCTCACCAAGGAGTCGGGGCTTATCATGGCCATCCCGCAGAAGCGCTCGGCTGGCACGTGGGCGTTATGGCTTGGCATCTATTTTCTTTCTACCTTTGCCCTCGCTGTGCTCCCGCGCGCAAAGGTCCTTCGAGCCGCCGCTGCGCTGCGCGAGACGCTGACCTCCGGGCTCGACTTTGGCCGGTACCGATCGCTCGTCGGTTTGCTCGAGCACGTGCGCGAGGTGGTGCGCCTTCCTCGGCGAGTGATGTTCTCTCTCTATGGGCCGCACAGTGCGAGGGGTGAGTCTCGCGATGGTCCGGCTGCGATAGTGCACCCGCACCCTTTCATGCGAGAGCAGCTGCAGGCCTGGCTGGACCGACTGGCCAGTAGCGTCGGCGCCCCCTTCACCCGTGTGCTCCGCCGCAACTCTGTGCGGCAGGAGCCTTCTGCCCTCTCCTTTCTGCTCTCATCCGACGCGGCTACGGACAGTGACCCCCCGGGCATGGGCGGCTTCATGCACGGCTTCTACTGGTACCTCGAGATCCCGAGAGAGGTCCTGCCCTGGTTGCACATCACCACGCTCGAGTTTCTCGCCACGGGATTCGGCGCCATGACCTTTGGGCCATTTCTACCCCCAGGCGCACGGATCGTACTCCGTACGGACGCGCTGGTGACGCCACACGTGCTCACGCGGGAGTCTCAAAAGAGCGAGACCCTCGCCTTCGCGCACCATCGCCTTCTACAGGCACCCGCCTTTGCCGAGGTCGCAATGGTGGCGGAGGTGACGCACGGCTTTGGCGAGACGATGGCGCTCGACGATGCAGTCAGCCGCTCTCTATGGCCAAGGTTTCGGGCGCTCTGCGCCGCGCTCCGTGTGCGGCCCACGAGGTTGGTCCTGTCGGATGACTGCTCCCGAATTCTTTCTGAAGTGACCGCCTTCGCTCAAAGCCGCGGGGTCATGGTCCGCACGGTGCGTCTGGCCTCGGGCATCATGCACTACGGTCAATCGCACGACCGCCCGGCCTCGCCCGAGGAATCTGCGCGAGGCCGGCGGCACCGCAGCAATACGGATGGCGATGGTCCGAGCGGGCCAGGCGCCGGCGCCCAGCCAGCCGCCGCCGCCGCGCTTCCTTCGGCATCAACGGGGGGGACGTCGGCCGCGGCGCCAGACCATGATCCTGAAGCGCCCGCAGCCTACACGTCTACGTGCGTTCTGCTCTATGGCCGCTCACACCGGCGACGCACGGACGTCATCCTTCTCATCCGGAATCGCTTCGGTCGTGTGGAGCCAATCTCTGAGACCCGAGAGTGGGCGGTGGATGAGTCTGCTGCCGCCACGGCGATGCGAGGCGTCGCTGAGGAACTTCTGGGAGTGCCCGCTACCATCATTCAAGGCATGTGCCACTCCAACCTTCTGCTCCAGCGCCTCGATGAGAGTGGTGTCGCCCTGCGACATCTGGGCCGCTCTCCGCTCTCCGTGCACCGCAGCTATTGCCTCCGCGCCGACCATCTGTTCAACGGGGGCGTTGACGAGGCAGTCAATCGCTTCAAGCCCAACGAAGAGGCGATGGGCGTTACTCTTGTCCCCCTCCAGTACCTCTCGGGCGCCTCGGGAGAGACGCGCGTGACTGACGTGGATGGCCATCGTTGGAGCCTGCGAGGAGACCGCCATCTTGGGGAGCGTCGGGTTCAGGTGGCGCGGGACGACCTCTCACAGCTAGGGCGAGCCTACCGCAGCAACACGGATGGGGACGGGCCCCTTACGGAACGGAAAAGCGTCTCCGAGTTCGTCGTCGAGTTTCACCGTGCGGCTGCCGCTTCTCGCCCCGCTCAGCCCGGCCAGGCTCCTCCGCTCAATTCTACCGGGGCGGGTGGCCGCGGCGTGGTAGTGCCTTCTTTGCACCGCCGCTCGCCAATACCTCTAGCAGCGCAGCGACCCACGTCGCAGGCCGCTCCTGATCGGATGCCGCTCCAATATCTAGGCGGGCTCCTTCTACCTCAAGCCGCCCGCAAGAGGCCGCGCCCCGAAACTGCTCGAGCGACCGCGATGGATACGCTCGCGCGGCGGCAGGCCACTGCTATTCTCCCTGCATCCGCCTCTCTGGAGCAAAGGGGCCGGGCGTCCGCTCTGGCTACTACTCACGTCCGCCTCGCTGAGTTTGGCGCGGCGTGGCGCTCTCTCGACAAAGAGGATGCCGCTTGGCCTTTCTGGGCAGAGTTCTGTGACCTTCTCGGCCTCGAGCCGCTTCTCGCCTCATCCCCACCATCAACGGTGGTTCTTCTGCTGTCGTGGTTCACCATCTGGGTATACCCAAAGCTCAAGGGGCGCAGACAGCCCAACGCCAAGCCAGATACCGCGCTCGGGTACGCCCTTTCTATTCGGCGTTCGTTTAAGCGGATTCGACCGATGCCTAAGGCAAGCGCCCTCCGTACCGCGATCGTGGGGCTGATGCGGCAGTACAAGAATGTGTACGGCGTGGCTGAGCTTGCGCCCCGCCGCAAAGAGCCGCTTACGTCGGCCATGTGGGCTAGTGTCGAGAACCTGGCGTCTGGCTCTTCCTTGCGCGGCTCGACCGTGCCTTGGAACCCGACCGTCAGCCATGTGGACCGCACCGTGCTGCGCATTGGCAGAGTCTTTCGAAAGACTGGGAACCGTCTGGGGGAAGCGGTTGCCAATCCTGCGGACGAAGAGAGCGGCTACTACCGTCGATCATCTGCGGTACTCCACTCGCGCGGGTGTCCGCAGCCAGACGCGTCGCGCGAGCAGTGGCAGCGAGCAGGCTCTGGCGACAGCATCCTTCTGGTAGTGCCTACATCAAAGACCGACCAGTTCGGGTTGGTACATTGCCCATTCCCATGCGTCATTCCCTACGACGCGTCTCCCAGCTCCGCATTCCAGTCGATCCGGGACATCGAGCTCACAGAGCCTTGCGTTGGGTCGGCGAGAGAGCGGCGCCCGCTCTTTGCGACGCCCGAGGGGGAGCCGTAGGGGTGACCATACGCGCAGCGCAGGAGGGGTGCCCCTAAGGGGGCACAAAGGTAGCTCAAAGGGGAGTGAACAAGACGCCGCACAGGCGACGTGCACGCTCGCCGCCTGCGCTCGCCGCGTCGCTCTCTCCCTCCCCTTCTTTGCTTGAACCCACCACCATCCCCTGTCACCTCCGTGTGTGTGTGCCTGCTGGGGGATCATCTGGCTTCCGGAATACTTCCGCGAAGCTGCCCCCAGCAGGCGTTTGACCAAAATCCAAATTTCCCTACTCCAGTTGAGGCGGCCCTCGGACCCGAGAAACATTTTTTTGCAAAAAAGAAACCCGGCTGCGCTGCCAGCAGCCCTGCGGCGCGCATCTACATGCACGCCCTGCCACGCGACGAGCTCGCTGATCTCACCGCTGGCCGCGCGTGTGTGCGCCGCCAGCACGGGCGCAGCCGCACTCCCCACTTCCGCACACGCTGAGGAGCACGACCTCGTCGAGCTCATCGCGCGCATGTGCCACGCGAGCGCCGACGCGCTCAGCCTCGTCAACGCCGCCCTCCGAGCACGTCCCACCGTGGGCCGTGGAGGACGTGCTTCTCTCTCCCGACCTGCTCCCGCGCGTCTTTGCGACTCGAGCTCGAGCTCGAGGACGGCGCCGCCGCCGCCGCCTGCTCGACCTGGCTGCGGTGCTGGATCGACACGGACGAGCAGCGGCGTGGGCTCCGGCCGGCGGAGCTTGGGCCGCTGCCGCCGGGTTTTGACTTGGAGCATGTTTCAGGGCTGGCAGCGCATCCGTCGGGCGAGATGATGGCGATCATGCACTGTCATCATCCTGGACCAGTCGCTGCAAGAGGTTCGGCGGATCCCCGCTCCCTGTGCCCTCGGATGGATCTGCTTCTCCGAGGCCCGCCTTTTCGCGACCACGATTGGCGGCGCGCGCATCATCAGCTACAGCACCGATTCCTTTGAGGAGACCGCACGGTACCAGGAAGAAGAGCTCGACTACGACGGATTTGCAGACTTGGTCCTCACATCAAACGGGCTGGTGTACGCCGTCGGCTATTACGAAGAAACCGAGGTGCTCGAGCAGGAGGGAGTCTCCGAGGCGATCGTCGCCTTTGACCCAGTGACACTGCAGCGGCGCCTCCACTTTGGCCGCGGCGTCTTCCGCAAGGGGATCTACGGGCTCGCCTTCGTCGGCGACGAGCTCTACGCGGGAGACAAGAACGCCCGCAGCATTCGCGTCTTCTTGCTCGCTGGCGTGCACTTGCGGGAGATCAAGGGCGACTGGCGGGAGCCGTGCCACTTGCTGCACCACAGCAGCCGGCTCTACCTGAGCGAGCACGACGGCGACAACGAGGACTGGCCCGACGCGGACGAGGGCGAGGACGCCCTAGACCCGCAGACGTGGTCTGAGGAGAGGAAGTCGGCCGGCAAGCGCATCTTCGTCCTCACTCCGGAGGGCGAGGCGCTGCAGGTCTACCACACGGACAACTCCACCACCAAATGTGTGTCTTTGGCCGCAAGCTGATCGCCACGGTGTGCCCATGGACACCCAGGCAGGGGGAGCTCATCGCGCTCAAGGGCATCTGAGAGGCGAGAGCCTGCTCCGCAGCGCGTGTGCGGTGTGGGCCCGACGCCACCGATTCCGATATCGGTGGCGTAGAGTATCAAGGGAAGGAGTGTCTAGCCCTCCCATGCATGTTTTGCCCTCCCTCTCCCATCTTTTGTCGATCTGCCCCACTCTCGCAGCGGCGGGGGCACTTGGAGCACTTGGAGGGCGCTGATTTTTCTTCTTTTCGGCCGCCTGAGAGGCCCCAAGGTCCCGATGGCGGCATCGGTCTTCGCCATCAGTGCGCCCACGCAGGTGCGGCACGAGCGTCGAAGCTGGCGGGCAAGCCAGATCGCGCTCCGACGCTCTGACGCAGACGGTAGCCACGTGCTGCGGATTCCCACGACGGCCGCCGCACACGGCGACTGTGTGGAGTGGCCGTGCTGCGACCTGGTGGTAGACACCAAGGACTGGCTCGGCCCGAAGCCTACGGTCTCCATCAGACTGCGGTCAACAGACGCGACGCGCGAGATCGGATGCGCCACCCTCACGATCGGTGCCAGCCCGGCCGACGGCGTCGCGGGCGACTCAATCAGCGCCGGCGCGGCCGCACAGCGCTTCCTGGAGGCGCTCAGCGAAGCGGGCAAGGACGCGCGGCGCAAGCGCCCTGGCACTGCGGCGACGCCGGCCACCAAGCCGGTGGTTGACGCGCCGCCGAGCAAGCGTCCCAGAGCTGGCGAGCTGCCGGCGGAACCTCGCGATGGCGGCGGCGGCGGCCGTGTCAGTGCCGGCAGCCGTGGAGGCCGCGCAGGCGGAGCGGGCGGGCGCGGCTCCGGCACGGGCGGCCGCGCTGGCGGCCGTGCCGGCGGCCGCGGGCGGGCGGTCGCGAGCGCGATGTCGGGGACGCTGATGGAGGCCAAGCCAGGGCTCGGCTCCGGAAACGGCGTCTCCTCAAAACGGCGCAAGACCTCCGGCGCGGGAGCAGCCTCTGCCAGAGCTCCTGCCGGCGGCGGCGCGGCTCCCGCCGCCGCCGCCGCCGCCGCCGCCGCCGCCGCCGCCGCCGCCGCCGCCGCCGCCGCCGCAGCGCCCGCTGCCACCGCGCCTGCCGCTGCGCGTGCCGCAGCTGCGCCAGCCGCCGCCCCCGTTGCTGCACCAGCTGCCAGCGGCAGGGCGAAGGCGCACTGGCCGTGCTCCCCAGCCCCCGTGACCTCATGCAATCGATCGCACAGACACCGCAACGAAAATGCGCGCTTACACCCACACAAGCACCGGCGAGAGGGGAGAAAAGCACGCCCCCCCTGGTCGCACCCCCTCTCTGCCCCCCTGGTCGCACCCCCTCTCTGCCCCCCTGGTCGCACCCCTCTCTGCTCCCTCTCTGCTCCCGTGCAGGCTCCGCCGCCTCGCGCACGCAAGCGGGCCCAACCGGCCCAAGAGTATGAGCGTGGCGGCGGCGACGCGTGGCTCGAGGCGCAGGCTGTTCCGGACGCCGCCGGTGGGGGCGAGCGGCGACGGGGCGCCGCTACGGCGATGGAGGCAAGCGCCGAGGGGGCGGACGTGCCGGCGGGCGCAGAGGAGGGAGGAGGTGCAGAGGAGGGAGGAGGTGCAGAGGAGGGAGGAGGTGCAGGCGAGCGGGAGGAGAGCGATCGGCTCGAGGCGGCGGCGAGGGCAGCAACGCGCGAGTACAACGAGGCGCGACGCGAGGCTGCGCGCACGCGCGAGTCGCTTGCGTCGACTTCCGGCCCTGCCCACCTCCCGCCCTCCCGCCCCGCCACGCCGCGCCCCTCCCGCCCCGGGACGCCGACCTCGCGCCCCGCCTCGCCCACCGGCCCGGCCACGCCGCCGGCCACGCCGCCGCCGCGCGCGCCGGACTCGCCACCCGCCGTCGCGTCCACCTCCGTGCCAGCATCGCCGCTGCGGAGCTTCTCGCCTAAGGCGATCTGCCGCACGGCAACAGTGCGAGTCCGGAGTCCGCAGCGGGAGAGGGAGCCCGACCGCCACCTTCGCCCCCTAGGCGTGCGTCGCTGCGGGCTGCGGTCGTGGCTTCCCCAACCTCGGCCAGCGCTGGCACCACTCGTTGCGGCGACAGCAGCGCTTGCTCATGCGTGCAGCTGTGGATAGGCAACTCGTGCTACCTCAACTCGCTGCTGCAGTGCCTCGGTGACAGCGACCCTCCCTCGCAGCAGCCCCGCTGGCAGCCGGCTGTAGTCTGACACAGCCCCCACGAGCCCCCAAGGCGGCTGCGAGCCCTTCCTCGCGGGACTCGAGAAGTTGCGCGCCGCGCCGCTTCCGGCAGGGGCGGTGGCGAGGCTGCAATTCGAGCGGGCCTCTCCCACCCGGGGGGAGGGCTTCCCCTGAGGATGCTAGCCGTGGGCGTGTAGGCTACACCAGCGTGACGGACGTCCCGAGGGCAGCGGCAGCGGCGACGCTGCGGGCAGCGATGCCGCGGGCGGCGATGCTGCGACGGGCGGCAGTGGCGCCGATGTCGACGCGGCCGAAGAGGCGAGGCGGCCGAGCGCGCTGCTCCTGCCGTTGCTCCGCCGGCCGCCCCTCGAGACGAGCGAGACGGTGAAAGCGGACGCGCACGCGCTCCTCCGGCTGCGGGAACTGCTCGAGTCGCGTCACACCGCGTTCGCGGGAGGCGGCCAGCACGACGCACATGAGGCGCCATCGCCGCACGTTCCTCCCATCTCGCCTCCCCATCCGCACGTCCTCTAACTCGCCACGTTCCTCCTTTCTCGCTTCCCCCTTCCGCACTCATCTAACTCCCTTCCCCAAAACCACCCCCCTCCCCCTCCACTCCGGTGCGCCTTCGAAGGTGCTGTGCGAGACCTTCGATGCGGTCGAGGCGGAAGCGCGTGCGGCGCGGTCGCAGACGCGGGCTGAGAGCGCAGGTGTGGGTGCGGATGCAGATGCGGGCGCCGAATCAGCTGCCGGCGACGGAGGCGGCGATGGCGGGGTGCCGACGGGACCGGCACCGGCACCGGCACCGGTGTGCGCAGTGGGCGCCGCGTTCAGCTTTTCGCTGCGCACGACCATCCGGCGAGTTTGCAGCGGAAAGTCGCGTGTGCTGTCCTCGCACCGCCGACAGCCCTCCTTTGTGGACAGGTGCCTCGCCTGTGACCACGTCGCATCGGCTTGCGAGCGCGCCTCGCACCTCTCCCTCAACTTGCCGGAGGTGCGGGCGCAAGCGCGCCAAACCGCCTAGCCCCCCCCCCCCTCTCACCCCCAGATCCCCCCCCTTCCCCTATCACCCCCCAACACCACACCTCCCCTCTCACACGACCCTTCGCCGCCCGCTCGACAACATCCCACAGGTGAAAGAGGATCCAGCCGCTGCCGAGGACGACGCAGAGCGCGCCTCGCACCTACGCTTGCCCGGCCCTTCTGATGCGGCTGGCAGTGGTTCCCCCGCCCCGCTCATTATCAGTGCGGCGGGAGGCGCCGACGACGGCGACGGCGCGACCGCGCTCTTCCCGACACCAACTGCGGGGTCCCCGCGTGGCGAGTATTGCTCCAAATGCGGCGTGCGGACGAGTGGCGAGGTCTGCATGTGCGAGACAGCGCTCGGCTACTCCCCGGTACCGGGCTCTTCTGGCATCCCCTCGCGCGCCGTCAGTCCTCTCTCGCCTCTCCCGCCGCCCGACGCAGCCTACGCCCTCCCGCGCCGCCCGATGGCGCAGCGCCTTCCGTCGCCTCCACCCCGCCGTGTCCCGGACCTTCGCACGCCGCGAGCTTCCGAGGCTTCCGCCGTCGCTTGCAGCTCGCCCCACGCCTGCGGTACCCCCGGCCGCGATTTGGCCCCTTGCAAGCTGGCTGTCCCGTCGGCTGGAGCTGCTGGCCACCTTTACGGCGGCTGCCGCATAGCTGGCGGCGGCGGCGGCGGCGGCGGCGGCGGCGGCGGCGGCGGCGGCGGCGGCGGCGGCGGCGGTGGGTGGGGACAGACGAGTCGCCCTGGGAGCCCGGGGGGCTCCGGTGCCAATGCAGGCAGCGAAGCGTCCGACGACCTCGCCGCGCAAATCGCTGCAATCGACGCAAATTGCGCCGCCGCCGCCGCCGCCGCCGCTGACGCCACCAGTGGCGACGATGGCGACGGCGGCGGCGGTGGACCAGTCTGCCTCAACTTACGAGACCGCCCCGCCCCTCACATGATTGCATCGCTATCGCACGTGGACTCTCACGAGGATCGCGGCTGCAGTGATGGCGGCGGCGGCGGCGGCGATGGCGGCGGCGATGGCAGCGGCGGCGATGGCGGCGGCGATGGCGGCGGCGACGGCGGCGGCGGCGACAGTGCAGAGGTTGAGGGTGCGTGGCAGTGGAGCAATATGAGGAGCAGCCGTCGCGGCGGCTTCAATGCGACAGGCATTTTGCTGGGCCAGCAGTGAGTTTTGTGGGTGGAGATTCTGATCATAGTCGGATTGCATGAATAGGCTCCCGGCGTCACACGATCTCGCCCCTCCGCTTTGACAACGCCGCGATCGCCGCTGCTGGTGGCGGGGACTCCCCGGGCGCGTCTCACGGCGAGGAGCAGTCGCACACCCCCGCACGCCGGCCCCGCGCGAGGCTGTTTGGCGACCGCGCCGACGGACGAGGCCGAGGCTTGCGGAGGCCACCGCCAAGGGGCAGCGCGAAAGAGACGATTGACCTGGTCGGCGACAGCCCAATTGCGGCCCTCAACGACGACGATGACCCTGAGCTCGCCGCCGCGATTGCCGCTTCGCTGGCTGAGCAGCAGCAGCCACTTTGCTCCGCTTCGCGCCCCGCCTCGCCGGGCTTTCCTCTGGACGGCAAGCGCGGTGGCGGAGCAGCTGCGAGAGGCGCTCCTTGCGACGGCGCCGGAGGCCGTTCCGACAGCCGAAGCCGAAGCGGAGGCGACGGAGGCGACGGAGGCGGAGGCGGGAAGGAAACGCGGTTGCGTGTCTCCGACCTGCTACGCGACTTTCTGTCGGAGGAACCGCGCGAGTGGCGGTGCGACGCGTGCGGCGCTGCAAGGGCTCTTGCGAGCTACGCATTGCCCGCGCCGTTGCCAGCTTCACTGCTCCTCCACATCAAGCGGTTCGGTGCGCACCGCACCTCCGGCGCGCCTGTCAAGCGGCAAGACCCCGTCGAGATCGACCTCTCTCTCTCGCTGGCGGAGTGGGCCGAGCCGTCCGATGAGGCGGACAGTGAGGTGGCCCGGGCTGGCAAGGGGTGCCAGACTACTTACCGGCTGAAGAGCGTGGTGGTGCACCATGGCAGCAGCTGCTGGTCCGGTCACTACACTTGCGGCGCGCGCCTCTCGGACGACGATCACACGGCCGACACGGCGAGTTCGACGGGAGACACGCCGGAGGTACGATGGGCCAATTTCGACGACACGGAGGTGTCCAATTTCGGAGTCACGCCGACGTTGGACTCCTCCGTGTCGTCACACTTGGGCATGTATGAGGAGGGCGGGTATGTGCTGCTGTACGAGCGTGAGGATCACTGATCCGTTTCGCGCTGCACAGGTCTGTGCTCATGTTGTGTGGGTGGCGTCGTTGCGCTTGTTCGAACCTCTCGAGGTGTACGGCTACTGAGGTGGCGAAGTTCCTCTCTGGCTATCGGGGCCGCACGGGGGATGTTCTCCGATCGCGCGTCTTCTTTTTGCAAATCGTATACTTTACGTACAAAAGAAAACAATCGCCCATCAGCGCATGCACAGTGATGGAGATGCACACAGGACCCCGGGACCCCGTACGTCAGCGACGCACCGTCCACCGTGCCACCGAGCACCGTGCACCGAGAGCTATGCAGCAAGAGCTCCAGCTCCTCGGGGCGTTCGCCTGGTCTCACCATCTGTGTCATGTCACTTGTGAGGGATGCCACAGCCTTACATGATCGAGCAGCACCTGTGGCCCTCCTCGTGCATATGCACCAGATCTCTCGTCTTCAGTTGAGTGGTCCCGTCGGTGGACGTCAGGATCTGTCTCCCGGGCATCACCAGTAGAATTGGCGTCGTCGCTATGGTTGTCGCACAACTCACTGATGGTGTCGACGCCAAGCCACTCAAGTAAGCACTGTGACGCGGCTCTCGCTGCCGCCTGGGCGTTCGTTGCGTCTCTGGCCGCCCTCGTTGTTGCTTCAGTCGCCGCGCGAGTCGCATCAGAGGCCTTTTGCTCCGCCCTTCGAAGCGCGTCTGCACGGGCAAGTCGTCTAGACGCATAGGCTGCGGTGTGAGCCTCCCGTTCCCGGCGCATGGTCTCTGCCTCTCGCTGTATGCGCACCGCATCTGCCGCCTTCTCTCTCCGCATTTCCTCTGCCTCCCGCTCTCTCCGTATCGCCTCTGCCTCCCGCTCTCTCCGCATCGCCTCCGCTGTTGCAGCCACTTCCACCAGTAGAAACATCGCCTCGGCTTCAGCCTGCGCAGCATCCGCTTCCTCAGGAGCGTTGGATTTTGCCGCCGTATCCTGAATCAGCTCGACTTCAGCCGCTTCACGTGCCGCCTCTCGCGCACGCCCTTCCTTGGCAGCCTCTTCCGTTGCGCTAGCAGCCTCAGCCGCTGATCGTGCCACTGACTGCCCAACGGCCGCCAGGTTTGCTGCCTGGCGAGCCAGGTCCGCAGTTGCGGTGTCGTCGGCAGCCAATGCTGAGACCTTGGCCTCCTCTGCCGCTGCCCTCGATGCTGATCGTCCCGCCGCCGCCTCGCGCGCGCTCATGCGAGCCGCTTCCGCTGTATCTGCGTCCGCATTGGCTTTGGCCTGCATTGCCAACGTTCGTGCTGTTGACTTTTGCAACGCCGCCCTGAGGGCTGCCTCGCGTGCAGCGTCAGCCTGGCATGCCAGCGCATCCGCCCTTGCGTCCATGGAGGCTTGGCGCTCAGCCGACCGCCGCTCGGCCGCCTCCTTTGCCGCTTGCTGTGCCGCCTCGATCGCCCGAGCGTCCGCCTCCTCCTTTGCCTTGCTCTCGCTCGCTCGTGCCACCGAGCGACGAGCCGCCTTTCTTCCGGCCGCGTCGCGTGCTGCCAAGTCACGCGCGGCGTCGGCCAGCGCGGCGCAACGCCTTGAGAGGGCAGCCGCGTTCGCCTCGTCAGCCGCCACCGTCCTCCGCTCCTCCGCCTCACGCGCCTGCGACCGCCTCGCTGCCGCCCTGCGGGCCTCCTCGCGAGCTGCCTCCGCGAGAGCTGCTTCCCTGGCCTGCTTCTTGGCTGCCTCAGCCTCGAGGGCCAATGTGCGCGTCGCCGAGCTCCTCTCCGCAGCGCGCTGGGCGGCGTTTCGCGATGCTTCCGCCTGCGCCTGCTCCCTGGCCTCCTTCGCCAAACGAGCAGTCTCCTCTTCGGCAGCACGATAGGTCGACCGTCTCTCGGCCACCAGGCGAGCGGCCTCGCTGGCTGCCTCAACCAGCCATTTCGGCTCGGATATCTCTGAAGCCACAACGTGAGCCTGGTGAATTTTGGGCAACGCGCCGCCGCCCACTGAAAGAAGTTTCGTCTGCACCGCCAGACCAGCTGCTGATAGAGCTGCCAGCTTGGCCTCGGCGCTGAGAGTCTTGATCTCCTTGCCTGGGCTGAGTGCGGGCTCGTCCGCAACGCTGCCCTGGGCAGACAGGGCTGCATCGGTTGCATCCTCGTCGCTCAGCCGCCACAGCTTTGATATGGAACTTGCAGACTTCCGAGATCTTTCGGCCCTTAGCTTCGGCGGGCAGGAGACGGACAACCCGGCCGAGGCGCACGCTGCTCGGCGGTAGACCGGCCCATCCATTGAGCTTGCCTGCTGGTGATGTGCCGTCACTCGGGCGACGCGGTCACTCGGGCGAGGGGGGGAGGGACGCACGAGTTTTATATCGCGCCCTTCGTCGCCAACTCGCGCGCTTACCTGTGATGTCGGCACCAGGTATTGCACCAGCGCCCGACAACGGGGGCGACTACGGCATTGCACCAGCAATACACTAGATGCCGGAGTCCCTATCTTGTCGCGAAGGGCAGCAAAGCAAGCACACGTACACGCAGCGTGTGTGGCACGCACGGTTTTTGTACCCGGCTGTGCTTTCTGGCTGCCAGTGATCATAGAAAGTGCCGGATGTAGGTATCATCACGTTGTTGCTTTAGGTTCCAGCACCGACACCAGCGCCGGCACCGTCGCCCTCATCGGCACCAAATGAGCCGCCTCTTGGGTGCTGCGGGGAGCTGTGGAAGCTGGGCAGCATTGACCCACTCCAAGAGCACGACACCAAAGTCGGGAAGTGGGTGCAGGAGGAGAAGCCGGAATGCGCGACGAAAATTTCGCCGAACTGCCTGTGCGTTGTCCTCCCCCCCCCCCCCCCCCTTTCTCCCCCCACCCCACACACCGCCACGTCCAGGTGCTACACTTGTGTGACCTACTACTACAAGGACTGCCCATATTTCTGCGCACCTGCGTGGTGGTGCAGCGGCCGAAACTGCTACGGGACCTTGTGCACGCATTTTGTCTTTCCGGACGAAACCAAGATGTACCAATCAACATTCGGCTTTCCGGCTAAGACGTTGACTAAGGGGTGATCGGCGAGGCGTTAGATGCCTTGAAGCCATAACGACACCTCGCCGTCAACAGCACGGCTGCGTCTGCCCCGATCACCCCTTAGTCAACGTGTGGCGTGCGCCTTGAGTCTATCCTGATGAGCGTGGGAAGCAGGTCTGTCTGTCTGTGAAAGTGCGACTGTGATTATTGTGGTTGTTGTAATTATTGGGCCCAGAGGGTGCGCTCTGGTTACTCAACCCGGGTACTAAAATACGATTGGAGAAAATTTATGCTATCTTTCACATGGATGAGGGGCCACGAATGCCCCGTATATCCCCTCTCTGCCAACTCTGCTGCCGCGCGTGGAATTCTTTTGTACGGGGGCGCAGTACTACGACGCGAAGTGGGTCCAGAAAGCCGTAACGCGGCTGGTGCTCGTGGAAACTTTGGGTGGCATTGCGCCGCCCACCAAGCAGTTCCTCCATGTGTTCGCCAAGGAGAAGCGGTGGGCACCTAACACGCTCGGACCGGACGGTGTATGGGGCGGCGTCGGCGAGCGCCTCTGGGGGGGCGCGCGGGCCCTAGAGGGTATCCATGCGGGGGGGAGAGGGGTCCGATGGCCCGCCGTAGGCGCCGATTTCAGATTTTTTGAGCGATTTGTTATTTGTTTTCATCACCGTTTTCATGGAAATTCGGCGTATCAATCGGCCATGCTCTATCACGCCTTGCGACAGCCTGTCGGCGCTGCTGACCGTGCCATGCTGCACAATTGACCACCTGCATAGCTCGCGGCCTTAGTATCAAGCATTCAGTGACGATCTTATCGTACGGCCAGTAGGAAGGTGTCCTTCCAACGTGTGCACGCTTCTGACGCAATGCGCGTCACAAACTGCCTCAGATTGGCTGCTGGCACTCTCGAGGCTATGCCTACACAGCCTCGCGCGCATGGGCAGTCAAGAGGGACCACGCACCTTCTCAGGACAGCGCCGGTGCCTCTCTCTTGGACCGGCAAACTTGGTGGTATCGTGTCACCAATGTGGGACCAGTGCGGCATCGCGCCATCGACAGCTCTGAACTGCGCCCACCACTGACCGGGAAGGCCGCCAAGTGGGCCAGCACAGGTCGCACATTGTGGCAGCAGTCAGCAGTGCATGTCTGATAGCTAGAGCAGCAGCGTCAGGGTCGCAGGGTCGGATCGTGTCAAGCCTCTCGCCCGGCCGGCCGTGTGCAGACGTCGGCCTGTCTGCTGTCTGGAGTGATCTGTCGGCGGTCAGTACGACCGATCAGGTCGGAGTGATTGGAGGGTCTATCTGTACGTACTCCTCGAGATCTCTCCAAATCTGCCCTCTAACCAACCGTAACCATTCGGGAAGTTGGTGCTAGTAGAGACTAGTAGAGCCGGGGCCCCGTTTCCGCACTGCTGCGCGGCACACGGTGCCTCCGGGGGCCCCCGCGCCCCCCCAGAGGCGAGCGCCTCCTCCTTTGTCGTCCAGCACACGCAGCAGAATCCATGGCTGCGGTGGCGGGCGACGCTGACAACATCAACAAGCAGGCGCGCAAGAAGTGTACCAACTGGGTCAACTCCCCTGAGCGTGCCAATTGGGTCAACGCCGTCAAGAACAAGCAAACGGCAAACGGCTTCTTACGCTCGGCCCCAGGTGGGGGGTGCCCGTGTCGCCTACAAGTTCCGCTGATGGGCCCTCCACCCTTCATGTAGTCCCCACCGACGCTGTCGTGGGATCGCTTGTCATGTGAGAGAGTGCGTTGTGTTCTAGCTGTCGCCCGCGCCTCGCCTGTCGCGTGAATCGTGTCGTGCGACCGCCTTTTGTTGTAAAATTCTTTCTGTTTCCGCTTTTTCTGTTGCCAGTGCGCGCCAGTCCGTGCCTAGTGTGGTGGGAAAAAGAAAGAAAGAAAACAGACAACCCAAGGGAGGGATGGGAGGACGGCACGCCGCCACCACACAGGGATTTTATTTTTAAGGAGAGGAGTGTGGTGCTAGCCGTCGCCCACCCTAACCCTTGGGCGTCTGCCTCTTTCTATCTCCCTTCGCAGTCCCTCGCCGATTCTCGCTGCAACCTTCATGCCACCTCTCCCCACTCTCGTCGTTCTCCCTCCTTCCTGTCGCTTCCTTCCTCCTCTCTCTGCCTGCCGCGTCGCTCTCCTCTGCCTCGTCCTGCGACGCCGCCGCCGCCTGCCGATCCTTGGCCTTGGCTTGGCTCTCGCGGCTTCTCCCGCCTTTCGGCGCAACTCTGCCCTCCTCGCGGCATTAGTGTGGTGGGAGGTAGTTTGCTTGCGATGCGCGCAGCGCACAAATTTCTTTGTTGTCTCAGACGACTTGGCGAGAAGACGCAGACCATAGTCGAGCGCGTCGGAGAGGTGTTTCGAGACCGAGTGTTTTGAACGCGCTCCCTCCGGTGCTATTGAACTCAATGCAGCTGACGAACGAGGAAGAGGCGGTACCGCGGCGTCCCATCGACTCGCTGACACCGGCCGAGTTCCGTCGCCTCTACCTCGTTCCCAACCGTCCGGTGGTTCTCACAGGCGCGACCGTCGGCTGGCGCGCCGCCTCTGACTGGGTTACAGCTGACGGCGAGCCCGACTTGCCGGCGCTGGCGCGCCTGTTTGGCCAAGATGTCGTGCCGGTCGCTGACTGCTCGCGCAATGGGCGGCTTGGTGGCAGGGCCGCGGCCGCATGCCGCGATATGCGGGTCGCGGAATACGCAGCTTGGTGGCAGGGCAGTGGCCGGGCGAGCGGGGAATGCCTCTACCTCAAGGATTGGACCTTTGCTGCCAAGCATCCGGAGTACCGCGCCTATCACACTCCGGCTCCGCTCGCGGACGACTGGCTCAACGAGCACTGGGCGGCGAGGCGCGGCGAGGCGGAGGAGGTCGGCGATCACCGGTTCGTTTACCTCGGGCCCGCCGGCTCGACGACACCGCTGCACGCCGACGTCCTGTTCTCCTACTCGTGGTCTGCCAATCTCTGCGGCGTCAAGCACTGGCAGCCGTGCGCCAGCATGGACCGCTCAGTCAGAGCGAGGGGGCGTATAACCTCGCGCCACTCCCTGCATAGGCTGCTAGTGCCCGCCTCGCAGCGCGCCCTCGTCTCTGACTCTGCCTCCGACCCGCTGCACGGCGGGCTCCGCGCCCTCTCCGCCGCCGGGGGAGCACCTCTCGAGGTGACGCAGCGAGCGGGCGAGAACGACTCCCGCGCAGGTGTGGAGTCGCAATCTTCCCACTGTGCTTAGCGTCAGCGTGGGCGTGCGCGCATAGGAGAGCTGCTCTTTGTCCCTTCGGGTTGGTACCACGAGGTGACCAACCTGACGCCCGTCCTCTCGGTGAACCACAACTGGCTCAACGGCGCCAACGCCACTTGGGCGCTCCGCCGCTGCTCCGCCTATCTCGCCGCCATTCGCGCCGGACTCAATCCCGAGGACGCCGCCGACGCCACGCTGTGCATGCAGCTGCTCCGACGCCGGGCGGGTGTGGATTTGAGGGAGCTCGTCGCTCTTGCCGAGGGCGCCGCTGACCGCCGCTCGCGTTGCAGAGAAGAGCATGCGGGGGAGGCGGCGACCAAGGAGGCGGAGGGGGAGGAGGAGGAGTGGCGGCGCGAGTCGTTGCGGGTCGCGCGAAGCCTCATCGACGGCGTGCGCAGCTTGGCGGCTGAGACATTTGGGGAGGAGGCGTGGGAGGAGCTGGACATGGGGGCCAGCTCAGCCAGAGGGTAAGCAGAGGAGAAGGAGCGAGTTCACACTTTCTATATATTTACTATAAGGGTTAACCGCGTGTCTACCTCTCGAGAAAAGTAGTCGCCGCGGAGGTTCCGCGCACAAAGTGGCGGGCTGCGGCGGGCGCGGGGTAAGGGTTCCCGCCCTCCTACACCGAGGCTCGACCCGCTTCTCCTCCAGTTCACTAGCACTAAGCGAAATTTGTTTAAGCTTTAACAACTAGAGCACAAGTTTGCGTCTGGTCCCCCGTGCCCCGGGAGGAGTGATCGCTAGGATCGCCTTGAGAGCCCGGAGTCCATTTACGTCACGCCGCTGGAGCCCGCCACTGACAGGCACCCTGTGCGGCTCGACACGTGCCATGTTGCGGCGCTCGGCGCCGCAAAGGCCTCGAGGTGGCGCACGTGTGGCGAGCGGCACAAAAGGTGCCTCGAGACGTGGTGCGAGAGGAAGGGTCCTTTTGGCCACTATGACCTTCCCCGAGGATACCATACCACTCGACGTCATGATTGCGCACCAGATCCGCATGGTGACAAATAACCCGGCCATGATTGAGCACGTCGTTGTGGACAACCGCCCGCCGTGGATGGAGCCAGTCAATCGTCAAGAAGCGATTCTGCAACTTCTCGAGCGCTCGGGAAGCTCGAGAGTCCGGCGTGTTGACTACTCCACGTATAGGACGCCGAGCTACATGCAGCGTTTCTTCGAGACGGGAGCACCGTCCGACAGTATCGCGACGCTTGAGGGGTCCCGCGACACCTCTGACATTGACGGCCACCACCTCTCCTCCAACATGCAGGGCATGCTCAGCTTCCTCGAGCACTGTTTGGGTTCAGCGGGCGTCGACCTCTGCATGTTTCTCGACCCAGACATCATGGCCTTTCGGCAGGGCCGCGGCATGGTTGAAATGGCTCGCGAGGCTTTCGCGGCCAGCGACCGCGTTGTGGGCTTGAGTCCGCCAACAATTTGTAGTGGACTGGGAGCTCGCAACCACTCGCGGTTCTGTGCTCGCCGGCCGAGCTTCCTCAGCCAGCGCTACCTCATCCTCCACCGCCAGCGCCTGGCCCACGCGCTGCCACTGCGTGTGCCGCGCGCCGAGCTGTTTGTGAAGGGCACATTCGAGTGGCTGCTCACTCAAGGCATGCGCCATATTGAAGGGGGGCATGCGGCGTGGCGTCTGTTGTGTGCGGGCGCCTTTGCGGTGCACCCTTTTAGTGCGCGCTGGAGCGGCCGGTGCCTCAATCGGCGCGAGAACTGGCATATTCAGCAGCACGCGAGACTAACTGCAGCGTCTGCCAACCTGTCGGCCGCGGTTGATCACCACGGCTTTGAGGGGGTCATGGTGGAGGGGCTACGGGAGATTATAGCTCGTGTTGAAGCTGGGAGGCTGCCGCGACCGGAGAACTCAGCCAGCATCACGAATATGTGCGAAGACATGTGCGTCTCGCCCGAACGAGTCGCTCGTGGGCTAGCGTGGTAGCTCTAGCTGGTAGGCGAAACGCGAAAGTGCGCGCCGCCGCGCGCAGATAGTACTATAGGAAGCCGAGTTGATACTTGATTGCATTTCGGCAAGCGCAGCAAATGCAAAAGTCAAGAAGCGGAAAAGTCCTTAATATATCTCAAAATACAAAAGTTCTCTGACTCGTGGTCAGTTGCGAGTTGGCTAGTTGGCTTGCTCCATTGGTGTGCCAAACACTCTACGGCCAAAACAATCAAACGGTGGTAAGATTTACCACGACTTCTGAGGCAAAATCTGACAAAAATCAAATCGGCAAAATACCCGGTATTCCCCACGCCCACACGGTCTACCCGGGGTTTTCCAGGTGTACCCGCAAAATACCCGGTATTTTGCCAATTTCGCAAAACAAATGATGTGAATTTCGCTGAATTTGGCCGCAAACCAGCCTCAGACTCGGCTCGGAGCCCGAAACAATTGATGCTTTTCGTATTTTACCATACCACTCCCCAGCAGAATCAAAAAATACCACTCATTTACCAGTAAAAATGGCAAGCGGCATGTTGCACGAGTATTGGTGAGGGGGGGCCGCCCGTTGACGAAGCCAAGCGGTGGGCAAGCGGCAAAGGCCGCAAAGTGGGCTTCGCAAAAGGCACGTGCCACCTTCCGTGGCGGCGGCACGGAGCACTTGGAGCACGGGAATCGCGGCGAATAAATAAAATAAATAGATAAATGAATAAAACGGACATCCCAAGCTAGGGAGGGCTGGGTCGAGGACAGACAAGAGGGGTCATCAACTTCGAGAAATTTCACGGCCCCCATCACCTCTTTTGCCCGCAGCCCGGACTTGGGGCGCGGGCGCTTTTGCGATAATACATCGTCCGTGTGTGCGAGCTGCGACGCTCCAGTCTGCGCTAGTATGGGCACTACACTCTATCACAACACTACTGATCCTGGTCATTAGAGCTGAAGGGATAGCGTCAGGAGCCGGTAGGAGTCAAAACCCCTCATATTTGAGACATCTTGTCGCCTCACACACTGTAATATTACTCGTGCAACATGATACGACAACACATATACATGTTGTGCATGCTACCATGTCCATGTCCTCCATGTCCATGTCCATGTCCATGTCCATGTCCATGTCCATGTCCATGTCCATGTCCATGTCCATGTCCATGTCCATGTCCATGTCCATGTCCATGTCCATGTCCATGTCCATGTCCATGTCCATGTCATGTCATGTTGTGCATGTGCATGTGCCAAGCTCACTGTGCCCCGCGGCGCAACTAGAAAGCCGTAAAGAGTAAAGTACGACGAGTCAACTGACAACTCACACCAGCAGCGACCAGCGAGACTTAAAGAAAGACTCAGGAAACACTGTGTGTGTGGTGTGTTGACAACACACGCGCAAATACAGAGATCAGGCAAGCAGTCATGATCGAAATGTTACAAACGCGCGGAGCCTAGCTGACCACGCACCCGCAGCCACCGCCCGAGCTCGCGCCACCACCGGCAACATCAGCGGCGCTGTTGCTCCTTCGTATGCGCATCACGAGGATAGTGGTGTCGTCTCGCGGCTGAAGGTAGCCGTGACAATCGTATGCATGCCTGCGTGGCGGCCGCGGGTGTCGCGGCTGTGTCTTAAAAAAAGGGGGGGGGGGGGGTGGGGGGGGGGGGGCAAGGCCCCCCCTCTGGTTGATGGCCCCATCGATGATGGCGGTGGCGGCTAGCGACGCTGACTGTCGCCTCATGGAGCGTAGGCTGCTGGCGACCGCGCTGGAGTAGAGGGCGTCCCAGATGCCGTCGCTGGCGACCACGACGTCGCACCCCCCGGTAGGCACGCAGAGGCTCCGCACGTACGGGCGCGCGAGGATGTAATCGCCGACGTCGGCGTCGCCGACGCTGCGCGCCTGCGCGACGCCGCCCGGCCAAAGGCGGAGAGGGCCCGCCGGGTCGCCGGCGCGGTTCCTCGCGTGGCTGAGGTGTCCGCCCATGCCGCGGACGCGCGCGCGCTCCGGCTCGGAGGTGTCGAGCCGGTGGTCCTCGGAGAGGCGCACACTTGAGCCAGACGGGGGAACGAGCCACGCCTCCGAATCGCCGAGGTTCACGACGGCCAGCTCGCCTCGCGTGAGGTTGAGCGCGATGATCGTCACCGTCGAACCCGCATTGGTGATCCGCTTCACCTCCTCATGCACCTGCTGACACGCCGTCGCGCCCGCCCCGAGCAACGACGCGGCCGACCCGTCTCCCGCCGCCGCAATATAGTAATCGAGGAGGTGCTTGCGGCAGTGCCGCGAGGCGGCGCTGCCGCCGTGGCCGTCAGCCACCATAATGACGGCAACGTCCTCTCCGCTCAGCGTCACGCGCCTTGTGTCGAAGCAGTCCTCACCCTTCAGATCCCGCTGCGCCTGCCCAACCTCGCACACCCAGTTCGGCTCGTCGGTGACGGTCGCTTCGTCACCCTTAATCGCTTTGGCCTCTGAAGTCGCGATCTCGCCTTCGCTCGCCCTCGCGGGCCCCGCAGTCTCGATCTCGGCTCTGCCCGCCCTCGCGGGCGCCCCGGTCTCAATCCTGGCCTGCCCCGCCCCCTTCGGGCGCCTGTGTTTGCGGCTCTCCACTTGTTCCAGTTGGACAAGCTAATTTTCTTTTTCCGCGATTCTTTTTTCGTTCGCCAGTTCCCTTCCTAGTGTCGAGCGAGGGAATTACTTTGTAAAATTCTTTTTTGTTTGCCCCTCACAGGTCCCGCCAAAAAAACGGTCTGGCAGTGGAGTACTCGGTATGCCGCTGTTGTTTGCGCCCGCTCGCCCTTTAGCCGGGCGCCAGTATTCTTGGATCGCAAAATTCTTTTTTGTGTACCTGTGCGAGGGAGCTTTGTATAAAATTCTTTTTTCGCTGCCCCACCGATGAAATCTGCAAAAACCTGGCCCACCCCACCCGCACCCCACCCCGACCTACCCTGGGGGAATAAAAAGAAATCATGCTGCGTGCGTACTAACACGCACTTTGCTGGCCGCGCAGGCCTCGCCACCTCCGACCTCGGTCTCCTCCGCTTCACTCGCAACCTACACACATACATGCCGCACGACACAGCATATATGGCCTCCACAATATCGCGCACACTCTCCAGACACCGTAAGCGCAGCCCTAGTACCTATTACATGCTACATGGCTATGCCGCTCACTGCAGCTCGACGGCCTCGTCGAGCATCAGGCGCAGAGGTGCGCGTCACTCGTCCGCGGTTGAGGCTGGCTCTGATGTGTGTGTCCGATCGCTCGATGGCACGATGGAACAGATGTGTGTGAGTGACTCGTCTGGATCGAGATGTGTGTGTGCTGACCCTCTGTGACGATCTGTCTTTGATAGCGTCTCTCTGCGTCCGGTCTCTCTCTGTGTCTGCGACGCTGTGGGTATGGCGCTGGTATGGCGTGAGGGCTGAGGGAGACAAGTCCATGCACCAGCTCTCACACGACACGCGCTGTGACAGCCCCGCTGGCCAACCCGTCCGCTCCCGCCTCCCCCCGAGAAGACAGTAGACACAAACAAGGCTCACACCCGACCCGCGACCGTCGCGGTGTCCACCGCTCACTCAAAAGCTCTCAGGCACAGACAGCTCCATCATCCCGACCACCCTCCGTCGCGTCCAGTATGTCCCCCAACCGACCTGAGTCGTATATTCTCATGTAGATCAACTCAATGTACGTCCTCACGCGCCCTCGCCTGCGGGTCGAAGGTCATTTTGAAGAAGTTGTACTTGACGACGAGGCGGTCGCCCTTTGAGGTGAAGTCCACGCCGCGCTCCTTGCTGTAGATGAGCCCGTGCTTCTCGTTCTCGTCTGGCTCGTTGCGCCGCGTGTACTTCATCATCTGCGCGTACTCGGCGACAGTCGTCGGCGGCCACTTGCGCGACCTGAAGACGCCACGAAAAACGACCGACGCACCGGGCGCCTGCCCGAGAACTCGAGTTCGAAAACCGTAGGAGGCATCAGAGCTAGGGTGCCCACAGGACCCAAAAGAAATAGCTTTGCGGCTCAAAAAGGGACGCACGCGGCAAATCTGATGTTGGCCAGTTCCAATAGGAGCGAGGCCTCTTCCGTTGGGGGACCGAGTCAATAGGAAACGAGGGTTTCCCATTGTGTCCCCTTCGCGTGCGAGCGTGACACTGCACTTGGCGCCGAGCGCCCGCGGCTCAGACCTTGTGCAAGCCGACCCTCGGTGGGAGCACCGGTCCGGACCGATGGCGCTCGGTGTGGAGCAAGCAAGACCCCCCCCCCCCCCATCGGCGCGCGCCCGAGGTTCAAACGGCCGCCAGGAGCACCAAGAGGACTCCTCATGGCTGCTCCCAAGTGGGCTTCGACCGGCCTCGGCTGGGGGGGCGGGTTGTCCCGGTTGCGGATGCCTTCTGCAGCCCCCTGGGATGGGGACAGCACCCCAAAACTGCCCCACGGCGGCATACAGCACTGCCAGCCAGCCTCTTCCTCCTCCAAGGGCTGTACTATAGGCCATATTGCGCCGCCTCCTACTGGCAGCCGGGCGGGCGCGCGCGCCGCGGGCGCCTCGGCGCGCGCACGGCTCGCAAAGTTCGAACGAGTACTGCCGCCCGGCCGCCTCAAGGCTGCCGGACGGCAGTACTCGCCTCGCAAGGCGCGCACCGGCTGCTCTGGCTGCTGCGCCGGCGGCCGCTGCGCTGGCCGCTGCTGCGCCGGCTGGCGGGCGGTACGGCCGCCGGCGGCCGTTGCACCCGCGCCTTCCCTCGCGGGCGCCGTCGCGCCGCGCGCGCCCAACTCTGCTGGCACACGGCACGCGTCGTCACACAGCCGCGGAGAACAGGCGGTGCTGTGCGCGAAGCGCGCGCGATCTCGTACTTTAAGGCTGGATCCGGCCATTCCAAGGGTACGATCTCAGTGCCCCAGCACGCAAAATTTTCTCTGCGGGACTACCGCCCCGCACCCCGCCCGGGATGAATTCACACCTCTCAACAGCTGTTCACACCTGGAAAACTCATCGGATTTGGGCCACTTGCCTGGGCGACCCCGGACCCTTGGCGGACGCGCATGACGTCGGCCGGGACCCCCCGTGCGGGGGCCTTCCGTTGACCACGACCTCCTCCGTCGCCATGGAGCAGCGCCGCGCGGATCGCGCGCGTTCTCCCTCCTCCACCCCCCGAAGGCACCATAGGATTCCTATGTGAACCATAGGAGGTATTTTCTTCTCAATAACAAGGCTGTGAACAGATTTTTTTATTTTTATCTTCCTGCTTGCCTTCGCTCAGCAAACCCTGTCAGCAGTCCTCCTCCGGGAATGTACGTAAGAGCCACACCAACGCCACCGTTCTCTCTCTCTCTCTCAGCGGGAGACGCGCGCCAGTGGCTGTCCATATCGGCCGCGTCCGCCGCGTCGTTCACTGCCATCCCCGGCCGGCACCCGGTCTGCCGCGCGAAGCACAAGTAGGCGTTCATGATGAAGGCCACGTTCACCTCGAACGGCTCCATCAGCTGCGTGTCCTGCATCTGGTACTCTCCCACCTGGAAGAGGTGCTGCCTCGTGCACGGCTTCGTCGTCGCCTCGCGCAGCTCGGCCATCGTCCGCCGGCTCGCCTCGGCGCTCGCCCTCTCGCTCGCCGCCCGCTGCGCCGCCTCGCTCTGCCCGTGCGACGCCCTCTCCCGCGCCGCCTCGCGGCCCGCCGCCCGGCCGGCGGCTCCTGCCGCATCCTTCATCCCGCCGCCGCCGCCGTCGTACAGCGACATCACCTGCTTGGTCACCAGCCGCCAGTACTGCCTCGCGTCGCTCGGCATCGCCGGCCAGATCTCGCGCCACACGTGGTTCTTCATGTGCTGCAGCGCGACGTAGACCGTGTTCTCGCCGCGACCCGTGCGCACCGTCGGCTCCTCCTCCCGCGCGTCGCCCCGCTCGGTCGCGTGCCACCGGCTCGCCCTCGGCGCGGTGATTCGCGTCGTTGCCAGCCACTTGCCGAAGCGGATCGTCCACCGCATCGTCGGGTGCAGACCGAGAGCCGTCCGCTGCATCGGCACGCTCTTCCCCGCCGCGGCCTGCGTCGCCAGGAACTCGCGCAGCCGCAGGTGCACGACCCGAAGGTGCGCCGACAGCGCCGGCCCGTGGGGCGCTAGCATCGGCCGCCCATCGCCACGCGCAGCCTCGACCTGCTGCTCGTCATCCTCCGCCTCGAGGGCGTCCGCCAGCGCGCTGCGCCGCACGCCCCGGCGCACAGGAGGCGGCGCCGGCCGCACCTCGGCCGCCTCGGCGTCGCCCGCGGCACGGGCGCCATGCTCGCCGTCCACGCGGTCCATCGCCGCATCCCCATCCCCATCTGCGGCAGCGCCTCCTGCGCCCGTGCCGGCCTGCTCTGGGACGGCGCGCCACCGCTCGTCGTCCAGCATGTGCCACCACCGCCGATCCGAGTAGCCGTCGTACTCGACCTCGTGCACGATCCGTCCGTCCCGGTCCTCCTCCCGCGCCATTACGGTCGCAGGGTACCACCGCTCGCTGTCGCAGAAGATCTCGAGGCGCGATCCGGTGGACAGGACAGTGTGGCCGTCGAGCGCCGCCCTGGCATCCTCGCGCTTTCGCTTCCGCCGCTTCGCCTTCGTCTCCTTGCTGCGCAGCAGAGTGTAGTTCGGGCCCACCTCCGCCACGCTGTCCAGCACGTGGACGGCGCTCGCCATCTCGACCGCGTCGTCCTCCGGCGGAAGCTCCGCGTCACCCGCGGCCGCTTCCCGAGCGCGCTCGTCGCGCATCCGCTCGTGGTGGGCCTGCCGACGCGCCACGCCGGCGCCCGTGTGCCTCGCCGCCGCGTCCGGCGACGGCATCAGTGCTGTCCGCCCGAGCGTGACTCGCCACTCCACGACCTCCACGACCTCCACGACCGCCGAAAAGCACGACCGCCCAAATCTCGAACACATCTCGAGTCCTCTCACATTGTACATACATACCTTTGAGAATCCCCAGCGTCCCACCCTCCTCTAGTCACACTCTCAATATCTCGACTGGCCAACACGAAGTGCTGCGATCGGGAGTGCCCCATTTCTTTTTTCTTTTCTTTTTTTGGGTCCTGTGGGCACCCTATCAGAGCAAAAACTGAGCCCGCTCGATGTAGAAAAAAATTTATAAGGGTCAACCTACCGATTCGATCCGGAAGCCACTCGACCATCGAGGGGTCAACGGCCGAAGTAAGCAGAGTAGGTGATGGTAGCGGTAGCGTCCAACTCCTCCCCCCCCCCCCCCCATACCGCTGCGTCCGCGGTCGGCAGGCGCGCAGCGACCCAAATTTTTGCTCACCGCACGGCCGTGCGAGCCGTCGGTCGGTGGTGATGGTCGGCGTCGGCGCGCGCCGCCCAACGCGGCTGCGGTGGGCGTCATGTGGCGGGCGTCGGACCAGACATTGTGCGATTTCGGCGTCCCTAGTGCTGTTCATATGCTGCAATGGCGGGCAGGCCGAGCTCCGACATTATGGCCAACCGTTGGTGCGGACGTCCCGTGAGTCCGTTACGAGTACCGACAAGAAACTAATAAAACGTTCTCGGCCGAGGGCATGAAAACACGAGAAAACAAAAACCCGGAGGGTGAAACGCGAAAAACGAAACGCCAAAAACAGCGCCGTTTCGTACTCCTAATCAATTGGCGCGCATCCGGCATCCGGAACCGCCGAAACAGGCGCGTGCCCCACTGAGAACCGTCTCCGTTCCTCTACATGGCTATGCAGCGCGCGCAGAACCACATCGATGTCGAGGGCGGCGCGGCCAAGAAGGGCGGCGAGGGCAAGGGCCCACGCCGCCACACTGGCGCTCTCCTCTTCGTCGCCGTCATCGTCGTTCTGGGGCTCGGGCTAGGGCTTGGCCTGGGTCTCGGCCTTCGCAACGACTCCTCGACCATTTCGCCATCACCACCGCCGCCAAACCCACCGCCGCCCTCTCCTCCTCCACCATCCGCCTCGCCGTCGCCGCCGCCTCCCTCCGCGTCGCCGTCGCCGCCTCCCTCCGCCTCGCCGTCGCCGCCGCCTCCCTCCGCCCTAGGTACCTGCGTGAATGCAGGCCTAGATTGTTCTTGGCAGGCTGCCGACGACGCCCGGTGCTTGGATTCCTGCGACAATTCACAAAAGTGTGCCCCCCCTACCGGATCCGATACGGGATGTACTGCACTCGGCCTCTGCTGTGACACCTGTTGTCCCGACGTACTGTGTACGTCGGATCCCGCCTCGCTCCCAACCCCCGAGGGGAGCGGCCAGTCGTGCTCATCAGACGCGGACTGCCCAGATGGGTTGGCGTGTTCTTTGGCGTAGCGCCGAGCCGTGCCCGATCCGGCGGCCAAGTCTCCGCCGATGGAGACTCCCTAAGAGCAGGCGAAGTCGCTCGTCTCATATTCGGGTGAGCCGACGCACTCGGTGCAGCCAACGCACTGCTGCCAGGTGCATAGGAAGGCCCATGGCTCGTTGACCGAACGACACCAGTCCTTGCACACGTTCGCCGTGCACTCGCCGCAACCGGAACAGCCATCGAGGTCGCACTTGTCTTTCCACCAGCGCTCGTCGAGCGCACACCACGGCTCGCATAGCGACGGCGCGCCATCCACCGCCACGACGAGGTCGTACCTACTCATCGAGCCAGGCGAAACGTCCGCTGATGGGGCCTGGCGCGCACACCGGCAGCTTTAGACGCGCACCGCTCCGCATAGCCGCTGGCGCGCTTCGTGATGTTTGTCTGCCCGAGGCCCGACCAGGCGGCGCCGTCCCAACCGCCCGCTACCGCCGCGGCGGCGGCCACTTCTGGCGACGTGACGTTGGGCGCGCCAAACTCGCGCGCGGCGTACGCCTCGTCGTACATCATCAGGGTGCAGTGGGTGCCCGCCTACTCCAGGCCAGCCCTTTGTGCTCTCTAGGGTCAGCGCTTGCAGTAATCAGGGCCCGCTCAGCGCACGCCGTGAGCATTGCGGCCCACTCATCCTGCCAGCCGACCCCGCGTAGCGTGTCAGTAGAGCTTTCGCCCTCGCAGTCTAGAGTCCAGCGCACCGCCCAGGGGAAGCTGCCCACCGTCATCGTGATGGCGTATAGTGGCGGCGGGGACGGCGGCGGGCTTAGCGGTGGCGAGGGTGGCGAGGCCGGCGGCGGACAGACCGCGCCGTCCGTCCTCGCGCAGATCCAGTCGGTGTAGGCCTGCACGCGCGCGTACACGCCCGGGTAGCCCAGTCTGGCGCAGCCTTCCCCCCAGCTCACGATGCCGACCAGGGTCCGCTCGCCCGAGCCGTCGATGCCAAAGAGCGGCCCGCCCGAGTCGCCCTGGCAGCTGTCGACCCCCTTCGCGCCGGCACACCATCGTGTCGGGGTTGTACCGGTTGCCGTAGTTAGTTGCGGCGCAGTCGGGCACCGCCGGGACCGTCACGTGCTGCGCGATGTCGGACGCCGCGCCGCCTGATGAGAGGGTGCCCCAGCCCGCCACGACGAGGTCGGTGCCGTCGACGTGCCAGGTGCCATCTCCGGGCTGGTCGAGGTGGTCGATCGGGGCGTACTGGCTCACTCCCGTCAGCTTGATGAGCGCAATGTCGTTGTTCTCCGTGCTAGATTCATACGCCTCGTGCGAGACGATCGTCTCGACGTGCATGGTCTCGACACACGCGTCTGGGGAGGGGGGATTGCGATCGTACTGACCAATCAGCACTGATTGGCCGACCGAAATGCCAGGCACGCAATGCGCGGCAGTGAGCACGTACTCGGGGGCGATGAGGATGCCTCCGCAGCCAGGCGGGTCGAGGTGGACGAGAAACTGATAAAGCCTCGGCGGGTCAATATTGAAGCCGCCGACAATCCTGGGGACAACGACGGCCTTGGATGCGACCGCCGAGGTGGCGAAGCAGTAGCCCGGCAGCGGCGGCAGGGACGGCGGAGACGGCGGGGATGGTGGCGGCAGAGGGGGAGGGGCTACGAGCGCCACCTCGAAGTGCTCGATGCGCTGGTAGCAGTGGCCGCCCCGAACAACCGGGCAGGCTCCGTCACCAGGGCTCGGTTCAGGGCTCGGTCGCGGCAGGCCCAGGTCCCCGGTGGTGTCATAGGTGAAAGGAAATCCGTCGTAGGTGGGAGGAAATCCGTCGTAGGTGAGAGGAAATCCGTCGTAGGTGGGGCTCGGTGCAGGGCTCGGCTCAGGGCTCGGTTCCACGGTGTCGCAATCCAAAGTGAGGGCCACCTGCCCGAGGCCCGTCCAGCTGGCGCCGTCCCAGCCGTCACCATACGAATCGCACATGAGCAGGGTGCACTGCATGCCAACTGAGAGCGAGACGGGGTACTCACGGACAGCAGCGTGGGATCTTGCGTACGTGATAACTGCGCTTTGAGACATGACTTCCTTCCCCTCGCAGGTGAGAGTCCAGCTCACCTCCTCAGGGTTATATCCTCCCGTCGTCGTGATGGTATAGACCACAGCTGGGCTGAACGGCGGTGCCGGTGGTGGCGAGGGTGGCGACGGCAGAGACGGCGGCGGTGACAACGGTGGCGGCGGCAGCGGTGGCGGCAGAGGGGGAGGGGCTACGAGCGCCACCTCGAAGTGCTCGATGCGCTGGTAGCAGTGGCCGCCCCGAACAACCGGGCAGGCTCCGTCACCAGGGCTCGGTTCAGGGCTCGGTCGCGGCAGGCCCAGGTCCCCGGAGGTGTCATAGGTGAAAGGATCGTACCCGTAGGTGAGAGGAAATCCGTCGTAGGTGAGAGGAAATCCGTCGTAGGTGTAGGTGGGGCAATCCAAAGTGAGGGCCACCTGCCCGAGGCCCGTCCAGCTGGCGCCGTCCCAGCCGTCACCATACGAATCGCACATGAGCAGGGTGCACTGCATGCCAACTGAGAGCGAGACGGGGTAGGTTGCGTACCATGTTGCGTTGCGGGCGCTTTGAGAGATGACTTCCTTCCCCTCGCAGGTGAGAGTCCAGCTCACCTCCTCAGGGTAGGATCCTCCCATCGTCGTGATCGTGTATACCACGGCCGGGCTGAACGGCGGTGCCACTGGCACTGGTGGCGACGGCGGCCAAATGGCCATGCTATACGCTGATACGTTTTGCAGCAGGGAGAGGCGCGCAATTCACCCGCAGCCGCTGCCGCGACGGTGGTGCGAGACACTCACGACGACAGCCCTCTCCCTTGTATGCGCCTGTTAGGAGCGTCGAACGCTAATTCAGCTAATAATTGCTGTTGCCGTCCTGAATGTCCATTTGCCCTTTGCGTAATCTATTGACAATAAATCCCTGTGTGGTGGCGGCGTGCCGTTCTCCCATCCCTCCCTTGGGTTGTCTGTTTTCTTTCTTTCTTTCTGACAATAAGCGACTCTCTCTCTCTCTCTCTCTCTCTCTCTCTCTCTCTCTCTCTCTCTCTCTCTCTTCTCTCTTCTCTCTCTCTCTCTCTCTCTCTCTCTCTCTCTCTCTCTCTCTCTCTCTCTCTCTAGGTAGGTAGGTAGGTAGAAAGGTGAAGAACAGCCAGGCTCGGACTGGATCTCTCTCTCTCTCTCTCTCTCCATGACAGATAAATTATTCCTCTTTTTCGAAACTAGAGAGGAAAGGAAGGAGAGAGTGCTCTCGAGAAACACGAAGAGAGTATTAAAAACTTGGAATGGAAGCCTCCCGTGGCGAAAAAAACTGAAAACGATTGCCATGCGAGCCCGAAATCAAAGAAATTTGTATCCGCACCCGTACGAAAGAAAACGTACCGGCGCACGCCTTTTGGGGGTTCCTGCACGAGGGAGGTCAGCCCGCAAAGCATCGGGCGCAGCCTCCGGCGCTTCTACGCAGGCTTCCGCTCAGACAATACCCGCAACAGCGCGGTGGATGGGGGATAACGTCAGAGCTTTGCTGGAGGGTGCGCAAGAGGGGACCGTCTGGGAGTGCGGGGCGCAGCAGTACGTGCTCGAGAAGGTTGTCGGGAATGGCGCCTTTGGCATCGTGTGGCGGGCCCGGTCGGCCGACGGCGAGGTGGTCGCGATCAAAAAGGCCCTGCTGAGCCGCACGCGGCGGCTCGCGCTGGGTTTGAGTTGGGTCAGTTGGAGACGTGGTGCGTAGGTGCTGCTCGACCGCCGCTTCCACAACCGCGAGCTCCAGATGATGCAGCTCGTGGAGCACGAGCACATCATCCGGCTGCGCTGCTTCTTCGAGAAGTCCGGCCGGCGCAAGGACGAGACCTACCTCCACCTCGTGATGGACTACCTTCCCGAGACACTCCGTGGCCTCGTCCTGCAGCACAATAAGCGCCGCCGCCGCTTCGACATCGGTCACGTGCGAGCCTACCTCTACCAGACCTTCCGCGCGCTCGAGTGCCTCTCCACGCTTGCGCGCGCGGGCTGCCAGAGCGTCGCGTCTCATCACACCCCTGACCATGGTGAACGTAGGTACCTCCATTCGCGCTCCATCTGCCACCGCGATATCAAGGCTAGCGGAGATCTAGCGGAGATCTAGCGGAGATCTGGCCGAGATCTGGCCGAGATCTGGCCGAGATCTGGCCGGGATCTAGAGGAGAGGCCGAGAGGCTGTCTCGCGCGGGGAGAGGGGTGCACAGCCTCGTGTGGCAGCCTCTCTAGCCCGGCCTGGTGTTGGAGCGCCGAAGGCACCATCCTGGAACCCCCTCCCCCCCCCGGGAACCCCTTTCCCCCCCCCCCCCCCCGCGCGCGCGAGGCGCACCATGAGGTGGTGCCCGGGAGATCCCTGCTCACCCCTCGCCCGCCCCCTCGCCCAGCCCGACAACCTCCTCGTCGACCCGAGCACCCTGCAGTGCAAGCTCTGCGACTTCGGCTGCTCCAAGACCCTCGTGGCGGGCACACCAAACGTCTCGTACATCTGCTCGCGCTACTACCGTGCCCCCGAGCTGCTCTTCGGCGCGAGCGAGTACAGCGTTGCGGTGGACGTCTGGTCGGTGGGCACGATCTTGGTGGAGCTGCTGCTGGGCCACCTCCCCTTCCAAGGCCAGGACTCGACGCAGCAGCACCTCGTCGAGATCCTCAAGCTGCTCGGCACGCCCTCCGAGGCCGACGCTCCCTAGACGCGGAAGACGGACTCCGCTCACTTCCCCCCTTCTCCGCTGTGCTCACTCTATCCCTCGTGTTCGCTCGGTGCTCTGAACACTCTGCTGTCTTCCCGCCCTGATGCGGGTGTCTTCACCCTGCAGGACGAGCTCCGCTCCATGAACTCGAGCCTCACCGCCGACGAGCTGCCAAAGCTCAAGCCCTTCCCCTGGGACCGCATCTTTCCAACCTCGACCGAGCCCCTGGCAGTCCACCTGGCACCGCACGCCGCCGCCCGGCCCAGCTTCTCCTCCCGCTCGCCCAGCCCGTCTCCCGCCCGCGCGCAGGCGCAGCAGCTCCTTTGCTACGACCCAGCGCGCCGCCTCGACGCGGCGGCCACCCTTGCGCACCCCTTCTTCGCCGACGGCAAGGTGCTCCCGCTCTCCGACGGCGGCAGCGGCAGCCCCACCACGCCGGTGGGGGCACGGGGCGCCTCCTCGCCCAAAGGGGTTGCGGCGGCCGCCGAGTGGGAGGGACGGCTCCGGCGCTACTACACGGCGCTCGCCTCGCGCGCATGCGAGCTCGAGCAGGTGCGCGCCGCCGCATCTCCCAAACAAGAGAGGGAGCCCCCCCCCTTCTCGCGCCTTCCCTGAGCCCGCCTCGACGGCTTCCCTCACCGTACCGCCTGAGCCGCGCCTGTGAGTGCAGGTGCCTGCTGTTTTGGAGCGGCGCCTCAAACGCGCCGCCCAAAAGGGGCTGGACGAGGCGCGGCTGCCGGAGGTCGCCGTCGAGATCGCGCACGAGGAGATCGCCGCCGTCCTGCGAGACCGGGATGAGGCGGTTCAAGGCGTGCACCGAAGGCTGCTCTTTGAGGCAGGCCAGCTGCAGGCGCCTCCCCCCGTCTTTCCCCAGCTCGCTGCTGCCTCCCCCCCCCCCCCTCGCTCCCTCGCTCCCTCGCTCCCTCCCTCCCTCCCTCCCTCCCTCCCTCTCTTGGTCCGCCACGCGCGCACCACCGCCAGCCGACCCACGCTCTAATCATCACGGGAGCAGCGAAGGATAGAGGCACCCGCTCTTGACCACCAGGTGGAGCTTCCCCTGGTGACGCCAGACTCCGCTGCCGCCTCCGCCGCCGCTGATGCGGAAGCCGCATCGCTTTTGCAGCAGCTGACAGACGTGCGGAAGGCGGCGGAGGCGTCCGCAGGCGTTGCGGCGGCGGAGAAGGCACGGCTGCTTGCGCTCATCAACGAGGCGCGCGAGCAGCTCGCCGCACCGCCCGCCACGCCGGACCCCGCCGCGTCGCCGGCCGACGTGTTGATGGGGGGGGTGCGCCGGACTAGCTTGACGAGCGGTGGCGTCGGCGCCGCTGCGGCGCGGATTGGCGGCGCGGCGGCGGCCTCTCCCGTCTGTCCTCGGGGCGACCCTTCGCCGGGCGGGCTTCCGATCCGCGTGCAGACTGATCATTTCGGCTCGGTGACGCCAGCTGGGGGGAAATGATCAGAGGTGGAGGGGAGGGGGGAGCTTCGGGGGGGCGGGGGCGAGGGCGGGGCCGCACGCAGGCGTTTTGCCTTGAGCGGGAGCGCATGGGCATGCCCACGGTCTTGTGTAAACCGGCGGGGGATGGCGCGAATGTCAGAGGGTCCGCGCTTCGGGTGCGCATGGACCCTCTATTGGAGCCGGCGGTCGTGGCGACATGATGATTTATAGAAAACACTTTGTACTTTCAACGAGAAAACTCTTCACAGAGTGATACATGATTATTGAGACGCGCCCCCGCTCTGGCGCCTGGGACGTGGGACTGGGAGACCCGGCGGGCAGAGGCTCCAGAAGCCGCGGCGCACCCGGGGGTTGCGCTCCCTGGCAGATAGGGAGGCCCGGGCAGAGGGGCACCGGGGGGGCGTCTAGCTGGCGTCTAGGGGGCCGGTGTTGTCATCTGTTGTGCGCGAGCGAGTGTTCTTTTGCTTTGAGCATTGTTTGAGCTCGGCCTCTGGGGGGAGGCGGGGGCCCTAGAGGGTATCCATGGACCATGCGGGGGGGAGATGGGGTCCCATGGCCCGCCGCAGGCGCCGATTTTTTTGGGAGTTTTTGACCGCGCAAGATATAAAGGGTGGCTAAGGGCTCTGCCCGCAAGGCGCCCGCCTCGCAGACGCGGTACCATTGACAAATCTGCAATATACGCCGCTGATCGAGCCCAGCGTGCCCGCGGCCGCCTCCCGCGCAGCACCGCCGCTGAGGACGACACGCTGCGGAATCGGATCGAGCCCATGGAGGAGGAGGGTGCAGTCGGCGAATCGGAGGAGGAGGAGGAGGGCGCAGTCGTCGACGTTGGCGTGTCTGACTCAGAGGAGGAGTTGGAGGTGCTCCAGCAACCTAACCTGATCCAGCGCCCACCACCGGGGATAGGTTTCGTTCGTCAGTATCGGCGTCGCATCGACGGCGCCGATACAGGGACCGAGGGAGTAGGCTAGCGCGTGTGGGCAAGAAGAGCGCATTACTCAATACAACTACTCGTGCACGGCCACCACGTGCAAGTCTTATGGCTCGAGCCGGTGCGAAGACTGTCGGGACCTTGGAGTGTCTGTTTTCTTTCTTTCTTACCTTTTCTAACCCAGTGCACGTACATGTTTGTATCCTCTGGTCAGCCTATGCTTCACTCATGCCGCGGTGTGCATCACGCCCACATTTTGCGGGATCGCGGGTTTCTAATGCTGGTTCGCCACGCCCGAAAAAAAAACTCTCGCCGCACGCCTTCTACTGTGGTCGCACAGCTTCCCGACGAGTGTGTTGAAAACACACACACATGGATTCGGCCGCCGTCGACGGCCTCGCGTCCGAGGCCGGTCTCGCCTTTGCAGACGCGTACACGGTCACCGCGCATCTCGGGGACGGCGCCACCGCGCGGGTTTTTGAGGCTGTGCGGCGCGACGGCGGGGCTGGCGCGGGCCACGACAGCCGCTGCGCGCTCAAGCTCGCCGAGCGATCAACCCGTGCGATCCTGCGGCGCGAATCGCTGCTACTGCGGCAGCTGAGCGGCCACCCGCACGTCACGCGCTGGCTCGGCTGGTTTGCGAGCAGCACGGCGGTCGGCCTGCTCCTCGAGTTGGCGCCCGGCGGTGACTGCCAGCAACTTCTGCAGCGGCACGGCGCCTTTGCGGAGAGCGCGGTTCGTCGAATGTTTGGGCAGCTCTGCGCCGCCCTTGGCCACCTTCGTGCTCACGAGATCGTCCACCGCGACATCAAGCTCGAGAACCTGCTCTGTTGTGACGCGAGGCGTCCGTGCCACCTCCAGCCCGCCCTCCCCTGCGCACGCCGACCGGCGCGGCTATCTCCCCACCCGCCTCGTCTGAAGCCGGTGCCACACCACGCGTCGACGGTCGGCACTGCTGGGGCCCAAGGGCCGCCTCAAGCCAACCTGCCCCCCCCCTCCCCCCCCCCCCCCTGCCCTGGCCGCTTCCGCAGCGCTCCCTTTCCACGCCCCGCGAGCCTCCTCTCCTCAAGCGATAGGCCTGACGAGGCTCCCGCGGCTGTCAGAGAGGGCGGGGACCCGGCGCGCCTGGTGCTGTGTGATTTTGGCCACGCTTGCTCGGTCGCCGATGCGCGAGAGGACCGCGAGTTCTTCGGCACCCCCGGCTACGCGCCTCCAGAGGTGACCTGCGGGCCGTGCTGGAGCTACGCGGCAGACATCTTCTCCGCGGGCGTCGTCATGTACGCGCTGCTGGCAAATCGGCTCCCCGCGCCACCGCCACCCGGATGGAACGTTGATGACGGTGGCGGCTGCGGCGTGCCCGACCTCTCGATGCGCGTGCTGTGGAAGGTATCCGTCGAGGCCAAGCTGCTGCTGCTGTCGCTCCTCGCGCCCGACGTCAACGAGCGGCCCTACCTGTCCGAGGTGCTCGCGTCGGGCTGGGTGTCTGGGGCGGCCCCTCCCCATCCCTTCGCGCACGGCCCCCTCCCGCGCCGCCCCTTCTCCGACACGCTCCTCGACACGCGGTCGTCTCTGAGTCGGCGCGCCGCCGACGGCGGACCGAGCACGGACTCGCTCGCCCTCGAGCAGCGCGCGGCGGCGGCGGCAGCACGCGGAGCGGAGTCAGCGGCGCTGGGTGAGTCGAGGAATTGCGCCGCGGGCAGCCGCGGTTTCCTGCCGCCGAGGGTCGTTTTCCCGCCCCTCCTAGCAGTGCGTGCGGCCGGCGCAGCAAGCCCTCCGCTCGCGCCACGTCCGGAGGAGCGCGGGCAGCAAAGGGGCAAGGCGCCAGCCGCCGCCCTCAAGGGGGCGCCAGACGGCCCGTCCCCACATGCCCCTCCCCACCCACGCGACTCTCCTCTCGCGTTGCAGGAGCTCCGCATCGAAAGCAGCAGCATGTCGCCCGAAAGCGCGCGCGGCTGCGAGGGCCTGCCCTTCGTCCCCGCGCTGCTCTCGCAAGACTCGGCGCTGAGCGGCGGCGTGGCTACCGACTCCTCCGACGCCCCCTTCACCAGCGCCGTGTGCGCTTCGATCTCGCTCGCAGCCTCTTCCCTCCGCTCGTCGCCCCTCTCCTTCTTCGGCGACCCTTGCCCCCCCAGCAGCCCCTCTGCAAGCCGCCCGGTTGGCTCCGCCGCCGATGCCTTGCTGCACGCTGGTGCTGCCGCTGCCGCGTGCGCGCCCCCGCGGCCGCACTCATGCCAGCCGTCCGCCACCGATCTCACGGAGGTCCCGCCCCGTTGCCATTCTGCCGTTGCGGGTGCTGCTTCTGGCGCTCCGCCAAGCACGAGCTGCGTCTGCAAGCCCTCAAGCTGCCTTGCCGCCGCACCCACCCCACCGACCCGCATCTATTCCGTCTGTTCCGTCGACCGGAGCAGGTGGCCACCGAGGCCAGCCTCTGTGGGATCTGCGGCCGCCCAAGGGCACCAGGCAGGCAGGATGGGCGCGGACGCCGCCGCAGCAGCCCCCGCCGACGCCGCCGCAGCAGCCCCCGCCGACACCGCCGATGCAGCCCCCGCCGCTGCGGCCCCCGCCGACGAGGACGGGGGTGAGTTTTGGAAGACGCCGCCGCGGCTGCAGGCTGCGGTTTGCGCCGCGCCATCCGCCGCGTCGCAAGCGGCTCTCTTCCCGGGGTCACCGCAGGCCTTGTCTTGCGTTGGGGGGGCGAAGCTGCGCCGCCCTTTGCCGTCGTTTGAAGCGCCCGCCGGGCTGCACGCGTCGTTTGGGGCAGCCGGGACGAAGAGCCTCTCGTGCGCTTCCGGTCTCTTACGCGCAGAAAGGAAGTGGGTTCAGCGTGGGAGCTTCGGGCTTGTTTTGAGTAGGTGCGGTTCGCTCGAGTCTCTTGCGCCAACCGCCGACAGTGATTCGGCGCGGTTCGCTCGTTCCCTCGTTTGTCATCCATCCACGCATCATCGGACCCGCGCCCGTTTCCGCACCCCGCAGGCGCGGCTGCAGATGGAGCGATTGGCCCGGATGCGGGAGGCAATGCGCCGCTGTCGTTTGCAGGGTCCGCCGTGTTGTGCAGGTTCGGCGGGCGGATGCGGGCAAGTGATACGTCCCTCGTCCAAATTGCAATAGGCAAGTGCAACGATTTGTCGGCCGCCACCACTGTGCTCGCGGAGCAGGCGTCCGCGGTGCCGGAGGCGCCGCCTCTGGTGAATAATGGTGGAAGCAGCTCTGAGCACGGCAGCATTGATTCGGGCGCCGGCGGCGGGCGGGAGGCGTTCCCATTGCGCGAGGTGGTGAGGACCACATGAACTGAGTTTTTGGTGTGTGCGTGTGTGCGGCGGCGCTGCTGTGGGCGCGGTGCTCTATTCACACGTCCTGCCGTCGTCAGCGTAATAAGTTATATTAATGAGACAATTTCCTGGATACCGGCAGGAGATCTCAACATACATCATGCTGCGGTGCTGGGTGCAGGGTGGAATGGGTAATTTGCCGTAGACCGCGTGTACACTTCATCTTCTCGGACTCTCTTTGGTGTTGTCTTCTTCGTTTCTTTGAGGATTTGCGCGCCGTACGCTGGTCTCGCCCCCGGTAGAGAAGAACGGAGGCATTGTGTGTGCGTCAACGGTGAGTAAAACTGTGGGCGTGTCCCCTGGAAGTCGAGATCGTCGACTCAGCCAGCTTGGACCCCGAAGGCACGCGCGTTCGCTGCAAGGCGCCGGTCCTGCACCCGCCGCCTAGCCTCCGCCTCTACCGCCTCAGCGTCCGTATCGTCCCGCTTGGGCTCCTCTGTCGGCGGCAGCGGCGGCGATAGCCGAAGCTGGGGCTCCGCGGCCGCGTGGGAAGGGTGGTCCGAGGCCAGTTGGATCGCCGCCACGGGCGTGGCCTTGTTGTTGACAGGTGTGCACGCGTCCGCCATGAGGTTAAGGTTCTCCTGTTTTGCGGTAGGGAGTGGTATCAACGGGCGGACACGGAAATGCCAGGTGAATTCTCGGAATTTCCGCCTCATACTCGGCGCGGAGCCGGCTCTCTGTGCTCGCAGCCATGCGCCGGAGCAGATAGACGCCGCAGAGAGACAAGCAGCAGCAGCAGCACAGCAGCGCGCCCACTGTGGCCAGCACCGCAACGAGGACCACCCCTGGACCCGGGGTAGGTATCTCGCTCTCCACGCGGTCAAGAGCAAGCGCCTGTCAGCAAGGTCTCACTCTCGGGGAAGAGAGACGAGGTGGTCTCTCCCGCGCTTGTGAGTGCGGAGTATTGTGCGAGGCTAGCCTCTCACCGCTGCAATCTGCTCTGCGTACTGCTCCAAAGAAGTGAGGGTAGCAGCAGTGGTCGAGACCAGGGGCGGCGGTGGCGGCGCGGCGGGCGGCGCCCCGTAGGGCGCGAGCGGTGGCGGCGCCGTGCACCTGATGCCTGACCCCTCACGGTGTAGGAAGGAGACGAGCTGTCGCCAATTGCAGGCACCGAGGCCCTGGGCCGTGCTGGCCCAGCCGGGACAAAATCGGAGGATTAGGTAGTCGTTTTGGGATAGGATGCACGCAAGCTCGTGTAAATCGGTCACGGCACCCGGGGCGGCAGAAGTGGAAGCCGGGGCGGCCTCTGGGATGGCGTTGGCCGTGGGTAGGGATGGCTTTGGAGCAGGTGGTGAGAACAGTGGCTGGGGAGAGGGCGAGGGCGGCGGCGGCGGCGATGGCGAGGGTGGCGGTGGCGGCGATGGCGAGGGTGGCGGCGGTGGCGATGGGGAAGGTGGAGGGGGGCGGCTATGTCTGGGCGAGCTGGCGGGAGGGGGTCCCGAGGCAGCGAGAGCAGCATCGGACAAGGAACTTGTGGAGGCAGCGGTATGTCCGTCCGTGGCTCGCGCAGGGGCCGCCGTATGGGGCGAGCTTGGAGGCTTTGGACGGTGTCGCGCATTGGCCAGTGCCATCACCAACAAGACGACCCCCCCCATTTCTGTGGTGTGGAAAACTTGCCAAAGTTAGTTCGCGCCGGGATTCACGCTCGTGTCCAGCACTTGAGCACTTGAGCACTGGATAGGGTCGATTCCGCATGGTACGGGACAAGTCGATCGTCTCGCCCTCCCTCACTGGTGTGTTCGGGGGGGGGGGGCAACAAACAACGGTACAGGATCGAGGTGCACGCCGCCGAGGGACCTCGGAGGGTAGATAGATAGATAGAATAGATCGGGCGGTGTCGTCCCCCCTCTCCATCAATCATCTCCTCGGAGATGTCGTCGGTGGTGGCGGTTGTGACCGATCGAGCTAACCTACAAGACTAGAGGAGGTAATTCAGCAGGATGGGCTAGCAGGATGGGTTAGCCTGCACTAGCGCACTACCCCTCACTGGGCCTGAGACCGCTGAGACGCTTCCCATGAATCCCATCACCGTCTCGGGTTTGTGTGGAGTCGAACCACTCCGGGATGGGCAAGCCCATCAAGTCATTTTCCTCAAAGTAGAGATCGTGTGTTAGTGCCAGTGTGCGCGCCAGTCCCGTGCCTAGAGCGCTGTGAGATTTATTTGTAAAATTCTTGAATTAGCTACGCCTACGGCTTCTTAAAAAGGGTGGCAGCCGCCTAAGCGACTCTCGCGACGGTGTGGCGAGGCACTAGGCTTCGTGCACTCGACCGCTCGCGGATCTCTCTCTCGGAAAGCCGCGCGCACGCTCAGAAAAAGAATTTAAAAAGATAACTCTCTCTCACAGCAGACAGGCTCGAAAAAAAAACAAGGTCTTGGCCGGGCCGTTGAGGGCCTCAGAGTAAACAATAGTCGCTCCCGTGACGTAAAACGAACAACGCACCAGGCGCCTGCCTGAGAACGCGACCACACACACAAAGTGGTGGGGAAAGGGGGGGCGACCCTCGCATCTCCACGCCCGGACACACGGGCAGGAGCCCCACGGTTAGGTGAAGGCCGCAGATCGGAGGTGCAGGTGGCTGACTGAGATCTGTGTGTGTGGAGAAGTTTACCTTACCTTACCTTACCTTAGTGTGGAGACGTTTACCTTACCTTATCTGGCTACTCTGTTCACGTTCACACCTCCTAAAACGCATAACCCCGATACATGAGGTACGAACACAGTCGAGCACGACCATGGACACAGTCGACCGGTGATGTGGTGCTGCTCGCCAACCTCGCGACCTCGGCTCGCTAGGCAAGGAGGGTGTGGCCACTGAAGGCATTCGGCACCTTGGGAAAGGCCAATTGACGGGCTCAGACCCCTCCCACAATCCTGTTCCTTAGGCGCAATTGCCTTTCCGTAGGCCCCCCCAGTTGCCTTTGCATGTCCCGCTGGAACACATTGCGTCCGACCAGCACGGCTTGCCCTCGCCCATGCAGTAGCAGTAGTCGTTAGCCCAATATGTTCTTGATTCGCAACCATAAGGGCAGCAGACCAAGTCGTCCGTCCCTGCCTGCATCCGGCCGCAATTGCCGTTGGCACATTGAGCGTTTGTGCTGCACCCAGCGCCTGGCCTGCGCGGTCGGAAGCATGTGCCTTGTTGTAACCCGCCAAGATTGCCCCTGCATATCATGTCGCCGTCACACATGGCGTCCGACCAGCACGGCGTGGCTTCGCCCATGCAGTAGCAGTAGTCGTTAGCAGCATATGTTCGTGATTCGCAACCATCAGGGCAGCAGACCAAGTCGTCCGTCCCTGCCTGCATCCGGCCGCAATTGCCGTTGGCACATTGAGCGTTTGTGCTGCACCCAGCGCCTGGCCTGCGCGGTCGGAAGCATGTGCCTTGTTGTAACCCGCCGAGATTGCCCCTGCATATCATGTCGCCGTCACACATGGCGTCCGACCAGCACGGCGTGGCTTCGCCCATGCAGTAGCAGTAGTCGTTAGCAGCATATGTTCGTGATTCGCAACCATCAGGGCAGCAGACCAAGTCGTCCGTCCCTGCCTGCATCCGGCCGCAATTGCCATTGGCACATTGAGTGTTTCTGCTGCAGCCAGCGCCTGGCGGCTCGCCTCTGATGCACGTGCCCATCGTTACCCAAGAATTGCCGCTGCATGTCCCGCTCTCACACATTGCGTTCGACCAGCACGGCGTACCTGGCTCCATGCAGTAGCAGTAGTCGTTAGCAGCATATGTTCGTGATTCGCAACCATCAGGGCAGCAGACCAAGTCGTCCGTCCCTGCCTGCATCCGGCCGCAATTGCCATTGGCACATTGAGCGTTTGTGCTACAGCCAGCGCCTGGCCCGCGCGGACGGAAGCATGTGCCTTGTTGTAACCCGCCAAGATTGTCCCTGCATATCATGTCGCCGTCACACATGGCGTCCGACCAGCACGGCGTGGCTTCGCCCATGCAGTAGCAGTAGTCGTTAGCAGCATATGTTCGTGATTCGCAACCATCAGGGCAGCAGACCAAGTCGTCCGTCCCTGCCTGCATCCGGCCGCAATTGCCATTGGCACATTGAGTGTTTCTGCTGCAGCCAGCGCCTGGCGGCTCGCCTCTGATGCACGTGCCCATCGTTACCCAAGAATTGCCGCTGCATGGCCCGCCGTCACACATGGCGTTCGACCAGCACGGCGTACCTGGCTCCATGCAGTAGCAGTAGTCGTTAGCAGCATATGTTCGTGATTCGCAACCATCAGGGCAGCAGACCAAGTTGTCCGTCCCTGCCTGCATCCGGCCGCAATTGCCATTGGCACATTGAGCGTTTGTGCTGCAGCCAGCGCCTGGGTCGACCTGTTCGAAGCACGCGCCCTTCCTTACCCCACCCCCGTTACCCTGGCATAAACCTTTGCCAGACGGAATGCACATGGCATCCGACCAGCATGGCGTACCCGGCTCCATGCAATAGCAGTAGCTATAGCCCCAGTAGCTCCTCGATGTGCAGCCCGCCTTGCAGCATTGCAGATTGTCGTCACCGGCCTGGGCGCGGCCACAGTTGTTGCTGAGGCATTCATTGTCAGATTCGCAGTCGGCGCCCTCGGCTTTGGCCTCGTAGTCTGCCTGCGTCAGGTCCTGACACATGCCCGTTGTGACCTGGAGTATTTCGCATGGGACTGCGGCAGGCATGCAGTCTCCTACCAACGTAAGTACCCAAGCGTCCCCCACCGGCTTGAAATCGTCTGGCGTGCAGCAATGTCCGCCCGTGTCAGTGTCCGCCCAGCAATGCCCTCCAGGGCCTTGCGGCGCTAAAAAGTCGGCACATTTGGGCAGGGGTGGCGGGGGTGGCGACTCAGAACCGTCAAACGCTGAATCGTCCGTTGCCATCAGTTGCTGCACTTCTTGCGCGTCAGCTACGAGGCTGTTTAAGGTTGCTGTCAGGTTCGTTGCGACCTCGCCGATAGCCGTGCGAAAGGTTGCATAGAGATCCACCGCCTGAACCAATTCAATCACGCCCAGTACGGCAATGCCAGCCGAGACGAGCACTCCAAGTCCTTTCATCGCCTTCCCAATGTACTTGGTGCAGAACGAGGTGATTTTCGCACCCGGCCCGGTGGTCACTGCTGCCCTGAGAGCAGACTTCACAGCCACCACGGGCCTCGTCACGAACTTTGCCAGGGAAGCAAATTTGACGGTGACTGCGCCAGTTGCAGATGCAATCGCCTTAGATGCAAGCCTACTGTATTCTGCTGCAGCTGACACGACCGCGCTGTTCGCAACGCTCTGTGGGAGTCTGGCAATTGGATTGAAGACGGCGAGCGCACGGCGTCCACCGGACGCAATCGTCGTCATAACACGGCCGCCGAAATTTACCCTTGGGATCGGTGTCATTCCAATCGTCCAAGCCTTGACCACTGAGAATCCACCTCGAACATATGGGATAATCGCCCGAGCACTTGTGGCCGCGTACTTCACAAGGAGGGGAAACGTGAAGAGGGCGACCACCTGTTGAGACATTTGGTGCACGACACTCGTCTCCCCCAACGGCCCCGCATCGGTCAGCATCTTATTCACCACGGCGGTGGATATCGACACAGCCCCAAACTCGGGTGAAGGGTCAGCAGTGGCGTTTGCCAGCTCTACCTACGGAAGTGTGAGCTTCGGGTGTCACCATTTCAACAGCGGCGGGCGGAGGGCGGGGGGGGGGCGGGCGGGCGGGGGGGGGGAGCCTGATACTGTTCTAGCAGCACGTCGCCACTCGGAAGTGACATGAGGTCGATGAGTGGGTTGCCCGCCATTTCAATGTACTCAACGATTACGGGCACCGAGAGCGCAGAGTACGGGTCACTACACGGGGCTGGGCAGAACTTTTCGAACCGTCCCTGCGTGTTTTCCACCATGGCGGTTTGGACGGCAATGGGCAAAGTGGAAAAGAATGCAACGAGGCTATCATACTCATCGCTGATCGACGTCAGTAGCTTCGTGATGAAGATGCTGTTGCTCTTGTGCGCTGCGGCCCACTGCTGGATGGGTGCGAGCTGAAACTGCTCCATAGCCAAGTCTTGCATCCCGCTGATGTACTGGACCAACGAGCCTTTGAGCTCATCCGCCTTCCGCTTAAGCATTCCGGATGCAATGCCTGAAGAGATTGAGGCAGCAGTAACTACGAGTCCAAGTCCAGGTATCGCATTGAGAAAGAACGCTGCGGCTCCAGCCGCTCCCGACACGATTTCAAGAGCGGCCGCTGTCACGAGCTGGCTGTACATTTTGCCGTTTGCGGCCCTAGCGCAGCCTGCTACATTAGCAACAGCAGTTCGTGCAGCATCCGGATGCACAGTTGCGAAGTCCCCCCTCGATTTGAACTCGATGATTACGTCCTGAAAGAACGCCTTGAGATCCGCTGGCGTGACTGTGGCCGGGCAATTCCACTGCTCCCCGCCGTCGGGGGCTGCACTGCCTCCAGGTCCGCGCTGCAGGCACTTTGCAAGCGTGAAGAATAGCCGGTGCATCGAGTCATAAGTCGCATAGGCAAATTCTGTTTCTGGTGGCAGCGCCGGAGGGATAGGCGGCCAACGAGGGATAACCCTGGGGACGGTTACGGCGTAGGAATACAGCCTGTCTGTCCCGTCGTGCTGCTCGTGTAGCGATCTCCGCTGTTTGTGGAGACAGGATCTGAATCGTGCGTGGTCTCCCTCTACCATGTGCGTGCTCTCGGTGATCTCGGTGATGTTCAGAACGCCGTCGTTATTCAGGTCGCGCGCTGTCATCGTCCACAGCAGCATTATTGGGTAGTTCTGGGAGTCATGAAGCCCAGGGCAGTTGAGGCGTTGTCCAAGCTGGAGCGCCTCATCGAAGCTGATCAGGCCGTCGCCATCAATGTCAAGGTCGGAAGGAAACAAAGGGGCTGGCTCAACCGACGCAGGAGGGAGTGCCTCGGCAGCCGCGTGGCCCGACCAAGGCGTGTTCGAAAAGCCGTTTGCGCGCGCGACGAGGAGAGCGAGGGTCAGCACACATGTATACACCTCCATAAAACACTGGTATGTGCCCGCCGTTGCCTCGGTTTCTCCCGCCCGCCGTTGTGGGAAAACCTACCTAACGTCTCGGGCACCGCACCCGTGCTGCCACAAAGCACAATGTGCTTCCACGAAACACCACTAGCGATTTCGCGCGGAGGGCGTAGTGAAGCGCTGGGGCGCTCACTGACAATGTGCTTCCACGAAACACCACTAGCGATTTCGCGCGGAGGGCGTAGTGAAGCGCTGGCCGCTGGGGCGCTCACTGACAATGTGCTTCCACGAAACACCACTAGCGATTTCGCGCGGAGGGCGTAGTGAAGCGCTGGGGCGCTCACTGTGTGTTGTTCGGGTGGGGATCCATCAGTGGTAACCGGCTTTAGTCACAGAAAGATAGATCCAAGCTCAGACAGACGCCACACCAACAAACACCACAAACACGCTCACTTCGCCGCTGCTCGCAATCGGAGGCATGTTGCTAGGATTGTGAGCCAAGCTGCTCGCAACCCTAGAGTTTGCTCGGATTGCGAGCGCGATGGTAGTAGTCGTAGGCGTCACCAGTCGCCTTCGGAGCGGAGCTGCTCTTAGTCCTAGAAGATGTAGGATTGCGAGCGTGGGTGCTCACAATCGCACAGAGATGCTACGATTGCGAGGAGTGCTGCTCACAATCCTTCGACTTCTAGGATTGAGAGCGAGGCAGCCTCTTTCTTGTGCCCCATGAGGGTATAACAAAACTGTTACATGCAAAGACATGTGAGTGTGGTCCATGCAGTGTCATGGGATGGTCATGCCTCATGGGTGGGTCTCTCTCTCTCTCAACCCTCCCGCCCCACCTCTGCGCACTGCGGACCCGCGGCTGTGCTACAACTACAAATGAAGCTACCAGCTAGCCTTCTGGGGCCCTACAGCCATATGCCTACGGCGTCTGGGTGGGGGTGGCCGCCGCCGTCTGTGCCCCGCGTCTGTCCAGCGTCTGTCCAGGAAGCGTGTCTCGAGGGTGGGTGCAATCAGCCTTTTCTCAGCACCTCAGGCTCGCCTGGCTCTCTCTCGCTGCGCGCTCTGCGAGTCTGCTACAGCACCACGCCTCGGCGACGCGAGCAGACGCCCAGGGCATGGCGCCGCTGCATCTGGCTGCGCTCAGCGGCAGCGCAGAGGTGGCTCGCTTGCTGTCGCACGCAGCCGCGCTGGGGCCCTCGCCGGGCCTCAGGCTGACCGAGGGAGTGGCACCGCCGCCGCCGCCGCCGCCGCCGCCGCCGCCGCCGCCGCCGCCGCCGCCGCCGCCGCGGCGGAGCGCCGACCGGCCGACGGTCGCGTTCGCGATCGTGCTCACGAAGGACGGCCCTTACCTGGACGGCGCGGCGGTGCTGGCGGAGGCGGTGATGGGCAGCTGGCGCGGCCCCAACTCCTCCTCGTCGGGAGCACCGGGCGGGGCGGCCTCGCAGCCGGCGGTCGACTACGAGCTGGTCGCGATCGTGGCGCGGAACGTGACGGCGAGCCGGCCGGTGCTGCGCTTCCTGGGCTACCGCGTCCTCGAGCGGCCCCTGCCGGTGGCGGTCGCGGACATCGCGCCCGGCTTCCTGCGCGACCGCATCGCCGCCAGGGGCTGCTGCGGCGCCGACGAGCTGCTCAAGCTCTGGGCCTACTCGCTCGCCGAGTACAGCCGCGTGCTGCTGCTGGACATGGACTCGCTCGTGCTGCGCAACCTCGATGAGCTCTTCTTCGCCAACCGCCCCGCCGCCGCCGGCGGGGGCCGCGTCCGCGGCCTCGCCGCCGCCGCCCTGACCGCCGCCGAGGCGCGCACCGCGACCGAGGAGGGGAGGGCCGGCAGCCGGCCGCCCGGCGGCGGCGTCGGCCGCGGCGAGGGCCCGCGCAAGGACCGGCGCCACGACGCCCCGGCGGCCAACGTGGAGGGCGCGGCGGCGGCGGCCGCGGGCGGCGGCGGCGGCGGCGGCGGCGGCGGCGAGGGCGTGGAGCTGCTCTTCACGTACGACTACGGCATGGACGGCGGCGGCACGGCGGCGCCGCCCGCGCAGGGGGGCTTCCTCGCGCTCCGCCCCTCGGCGGCCGCCTTCGCGGCGCTCTGCGCCGTCGTGCGCGGCGGCGACTTCCGCAAGGGTCAGGGCTGGGCCGGGTCCCTCATCGGGCCCTACTGGGGCGGCATGACCATCCAGGGCCTCGTGCCCTACTACTACCTGCGCGTCGAGCCGACGGGCCGGGCCGCCCGCGAGGTGAGAATAATGCCCGGAGAGAGAGAGGGTTTTCCCCCCTTCCCCCCTGACGCCCTCTTGCGCCGTATACCTCATGCGAATGCGAATATGCCGACGCGGAACGCGAACGCGAAAACGTCGCCCGCGCAGGTCGACCGCTGCATCTACAATAACATGGCCGACAACGCGCGCTGCCGCGCCACGCCGCTCGCCGACATCGCCAACGTCCACTTCACCGTCTGCCATAAGCCCTGGATCTGCCTCGCCCACCACGAGTACGACCTCTGCTCCCGGCTCCACGACCGGTGGTTCGCCCTCCGCGCGCGGCTCGAGCGCCGCCTCGGCCTGCCGCCGCCGCCCCGCGGCCCGCGCTTCGCGAAGCTCGGCCGCGGCGGCTGCGCCCACGGCGGGCCCAAGGGCTACGTGCCCGTCGCCATCGCGGACGCCATGGCGCGCCTCGGGCCCGGCCACGTCGTCTTCCCGCCGACCCGCGGCGCCCGGCGGTCGTCCCGCGCCCGCGGCGCCGTCGCCGAGCGCTAGCCAGAGCGCCAGAGCGAATATTAAAAGCAGGTGTCATATATGCCAGAACTTTTAGCCAGAGAGAAATTTACAACAAATAAATGTGCCCAGCGTTGTGCCAGAAAGAAAGAAAGAACGAACCCGGAGGGATGGGAGCCGCCCCCACAGCTATTTTCCCACAAAGATCAGGGATAGTCAGATGCACTACCTCACTGCACACTCGCCGAGGCCATGCCGCCATGTGGGATTGGGGGCCCCATTGTGAGAGCGACCGGAAGCCTTCAGCGGGTACCCCGTTGGACTCCGGGAAGGCGTACATATGGGAAGCAGACGAGTGTGACATATACTACAGGGGGAATCTGTATATAAGAAACTCGCGAGGTTGCATGTATGTTACTCCTAGGGTTGTCAAACGTTAAGAGCTGAACAGTGTTGCTAGTGTTAACAGTACGTAACAACAGAACAACAGTGGGGCTCCCCAACAACAGTAGCTAACGTTAGGCCGGCTGAACAACAATAAGGAAGGCCTGGCAGTGACCCACGACGATCTCCAGCGTCCAGTGCGGGTAATACCCGAAAATACCCGGGAAAACTCAGGTATTTTCGGGGTTTACGTTTACCACTCCCACAAGTGCTATTAGCACAAAAAAATCACAGAAAATTCACAAGCTCCTCCGGTGTCCGGAGCCGAGTTTTCCCGGGGTTTTCGGCATTTTCTGCTTGCTGACCACTGAACAACAGTAACAACAGTAACAAACAGTAACAGCTTGGGCTGGGTAGAACACTTGAACAACGTTGAGGATTTCAGCCAACAATAGTGCAACTGTTAGGCCCAAAGTTAACGTTTGACAACCCTAGTAACTCCGTTCTTATTAGTTATTTTCATCCGCCGCGGCCGCGTCGGCGTTGGCAGCGTCGCCGAGGTCGCCCGCAACGCCGTCAAAGTCGCCTAGTCGAGGACCTTGGCGTCGCGGAAGGCGGAACCGCGCGCACCACGCCGCGGCCCGCCCCGCGGTGGGGCGTCGTGAACGCGTCTTCGAGGTCCATTTCGCTGCCGCAATTTGCCGCAGGGTTCGCACGCGAATAAACAGGCCGGGTGGCACCCCCCCCCCCCCCTTTCCCTTAAGCGCCTCCTCGAGCGCGCGAGGGGCGCCGGCGACGACGAGCCGGCCGCTTAGGAACAATGGCAGCGGGCGATGCGGCAGCTCTATATGGAGAGCCGCGTGTCGCGCTTTCTCAAGGCCCACGGTGCCAACTATACCGTGGCACTCGCGATAATGCTAGACATCTACATCCCGGGGCCGGTGGCGCAGGCGGACATTGATCTTGCCGCCAATTCGTCCTCGCTGGTGCTGCGGACGGCGAACTGGGATGCGGGAGGGTACACCGACGGCCTCTACCTGGGCCAGCCCCGCGCACTGGCAAAGGTGATGGCGCGCTTCGACGCGGCCTTCTTCCCGCAGCGGAACGACTACGAAAGCCAGCTGAAGGCCGCCTTTGAGCGTCACGGCCTGCAGTCGGCGGTGCTGCGCGGGTTCGGCGAGCCGCTGCACGCGTTCAACAAGCTCCGCCACTCCGGGTGAGTGAGCTGGGGCGGTTGCGCGTTCCTGGCGGGCGTAAAGCGCGTCTATTCACGCCGGTCATGTGAACAGGCAGTGCTGGGGCCTTGCAGATGTGGACGCCGCTACGCAGACCTGCCTCTCAAAGGGGGCGACCTGCCACACGACAGTTGACGCGCGCATTCGTGCATGTGCATCCCTAGCCGCCGGCACATGCGCATGCCACATCCTTTCCACCCCACGAATAGGCGCATAACACAGGCGGAGTCCTACCTGGCCAGACGCAAACGGCCGAGCGTTGCTTCCACCCGCGCTACAAGCCGCCAAAGTTGCGATCTTTGCGATCCACGGAGGCGCGCTACAAAAGCACTGTGGTCCAAGCCACGTGATCGTGAAGTCGTCTCCCTCCGTTGACGCTCGCTAGGAGCTGGAGAGCGCGCGGCGCGCGCTCTGCACAGACAACTGCACAGGGTCAGGGACTGGGAGTGGCAGTGGCGAGTACGTGCGGGTGTGCAACAGACGCGCTGCACGCACCACGCACACGCACCCCCACGCCCCAGCCGTGCCCTGCTCCAGGCTCCAGCACCAGGGCGCTCTCGGGAGCACCGCCGCACCGCGGGGCCACCCCCACCGCCTCGAGCCTCGTCAGAAGGTGGAGACGTGTGTGTTTCGGCTTCCGTGCAACTTGGTCGCAGCGAGAGACTACAACATTATTGTACGTCGAGCACTCAAGGCGCATCTTCATTACCCATAACGAGGTCTCAGGTCATGATGAAGTCTTGGGACCCCAAAAGACGCACGGCGCCTTCTCTCTTGATGTCTCATCTGTTTTTCATGGAGAGGGCCGCAGAGGCCGCAGCTTATCGCGAGTCGCGCGATGCTTCGCGTTGTGCGCCTCGTAAACCACCTCCCACTTCTCTCCCTCACTCTTGGTCGTGTGCGACCGCTTCACCTTGACGGGCCACCAGCCATCCAAGTAGAGGAACTCGCACAGCTCCCCTGGCTTGGGCATCCATTGCTCGTCACGCGGGGGTAAGGGTCGAACGCTCGCATCGTCGACCCACTCCTCCCGATCTCGCCCCTCGATGATGAGCGCATCGTCCTTGTCTCGGAGCAGCAGCTGCACCTTGCAACGACCCTCCGCCCGCCCGACCACCGTCGCCTCGTACCACGATGGAAGCCCCTCTGTTTGCAGCGCCACCTCGACGCGGGGCAGGGGCGGCTGCCGCTCGCGCTCGAGGCGCTCCGCCTCAGCCGCCCGATCCCGGTCCTTGCGGACCCGCTTCAAGGACGGCTGCGCCGCCGCCTCGCCGGGCGCCGCCGCCTCGTGCCTCGCCGCCTGCTGCGCCGCCTGCAGCGCCGCCCTTGCCGATCGCAGCTCTGCGCCCGCTGCGGCCTCGAACTCGTGCAGCTTGCGCTCGCGCGCGCTGCGCGAGCAGACGGGCTCGCCGCCGCTCGGACATCTGGTCGGCAACGCCGCGTCAACCGCCAGGCGCAGCCGCTCGCGCAGGGGCTCGTTGCGTGGAGCAGTGCGACCTTCGACAGGGACGGACACCCCGCAGCCGGCCACTCCGCAGTCGGGGGCAGAGAGGAGGCTATGCACCAGGGAGTCGTTTGTGGTGCACAACAACGCCGCGAGCTCGGTTTGCATTTACCCGCTTCGTGTGAATCGGTGTTCTTCTCAATAACAAGGCTGTGAATCACGCCGTGAAAACATTTTGCATTTTGCGCCAGTCAATAGAGCATGAAAACACCTTTCAGACGGTACCTCTCTGTCCTTCAGAGTCGAAGAACTCGTCCGGTGGCTGGCCGCCAAAGTGGCTGGATGGACGGCGCCGCGGCGCACACTGCTCACTGGGAGAGACAGATTTTTAACAATACCAAACAACTCTAACACTCACACGTCATTTGGGGCCTGGAGCCCCTGCAGACTGTAGTTTATGGTGGTTCACGCGCGCGCGAGACGTGCAGACAGGCGGTTGCCAGGTGAGAGCGAATGGCGCGGTTCACGCCTCGCACAATAGAGAGAGAGATGCGCTCTGCATGGTGGGACATTAAAGAGAGCGAGTACAGTCTGTTGCGGGCATTAAGAAAACAGGGCATTAAGAAACCCTACCCAGCGATTTCCGCAAAAATCTAAGAAACCACAGCGCGCCGCCCCAGGCGCGGCCCCAAGAAAGGGCCCACACACACGAGTGTGAACAGGAGCCCCGCTCAAATTTTCTCTTCGCCTGCGGCGCGCACACTTGTCATTTTGCCCAAGTCTGCGATGTTCTGGGCGGTGTGATGGAGGTGTGTGCGTCTTCCTGTCATCCCAAGACTGCTGACTGGCGCATCGGTCCAGCGCTTCCTTATTGTCATTTTACCTAAAAATCCTAGATCCCGGCTGACCTGGGGTGCCGGCCGAAGCTAAGTAACCACGGCGTGGGGTGGGTGGGGTGGGTGGAAAGGCTTAGAAACGGCGGCGTGCCGCGGGATCCTCTTTTCTTAATGCCCGCAACAGACTGTAGTTGGGCGAGTAGGCCGTGCGGTCGACGCTGCCGCGCGCGACTTTGCGCGCGAGGCGGCGCAGCTTGAGAACCGCGGCGGTGGGCGAGAAGCCGCCGCCGAACGTCTCGTGGAGCAGCAGGTTGAAGTTGTTGCGCTTGACAAAGATCGCGTCGTGGTAGAAACCGCGATGCGCCTTGACGTAGCCGTGGCCGGTCTTGTGGGAGAAGGGTTGGCCGGGCTGCCCGCGCGCCTTGCAGCCCATGTTTAGGCGGCGGGCCTTCTCTTCGGTGTTGCCGAAGGCGTAGGAGTGGCCAACGGAGGCGGGCGTGCCGCCCCACTCGAGGCGTTGCCAACGCCCGTCGAGGAGGTCACACTGGTGGGCCGCGGAGCACACTGAGGGAGCTGTCCTCGGCGCAGCCGTTCGGCTCCCGCGGCCTGGGTGGTGGCAGTGGCACTCCCTGAGGCTGCCTGATTTTTTTCCCGACTGGTGCCGCCGCACGCTGCTCGACAGCAGACGAATTCTTACTTTCGGTTTGCTTGCTGCTGCTAATAAATAATCCTCCATGACCATACGCGCCTCCTGGACATCGCTATCGAAGGCAACACGCTTCTTCTTCGCCTTGGGCATGCCAATACTGCCCTTATGCGACGCCACTTATGCGACGCCACTTATGCGACGCCACTTATGCGACGCCGCTTCGGCCGGCGTCGCAAAAGATGGGGGTATAAAAGGGCGTCGCGAAACCCACATGAGGTAGAGTTGAGAGAGACACATCACCAGGACACACACACAAGAACAGGGAAAAGCACTTCTGCGACAGCCTCCAATACCTGTCGATAGAGGAATAACTTAGAGGACAAGCAGTAACACTGAACATACTTGTTGGGATATTGGTAGTGTCAAGCAGACCTACGTGTAAGAATTATAATGTTTCTGTTCAACCTAATGTGACGACTTCTGAAGTATATGCCCAAGAATTAGCTCAAGTAATAGCGTCAAGCATAGTAAGTTCACCTTGTGGTGTGTATGGCTTGATGCTTATGTGCATACTCTTAGATACTAGCTAGTTCTCAGTAAAGCAGTTACCATATATATGGCAAAGAAGGTTACCGACAGCAAGATAACTCGGCACATTGACAAGAATACAACAGCGTTCGAGCACAACAGCAAGACCGTTCTAGTCAACCCACCTGACGGCGAGGGTGGGGGCTCGAAGGCGCTGACCCCTAGGGTGGGACTTGTGGCACCCCACCCCGTCCAAGTGGGCGTCGGCGCTGCACGGCTGCAGAGGCGCACAACTACGACCAACTACAGCTAATGCCGAATTCGGTGAGAACTGACTTAAATACTGAGACGTCTACAACCAAGTTTACTCACTGCCTCCGAGTCATGTGACCGCCTGCGGCGATCGGAGGTCCGCGGCGCGGATCTGGGAGGTAGGTCTGGACTCTGGCGAATTCGGTATCGATAAAGTTTAGGGCCTGAAGTTTCACTGTGGAGACCTCCCGCCCGCCGAAAGTGAATCCAAACTTTAGAGCCGCGAGCACTAGGGCTCTGCCCGCAAGGCGCCCGCGTCGCAGACGCGGTACCATTGACAAATCTGCAATATACCCCCACACGAACAAATAGCAAAATCCGAATACCGTGCACGAACTGCGTGATGTGGGACGCAAGCCTTCAGCTGGTGCCAAGACATTCGTAAAATTGAAGCCGAGAACGTCCGCCAAATCCGTGCTAGGGAAAGCTGATCGAGCCCAGCGTGCCCGCGGCCGCCTCCCGCGCAGCACCGCCGCTGGGGACGACACGCTGCGGAATCGGATCGAGCCCATGCACGGGGCAAAGAAGGACGCTGCAGAAGCGGTTGGAGAGGCAGCCGGCGTCTGCCGTCACAACGATTCCCAGCGCTGGTTGGACATGCGCGTCGGCTCGCCCGAGGACTGCTGTCGCGACCCTCCCGTCGTGCCCGCGCAGCCTCCAACGAGCTCTGCAACCGAGGAGAGTGGTGAGGGTGCGCCTCCCCTCACTGCTGGCCTGCGCTGGCTGCGCACCGCCCCACAAAGCACCCCCTCGAGCATCTCTACAAGTACAAGTGCAAGGGCGACCTTCTCCAAGTCGTCAACGCGCCCGGCGGCTCCGGCAAGACTTTAGCCTTGGCCACCCTCCTTGCGGAGCAGGAGGAGATCCGCTCTCGCCGTCGGCAACGTGGCAGCTAGTCGAGAGACTCGGTAGTTGTGACCCCCCTCTGTGCTCTGAGTGAGGACAGGAGAGAGCTTTTGTGGTGTTGGTGTACGCAATAACGGGACAGGGTAGTCGTTCTCTCTAGCTCCCCTTCTAGCTCTTAGCATGAGCTGCGCCCTGTGTCCGACCCCTTTTGCGCAGCAACACCTTAAACTTTTAGGCCCTCCAAAGTCGGGTCGGAGCGTACGTAGCGGAGTGGGCCCCGAGTTTGAAAAGGGCGACGGACGCTTGCGTCCTAGCCTCCAACAACGCCTCCCCGGCGCAGAGGGGCCCCCGGAGGGATGCTCAACCGCCCCACGCCACGCCGCTTGCGGCGGTCCTCTTCCCAGCTCCGCTGAGGTAGTGCCTTATTCTTGGCTAACCTCGAAATTTGCACCTTGGATGGCTGCGCTCCCTGTTTCGCAGCCATCCGTGCTAAGGATGGCTGGCACGCCTAGATCTCAGCCATGCACTCCTACCGGATGGCTGAGAACTAGGCATGCCAGCCATCCTTAATTCACATGGTTGCAATTAAAGCATCCTGGCCACTCCGCCCTCCCAGCACGCGCCATTTTGGCTGCCTTCCAGCCAAGTACAGCCATCCTCCGGCCGATGGCTGCGATGGCTGTGTCCCGGCCATCTCCGCCCGGCCGCATGATGGCTGTCATACAGCCGTCGCAGCCATCGGCCGGACGATGGCCGAGCTTACTAGATCCTGACCACAAGCGACTCAGAGGCTGGCTGAGAGATAACGACGCCAGCCATCCAGAACAAGGGTGTGGTGGCTCGCGCAGCGTGAGTGGAGCCACCTGCGCTCGTGTCGGGGGCGCCGGCGAGAAGGCTGGGTCGAATTCGCGACAGCCATCCTCCGGCCAAATGGCTGCGACGGCTGTATGACAGCCATCATGCGGCCGGGCGGATGGCTGGGACACAGCCATCGCAGCCATCGGCCGGAGGATGGCTGCGCTGACGGGAACGCAGCCAGAATGGCGCATGCTGGGAGGCGGAGTGGCCAGGATGCTTTAATTGCAACCATGTGAATTAAGGATGGCTGGCATGCCTAGTTCTCAGCCATCCGGTAGGAGTGCATGGCTGAGATCTAGGCGTGCCAGCCATCCTTAGCACGGATGGCTGCGAAACAGGGAGCGCAGCCATCCAAGGTGCAGATTTCGAGGTTAGCCCTTATTCTTTGGGGATCTAACGCGCAGACAACCGCACAACCTCGCCGCGCTCGCACGCAGCGACAATGTCGGCGGATCTGGCCGAGCGGCTGAGCGCCCCATCCCAGAGGGCCGCGTCCTCCTCCGACGCCGCGGCGGAGGCATCGTCGGCTCGATCGGTGAAGCTAGACCACCTGCGGCTGCGCTTCTCCTCCGCGGAGCTCGAGGCGACGTTTGTCGAACATTCGTTCCGCGCTCTCCTCGGCCTGCACCTCGGCGCCGCGGTCACGCACGCCTTGCTTCATGTTGGCCTGAGAGCGCTCGAGGCGAACGAGACGGGGCAGCCGTTCCCGAGGCACCTGGCCCTCGTGCGGTGCGCAGCGGCTACGACATACCTGGCTCTCCGGGTGGGCGCCCACCTCCACGACGCCAAGAGAAACGCACGCGTTGCTTGGGTCATCGGTGCGCTCGTCTCCCTCGCCCTGCTGCCCGCGTGGGCCGAGTCGAGCGCGTTGCCGATGCCGGACGGCGGCGAGGCGGCGGGCGGTCTGCGCGGCCACACAGCCTTGTTTGCGCTTGGCGCTGCTGCGCTGCTGCAACCGCTACTTATCCAGCTCCACTTTCCCGGGGTGTCCATCCGCCTGCTCTGTCTCTTTGTCTCGTTTGCGGGACTGGCGGTGCGCGCCGGCACCACGCGCCAGCCCCACCACCAGGGGAGGCGCCGCTAACGCTTGCGCCAACCTTGATGGACAGGCGCCCCTGCTGAGCCCCCTCGCCGAAGCCGCACCGGCGCCCGGCGGCGCCATGGCCCGCGACGCAGTGCGTGCCCTCGTCGGCGCGTGTGCGCCGCTGGCGTCGCCGCTGTTGCGTGGGCCTGACGAGGCGGCGGCGGTGGCGCTGCTCCTCGCGGCCGGCGCGGCGATCGCACACGTGTTTGAGGCGGTGCTGCGGAGAGGGCATCTGTGGCAGGCGTCGCTTCTCGTGTCGATGGGGCAGCAGGTCGCCGCCGACTCCAAGCTCAACCACCTCCTCAAGAACAAGTCTGCCGAGGCACGCGCCGAGATTGACTCGCTGCGACGGGCGACGGGGACGGGCCTGCCTCCGTCCGTGGTGGCGCGGCGGCATAGAAGAAGAATACGTGCTCATGTGCCCCAACTAGCGCTCGAGAGGGCACGTATTCAGCCGTATTCGGCCGTATTCCGCTGTAGTCACTGTATTCGCACCCCTCGTATTCACGCGGTGCTCTCTCCACAATACCGTACTCCCGCCCTCATGTCGGCGTATTCACAACCCGCAGGTGCAGCGGCTCTCATCGATCGATCTGCTGCTAGAGCAGAGCGTGGCGTGGACGTCGCGCCGTGAGATGCTGCTGCAGATCGAGGCGCGCATATACACCCCGGCGCTGCGGCAGGCAAACCTGCGCTCGACGCTGCGCCAGGCGACAGGAGGCCGCGCCCGGCTGACGGTCGACCACCCGGTGCGATGTGGAGCACAATCTCGGCGGCATCTCGGCGGCATCTCGGCGGCATCTCGGCGGCATCTCGGCGGCATCTCGGCGATCTCTCGGCTATCTCTCGGCGATCTCTCGCACAGGGGTCGGACCTCGAGGTGCGGGTCGACACGGCGCTGCTCCAGCTGCTGATCGACGAGGGCATGTCCAACGCACTCAAGTACAGCGCGCAAGACGCGCCACTCCAGCTGCACGCCGCCCGTAGAAGCGGAACACGTGTTCATGTACGCCCAACGAGGGGACACGTCTTCGGCGGTATTCCGCCGTGATTGGCCGTGCTCCTTGCACTCGTAGCCCGTGTACTCATGCGGTGCGCCGAAGACTCCAAAGCCGCACTCCCGCCCCGATGGTGGCGTCTTCACGCTGCAGGCACGCCGCAGTCCACCCCGCGCCCGGCCGCGACACGTCGGCTTTCTTCCGCGTCGGGCTTGCGCGCTGCCGGAGCGAGCCGGCCAGAGGCACCGCTTCGCGTCTCTTCGACATGGACAGCCCCCCGCCGCGGCGGCGGCGCGGCTCGCGCGCGTCGTGGTGGAGGCTCGCTCCCACGGCAGCCGAGGAGGCGGCCGGCCCCCCCGAGATGTGTCACCGAGAGACCGCCGAGAGACCGCCGAGATCGATGGGTCGCGCCAGCGTGGAGCGTCAGGAAGGTGCGGCAGACAGCAACGGCGCGTGCGCAGCAGCAGCAGCAGCAGCAGCAGCCAGCAGCAGCAGCAGCAGCAGGCAGCAGCAGCAGCAGCAGCAGCAGCAGCAGCAGCAGCAGCAGCAGCAGGCAGCAGCAGGCAGCAGCAGCAGCAGCAGCAGCAGGCAGCAGCAGGCAGCAAGCGTCACGAAGCGCCGCTGCGAGCAGGCGGAGTCTGACGACGAGGGTCGCGAGCTGGAGCTGCATGTGAAGCTCACCAACAACAACCAGCCGGGCGTGCCAGCGCTGACACCCGATCAGTGCAAACGCGCTTTTCAGGCGGACGCCCCAGCCTCTCCTCCCGGCTCCGTTGTGTCACCCCTCCCCTCCTCACCCCCCCCCCATCCACCCACCCCCCGCCCACCCCCCAGCCCACCCCCCACCCACCCCCCACCCCCTCTTGTCCGCAGCCCGGCGTGAAGCTTGCCCCGCCGTTACGCCGCCTCTCGACGGTGTCGACTCTAGAGCGACGCAACAGAGTAGCGCGTAGGGGCAGTGGCCCGGCTCTCTCGCTTCTTCGCGCCTTCACCGAGCCGCCCTCTTCCAGCTTCCGAGCCTCGTGAAGCGCCGGCCACCCCATCCCTGGCGGCGCGCGAGCGAACGCAAAGTCGTCCAGCTGCAGAGAGGACGGAGTTGGATGGCGCACGAGCGGAGTTGGATGGCGGTTGCGAGTAGTCCCCGCTGGTCACGGCCAACCTCGGACAATCTCGGGTGATCTCGGGCGATCTCGACCATGCCCCCTCAGGAGGGCCTCGAGAGGGTGTCGGCGGCCGCCGCGTCCGAGTCGGGGAGCGGCGCGGAGTCGACGGGCATCGGGCTGCACTCAGTGCTGCAGGGCGCAAAGGCGGGCGGCGGCCGAGCGTGGCTAACAGCGCAGCCAGGTGTCGGCGAGGTACCGTGCGGCTGCGAAAGTGAACGGCGCGTCTTCACAGTCGACAGCTGTGAACGAACAGGTGTCGGCGCGGAGCGCGCCACCACCACGTTCCACTTTGCCCTACCTGTGGCGCTGGTGCCGCGGCCGACGTCGCGCCGAGCATCGCTCGGCGAGGCGACCCCCGACGCGAGCGAGATGGAGTCGATCCCTTCGTCGTGCACGCCTTCCGCCGCCGCCTCCTCCGCCTCGGACTCGGAGGCAACGAGCAGCACCGCGCACCCGCCGCGTAGGGCGGCAGTCCGCCGCGCTGGCGCCAGCGCAGGGCCCCAGCCGCGGCGCGTTAGCGCCGACTTCAGCGATGCGTTCGACGATATTTCGCAAGACTCGATGCGGAAGCAAGAGGAGGCGGCGGCGGAGGCGGCGGCGGCGGCGGAGACTTCTCTGGTCGAGAGCCCCATCCTCGTTCCTTGGCTCGCCAGTCGGCTCGCTAACTCTTCACGCAACACCGAAGGCGAGCACTTCTTCGGCTGCGACCGACCTGAGCGACGCACTCTTCCTTGCGCTCGACGACTCCTCGATCTTGAGAGGGCGACCCCACTTCCCGCGCCCCCGCCCTCGCCCCCAATATCGCCACCCAAAGACGACGATCTCAGCGCTGCGGCGATTGGAGGGGCCCGTGTCATTCCACAAACCACAACCCTGACTTGCGGCATCGCAGCCCCACCGCCGCCCTCGCCACCACCTCCGTCGCCCTCACCGCCCTCGCCGCCCCCGCCCTCGCCGCCCCCGCCCTCGCCGCCTCCTTCTGCACCGCCCCCGCAACCTTACCTCCACTGCACTGCTCGCAGGTACCTCCTCACCGTCTTCCGCCGCCTCGGCGCGCACCCAGCTTCGCGCGCGCTCGGCGCCGGCAGTGACGAGCGCTGCTCAATCGCAGAGCTGAGCGAGTCCGTCCGCCTTCGGGGCGTGCGCCCTTTTGCGGCGATCGACCCCGACGGCTCTTGGCGTGCGAATAGGTTCGTCGAGTTGGCGCTTGGCGAGGGCGCCGCGGGCGGGAGGATGGCGGATGTAGTCGTGCTCGACAACAATGTGCCGCATTCGGGCGCCCCTGACTCGTCACGGTGTGGTAGCTCCAGCTCACAAGATGGCGTGGTGTAGGTGCCGCTCGAGGATTCGCGCGACAAGACGAAGTGGGAGCGCGACATTGTCTATGGGGGAGCGAGACCCTCTTTGCGCCTCCTCCCTCCCCCCCGCCTTCCCCGAGAAGTTCGGGTAAGTGAGTAGGCGAGCTCGCACGTGAGCTCCGCAGACGCGGCTTCGGCGGCGTCATCGTCATCTTTTCGGGCACACTTTCGGAGGCGAGAGCGCGCCACTGCCCCGTCACCACGTTGCGAGGGCCCGAGCTTGCGGAGTAGGTATCTCGCAGAGCGAAGAGCGTGAGCTTCTCGAGGAGGGCAACGTCGACCTCGTCATCTCCAAGGATGGCGTCGCGACCCTCGAGCATCGGCTGCGCGAGGCGGGCCAGAGCCCTTATTGACACACGCCTCTTCGCAGCAAACGCCCCTGGCACAGTCGCAGACAAGCCCACGCGCCGCGCGTGGCAGGCGTATCGGCTGGGCCGGAAGGAGCCCGCAAGCGCCGGCGAGGCGTGCCGAGGGTATCTCCCCTCGCTCGCCGAGGCGCCGTGCTCACGGGGCAGCAGCGCATCTTCTGGACTGGTCGCCGCGGGGGTGGAGAAGAAATGGCTCGCAGACGACGCGCAGCTGGCTGCGGGGGCGGCTGGTTCGACCGACCTCCGCGCGCTGCGCAACTACGACGACGAGTCCGTGGTGAGTTCGCTCGAGAGCGAGGTGGCAACAGAGGAGGCTGACACGTCGCCGTTGGCGGAGAGTGGCGACGCCAACAAGCGCGAGATGACAGAGTCGAAGCGCTGGATCGAGCGGCAGGAGGACGAGGAGGCGCGGGCCCGATCGTTGGACTTGAGCAACGGCCTCCGGAGAAGAGCGGGGCCTTCAGTGCCGCCACAAAGGCCAGCCCCGCCGACACCCGCGCCGCCGGGCTGGCCAGAGGACTGATCGCGTGCAGGCACGGGATCGCCAGCCGCGCCACGGTCACCGCGTTTGGAATCGTGAGCGCCGGCCGCAGCAGCGGCAGCAGCGAGAGGGCGGAATGAGAGCAAATCGCTCGTACTAGAGCGCTGCAGTACGTGACCGAGTTGTCCCCTAAATACCGTGAGTGTGTCCGTCCTGGGCGCGAGAGTTGCGCCTCCGCGCTCCGGGGCCCCGCCCGCGCCCCCCGCCGGCTTGGCAACCGCGCTTGGACGCCGAGAGCGCGCAGGGGGGTCGGGGGCGAGCTACAGTACCCCCACCACACGGCCGCGGCTTTGCTTTTTGTTTGGTGCACACACGGCGCCCTCTCTTTTTCCAGCGCAATTTTATTCTGTGCAACCTGCAACAGGGCGCTTCCACGCACCGCGGCAGGGAGGGAAAGGGGGGCGCCCACTCCCACTTTTGTCGTAGGCCACCTCACATGTACTTCGAGCTCTGTGAGGGGCGCGGCGGCGGGGGGGGGGGAGGGGGGGGGGTGAAACCGGGAGACGGGGTTGGGCGGGGGGCCCGGGATATTACCGATCGAGGGGCACCGGGCGCGCCATAGTTGGGCTGGTGCATCTTTTCCCACAGCTGCTCGCGCAACTCCTTGCAGTCCTGTGAAGGGACGAGAGGCACGGCTGAGCGTCGCCAGCCACCCGCCCGAACTCCTCCTCCCCCCCTCCTCTCCGTGCTGCGGCGAGGGCGGTTTGAGGAGGGAGAAACGGCGGCGCGCAAGGGGAGCGGCGACACCTCTAGATGATTGACGCCATTTTTCCGAAAGCACGCGCGCAGTTGTTGCTGTGCGGCAGACGGGGGACGGCGATGAGGAGGTCAAAGCCGAGTGGGTGTTGTATGGTGGCAGCGCCATACGTGCGCGCGAGCCTGCAAGATCTTGATCTCCTGCACCGCGACGAGGTATTCGCGCTGGAAGTACTCGTTGGAGCGGTGGATTTCGTACGGCGTGTGCTCCTGCGGCTGCCCGGCCTTGTTCTTGGGCAAGGGCTCCTCAAACATGCCGCCGGGCTTTGGCCGCTAGCGCCGGCGTGAGCTTGCGCTTCCAAAAAAGAGAAATTAGTGCGCTGTCCTTCTCCCCTCGTTTGGCGTGCCCGTTTTATTTATTTATTTATTTAGACCGCGCAAGACAAAGGGTGGCTAAGGGCTCTGCCCGCAAGGCGCCCGCGTCGCCGACGCGGTACCATTGACTAAATAGCGGCATACACACCCACACGACCAAATAAATAGCGAAAATCCGAATACCGTGCAAAAACCACGGAACGTCGGACGAAGAACGGTAACAAGTTTGGCTAACTCCATAACATGTGGGAGATCCGGCGCTTCCTTCGATTGGACGGACGGAATGGTTTGGCCTGTCCGAGGGTTTCCTCTCGCACCCTACCTCGCTTGACCAGTTTGTCGCGGCACCACACAAAACCGCCAAGGAAGGCGCCGAGGACGCGGATGCCCGGAAGCGTGCCGCCCTCGTAGGAGCCGTGGGGCGGGGCGTCCGGCGTGCCCTTGACGTCCACCCGATGGCGCACCGAATCGAGCGAGCGAGGGTCCGGCGCCCAAATGCACCGCTTAGACGGGTTGCTCTCAACGCCGCAGCATCGCTGCGCAATGACGTCGCCTTCGAGCATCGCGCAGAGCGCCGCCTCTGGATCATCGGCACAGTAGGTGTCATCGAGGTAGGTACGCGCAAATCAGGGTGGACGGATGCCGGACCTGCATCTCCAACAGGGTCCAGTGGTATCCAATCGCGAAGAGGAAGGGCCCGAGGGGATCGCCCTGCGCGCAGCCCTCTGCCGAATCGAAGATGTCGCCCGAGCCGTCCCGCGCCTCGTCGTTGAACAAGAAGAGGCGGCGTCGCTTGCTGTACCACAAAGCCACGGTTGGGATGAGGTCCGGAAACCATCGTCGCAGCCCCGAGAAAAGAAACGCGAAGCCTGGCGCCATGCGCCCCGCTCTACCTCGCATTTGGCCCTCCGCCTCTCTCGTGCTGTTCCCGAGCTCGTTATTTTTGCGACGCCGGCACAGCCCAGCAACGTCTCCCCAGCCGCCGTCCGCACCACAAACGTCACTCTTCGCTCCGTCCCGGACGGTTCTGGTGCAGCGGAGAGCAGAGGAGGCACGATTCGGGCTGCCAGTTTGGAAGCTACTCGGACTCGGCTTCATCGGCGTGTGCGGTGCGTTTCGCTGGTGGGCCAACACTCTGCCGACGCAGCTGCCGGCGCCGGCGCCCGCACAGTCGATCGAGGCTGAGGAGGCTGTCGATACTACGGCGAAGGCGCACGATATACTCACGGACGTGCGGCGCGTGTTCGCCAAACACGGCATGGGGTGCGGTCAGCTTCCGCTGCGTGTGAAGCTATGCGGGTGACCTCGTCACGATCCATCCTAGACCCATCCGAGATTCGCCAGAGATATGCTAGAGACGAGCGCTGCATGGCCGATGTGGGCCACAAAGGGAGGGCCGTCGCGAGCATGAGCCGCATCGCTTACGCTTGCGACTGCGACCAGGCACCTCGAGGGGCGCGCCGTCATCAGCGGCGGGGGGCGAGGGAGGAGGCGGGTGGAGAGTATAGAGCTGGCATCGGGGCTCGGAGCGTTGCACAGCGCAGTCGTGCTTGCGCACGAGTACACGCACGCCTGGCTGTGGCTGCATGACTTCCCGCCTCTCCCCGCGCCACTAGAGGAGGGAATCTGCGAGCTCGGCCTTCGAGTGGCGAGGGCGCCGTGTTCTCGGAGAAGTGCCATTCCCAACGACCGTCGCAAGCTGTGAACAGGCGCCTTCCTCTACCTTCTCGAGCTCCTGCACGCGCCCTCCGAATCGTGTCTCATCGCAGACCCCGCCCAGCTGCGCGAGGGGCTACGCCGCATCGAGGCCAACGTGCGTCCACCCTACGGAAGTGGATTCCGATCTGCCGCAGCCTCACTGGAGGGGTGAGGGGGAGATCCCCCTCCACCTTCTCCTGAGGGAGTTCTCATGAAGCCTTGCCCCGGTGAATAGGCGCGGCTTGCACGACTTGCTGTGCCACGTGCGCGAGCACGGCTCGCTACCGCCGCCCCTTCGCAGCTCAAAGCCATCCTCGATGTCTAAGGAGTAATGTGTATGTGCGTTGAGGTGCCGCGTTGGCTTGTGTTCCTTCTCCTAAAAATTCCCGCTCAAATCTCAAATGGACGGTTGGGGTTGTGCAGCTCAGCCTCGGGCTCGGCGCTACTCAATCTCAAATGGACGGTTGGTTGTGTGGCTTTCGTAACCGACATGTGATGGCTGAATACACACAAGAATGCCTGAGTTCGCAGCCGTAGAGGAGGCGCTTGGCCAGCGCGTGTGCCTCGCGTTGGGTGCGCCGGCCCGCCAATGGAAAGCGCTTCTCGCGGCAGAAGAGGCAGCGCACGTACGCACGCACACACGCACGCACACACACACACACACACACACAAACGCACAAACGCACGAAGGCGCACACACAAACACGCACACACAAACACGCGCACACATACGCGCACACATACGCATACACACGCGCATACGCACGCACGCACGCACGCACGCACGCACGCACGCACGCACGCACGCACGCACGCACGCACGCACGCACGCACGCACGCACGCACGCACGCACACTCATCACCGCACGCAGTACAGTCTTGAGCGCGGTGGATGCGCGCTCGGCTCCCGACTCAGATCCTGGAACCACCGACGTGCAGAGGTCCTTGTCAGAAACGTAACTCTTCAGGTGGCTCTTCTTTGTTTGCCTTCAGGTGGCTCTTCTCCGCAACTTCATCGTGCGGCCCGAGGCATCAGCGCAATCACCAGACCCTCCTCGATTGAGCCTGCCGCCACAATCACCTGTTCCTGTCCGGCGGTTACCGGCGGGGGTGCCGGTGATGCTTGACCGCAACGCCATCGGCCACGCCCTCAGGTGCGTTGCATGCTTGTCTACTCCGGCTCCAATGGCGAGATGCTCTGCGGCTCTGTGCGTGGCACCTCTGAGACATTTATCGCTGTCGGGACCACCTCCCTCGTCGATCGACCAGCAAGCACGGCATTCTACACCACTGTTCACTCGTATTCGGAACTTGACCATGATTTGTCCACGCAGGTGCCGCTTCTCGGTGCCAGGCGAGGCAGCTCAGCACATCACAAGACGCACCACGCAAAACGCATCGTAGCAAATAGCATGCGGGCATGCCGTCAGCGCATAATCACGAGTCGCTCACGCACGCACGCACCCACCCATGCTTCGCCGCCTTACACATTGCCACTTCCTCCCGCCAGCAGTTGGCGCAAGGTCGCCTATCTGGTCAAGCCTCGGTGCATGGATGATCTGCTGCGTAACGCCTGTAGACGCTGTGCACGACGCACTACAGCAAGCGGCAGCCGAGGCCGCCCTGGAGGCTTCGCTGCAGGCCATCGACAGCGCGTGGATCGGGCTGCGGCTCTCCTTTGTACATGCCTTGGCCACCGACACCGCCGTGCTTGCACACCCGGCGGCTGTATTTGAGGCTCTCGACGAGCATGAGGCACCGCCATCCGCCTTTGCTGCGCATCTCGCTCTTCGCCTCGCGAGCGCAGCGGGAGGCCTGACCCGCGAGGCACTGGAGGATTTTGTGCTTGGGCCCCGGGCCTTGGCGACGGAGCCGCAGCCAGAGGCACTCGCTTGGCTTCCAGAGGCGGCGTGGCTCGCGGTGCAACGCCTGGCACAGAGCATGGCGACGCTGCGCGATTTACCCCGCAGGCGGTTGTCATACTGCAGCTGCATCTCAGCTAGACCCGGCTATCGATTTACCTCGGCTCATCCTCTTTCTCTCTTACTCTGAGCGCTACGGCGCTCATCTCGCAGGGTATGTGAGGAGACGGACGCTTGGCGGGACTGGTTCGAGACAGAGGAGGCGGAGATGGCAGCTCTTCCCCACGGCATTTGCAATCTTGAGGCGCTGCTCATTGTGCGGGCTATGCGCCTTGACCGACTCGCGCCTGCAACCCGTGCGTGGGTTGAAGAGGTTCTTGGGCAGAGGCAAGCAGAGCACGGAGCCGCCGCCATGTACTCCACCGAGATTGAGATCGCACGCCGCTGGTAGGTACGCTGCGCCTCTACCGGATGACCTTGAGGCGCAGCTCGCCCATGCGAGCCCTGCGGCACCGCTCCTCCTCCTCCTGTCGCCCGGCGCCGACCCCCTACCCGCCGTGGCGGCGTGTGCAACGCGAGCCTCCTTCCGACAGAACGAGCTGGGGGGGGAGATAGGAGGGCAGTTAGGAATCGGCGAGGGAGGAATGGGTGCCAGCGGGGGAACGTCGCTGCACGTGGTGTCGCTCCTTCAGCCTGACGCCGAGGCGGCGGCGGAGCGAGCGCTCAATGCGACGCACGTGGCCAAAAGCTGACTTTGGTTGCTATGCGGGGTGTCGGCTCACGCCTGACGTCGCAATAGGCACGCTGCCGGGAACTGGCTCTACTTGCAGCACGCCGACCGGGGCTCTGTACGTTGGCTACAGTCTCTAGAGCGTCAGCTCGCCACGATACAGGCCACGCTTCACATACCCAAGCACTTGGTCCCGTCGCGATGCGCAGCATGATCCAAGGACGCCTGCTCCTCTCCACAGGCACAAACATCCGAAGGGTCCCAGTTTCGGCTGATCATTTCTGTCGAAGTCGAGCACCGGAGCAAAGGGTGCGCCTTACCGGAGGCGCTAGTGCGCCGTTCCGTCAAGATTGCGGTCGAGCCGCCGGGGTCACTGCGGGGAGCGATGCTGCGTGCGTGGAGAACGGTTGACGACGAGCTATGGGGCGCGGCGGAGGCGCTTCACGAGCCGCTTGCACCGGGACTGGGGTTGGCGAGCTCTGGCCCTAGCGCGACGGACGCCAAGGCGCAGCACGAGAGCCCCTCTATCCCTTCCCTCCCCGCCCCGCCATCTCCCGTGGAGGAGTGCTTATAACAAACAACTATGTGACACTATGCTTTGCTGCCCGCCAGGCGGCGTTCTTTGGACTCTGCCATGTGCATTCCATCGCCCTCGCGCGGCGGCGCTACTGCGCCCTCGGTGCCTCTCATGCAGCCGACCTGGCAGCCAGCCTAGGTGTTGCAGCCAGGGCTCTGTCGTGGACACAAGTGCCAGCGGCGGTATGGTGGTCAGACTTGCGCCGCAACGCGGGCGCGGCGGCTTTTGGCAGTCACTTCGGCAACGTGTGGGATAAGCGCTTGCATGTTGCACTGCTCGAAGCGTACGTGCACGAGGTGAGCACCTCTCGCCCACCGTAGAGTCGCGGCCGCTGCCGCCGTGTCGACTGCCGTCTCTGACTCCGCCCCACAGGCGCTTCCAGACGGCCAACAAGTCAGCCGCCGGTTGGAGTTCCTCGAGCTGCCGTCAAGAGACGCGTACACACGCCACATCGAGGCATCCCCCTCGGATGACATACCGTCCGACCTCGGCCTTCTTCCGAGGGCGCAAAGCGCGCTCGAAGAGTCGCGAGCTGACGAGCTGCTCCGATTTGGTGCAGCGGTTATGTCTACAAGTCGTGTCGGGCTGGGGCCTTTCGGTCGCAGCGGGCGCAGAAGCTGCAGTGGCACCGCGGCGGCCGAGACCGTGGAGGCGGTGCGGCTCGTACTGGACAAGGTGAGGACGATGTGGCCGAGACACGGCCGAGGCGCCGCACCATTGTTTATGAACGTCACACATTTCCCAGGTGAGAGACGCGCTGCCGCACGCCACGACAGTACGCCCAAAAGCGCTACAGCGGAGGCTTCGGACGGACTTGTCGCCGCTTGAGGCAGACTTGTCGCCGCTTGAGGCAGACTTGTCGCCGCTTGAGGGAGCCTCACGAACGAGCCCCTGTAAATAGCGTCTCTTGACGGCCTACACCTAAATAGGTGGTCCTGATGCAAGAGTGCGACAGGATGGAGGCGTTGGTCACAGAGGTGCAAGCCACCACCAAATTGGCCATCCGCTCGCGCACCGGGTCCGAGTTTGTGCACTGCGGGATGCGTTTTGGGCCCCACTTGGGTTGTTACCCCACACGAGTGCGTGGAGTGTCCATCTTCCTACCCAGGTGCACGCGTCGCTCGCACGGCTGGACGAGTCCATGCGCGGTGGCGCGCTGCTGCCGGGAAAGGGCACAGCCGCGGCCTTGAACACTGCTGTCCATACTTCGAGTCCTCAATAGGCGCGCCGGTGGATGAGGGCGCCGATACGCTCGTGGGCGCCCTGCAGCGCGGCTTAGTGCCCGCAAGCTGGACTGAGCTTGCGTGGCCGTCTGCGGGTCCGCAGCCACTAGGCAGGTGGCGGGCCTCTCGTGGCTGATATCAGCTAATCTCGGCTCGGCACTGTCGCCTAATCTCAACCACTCTCGGCTACTTCCGGCTGCTGTTGGCTGATATCGACCGATCCGGGCCAATATTGTTAGGTGGCTCTTGGGTCTTTACGCGCGGCGGGCACACCTCGAGGAATGGGCGGCGCAGGGCGTGCCGCCGACAGTAACGTGGCTGGGCGGACTCTTCCGCCCGCAGGCGTTTGTGTTTGCGCTGCTGGCGGAGACCTCGCGCCGCACTGGCACGCCGCTGGAGTCGTTATCCGCTGTGGCCGAGGTGACGGGATACGATTCGGCAGAGCAGGTGGGTGCGCCTCCAGAAAACGGCGTGTACGTTCATGGCGCCGCCCTTGAGGGCGCAAACTGGGACGCATCTGCTGGCAAGCTAGCTGAAGCGCCAAGCGGCGGGCGGTGCGCCACTCGGCTGCCAGTGATGCATATACGAGCGCTCGAGGCCGTCACTACGGCAGACACTATCGCGGCGGCGCCTTATGGTGTGTATGCGAGTCCGGTGTATGCCACCGGGCCAGCGAGCGGCGCAGAGCGGCGAGGCGAGGAGCTACCGTTGACCGCGTGGCTTCCGTCGGAGGTGCCCCCCCCCCCTCCCTCCTCCCCCCTCTCACACAATCTAAACCACACCCCGGCATGGGGTCCTGCCCGACTCAAGGACGCGGGGCTCTTGCCTGATTTGCCTTTGGGGCGATAGAGCCCACGCGGCCCGTCATGATCAATCCACACTTGCGTTTGCCCCCGTACTTTACCTCAGGCGCCACCGTCGCTTTGGGTGGTCTCCGGGGCCGCGGTTCGCCTCGACGGGGAGTGCGACTGGCAAAGGCGGGCGACTCAACAACCGGGTAAAAGTGATGAGGAGCTCGGGTTTCTTTTGACAAGCCATTAGGCAACACTCATTACTCGTGCATATGTTTCTCTGGTGGGGCGCAGTCCAGACCACGTCATGCCACCCCCTTCGACCACCCCCTCAGACAGGCAGGAGCCCTCCAAACAGCGTACCGGTTGCAAGTGTGTGTGTGTTTCGTGAGCAGCGTTGTGGTGTGGTGTGCGTGTGGTGTGTGCTGTGCGTTGTGAGCAGCTCTCGCCTGGTACGCTGCTCCGCTCGGCATTGCGGGCGGCGGGGCGACGGTCCCATGATATTTTCCGGGTATTTTCGGGTATTACCCGCACTGGACACTAGAGATCGTCGTGGGACGGTCACTGCCAGGCCTTCCTTACTGTTGTTCAGTCGGCCTAACGTTAGCTACTGTTGTTGGGGAGCCCCACTGTTGTTCTGTTGTTACTGTTAACACTACGGCTCTAGCAACACTGTTCAGCTCTTAACGTTTGACAACCCTACGTCCGAGTCGTGCGCAATCTCGCGTGACCCACCCTCCTCTTCCCTTGCCGCGAGTGTTCTTTGATTGTATGTGTGGACAGGGAGTGTCCTGTCCTCACGGCGCCGGCGCATGTGTGTGTGTGGTTCCCAGTGTGGGGCCTGTTTGAGCGCCGTCGCCGGGGTCGTGTGGCGATGTGCCTCGGGAGCTCCAGACGCAGCTCACCAGCTCTCGGGGCAGCCAACCCAGGAGATTTAAAGGACCAATCAATACATACAACCAACGATCAGCTGGAGAACTCGGGCGACTCGCGTCGGGGACGCGATGGATAAGAAGGAAAAGGCCCGGCGAGAAAATTTTATAGCGCAGCCAATCGATTCAGCGTGCTCTGAATCGCCCAAAACCGTCGAGTTTTTTGCGGTAGGCAAAATAGAGCCCTAATATTTGATCTTTCTTGGCCACGGCCACGATTACCCGTCACTCGCTCGTGCGCGTCCGGGTTTTGTGTGCAACGCTTACCGCTCGACGTCGCCCGCCACGCGCCCGTGCAGCGCCGCCTCGGTTGCGCCGACGGAGATGCGTTTTCGGTCGGTGAGGATAGCGGCCTAAGATGGAGTCACCGATATTGCCGAGATTCGCCAGCAACATCTTGGCGGCTTGACTCGCGGATTGTGTCGCGGACGGACAAGCGACGGACAGGCATCTGCCTGCATCTTCCCGCACCCGTATGCCGGTGCGCCACCAGAGTCTCGGTGTTGGGGTGAGCTCTGATGATCTCAAGCGATCTCGATTATTACTCCGGCCTGAATGGCCGTGCCATGCGCCACCGCCTCCTCCGGCGATACCGCGCAATTGGGCTCCTACGCGCCCCACGCTCAATGTGTCTAGCCGAGCCGCGGCCGAGATGTTCCGTGGCTGCATCGGACAATGTCGCTCCTTGCCGCCGAAGTAGTCGCGGAGCAGGCGGCGAACGGAGGCGATGCGCGTGGAGCCACCGACGAGTACAACCTCGTCGACCTAATAATAATAATAATAATAATAATAATAATAATAATAATAATAATAATATGACGAGTACAACCTCGTCGACCTAATCCGAGAGAGGGCACGCCGAGACTGGACGAGACTGTGCGAGACGGAGAGTGGGAGGAGGGGGGGGTGGGGCAGGACCATCATCTTGCCCACCTCCGCTGCCGCCACCCCGGCGCGGGCCAAGACCTGCGCGACCGGAGCCATCGACCGCTCGAATAGCTCGGTGACGCGCGGCATCGCCTCATAGTCAGCGCGCGAGAGCGCGAGTGGCGCGGCGGCGGCCAACCGTGGCGGCAGGTCGAGCGAAATGGTCGCTCCGATGTCGCCGTCATAGAAGACGCCGGCGCAATCGGCCTCGTCGTTCATCGCCACCTAGTAGTCTCGGGTAATCTCGGGTAATCTCGGGTAATCTAGGGCGATCTAGGGCGATCTCGGGCGATCTCGGGCGATCTCGGGCGATCTCGTCGCCACCTAGACTCACGAGTGCGCGATCTCACGACAGGAGACGGGAGGCGTGAGACAGGCCCTCTCGGTATGTCTCGGGAGAGCTGCGTACCTTGACTCTCTCCGCCTCCTCCCGCATCGCCCGCATCGTCTCGCGGTCGGCCCGCACCGCGGTCTCGTCCACCTCGGCTGCCGTGGAGGCGCGCGCGACGAGCTCGTCGAGCATCGCCGCCGAAAAGTCCTGCCGCGCGGCCGGGAGAGCCAGCGGAGAGAGAGAGAGTGGGCAGGGAGCCAGGGGAGGGGAGCCAGGGGGGGGAGGGGGGGCAGAGGGGGGGGGGGCAGAGGGGGGGGGGGGTCGCCTGTCCCCCCAGTCGGTTGTCGCCGGCGGCTGCGACAACCTCGAAGATGCCTACGGGTCTACAGCTGGGGCGCCGTCTAG